ATTAAAGCTTAATAATATTAATTATAAAATTACTTTATACTTTAAATTAATTAAAAATATATATAAGCTTTATTAAAAATACTTAAATAGTATTAATATAAAAATTATACTTTCCCTTAATTAAATAATTAATAAGGTTAGTAATATAATAAATACCCTTAGATTTTATAAATTTTAAGTTAAGTTATATTCTTAATATAACTAAGTAATTATTACTATTTAATAAATATATAAGCTATTATTACTATTTAATAAACTTACAAGGGATAATAAAGTAAAATTAATTTTAGGATATTAAAATCTAATAATACTAAGAAGGAATTTATTTTTTTTTAAAACTATAAAGCTATAATACTAAGGATAGTGTTTTTTATATAGTAGGGTAATTAACTTAATAAAAGTTATTAAGTTATAATAACTTACTTAATAAGTTATTCTTAGCTAAGCTATAAATAATAGTTACTACTTATTAGTAAAATATTAAGCTTTTTACCTTAATAACCTTGTTTTTCTGAAACCCGCGTGACACCTATAGTAATATTAAAATATTATTTTTTACTTATTTTTTTAATAAATATAAATTTAATAATATATATTTTTAAAGTTAAGCTTTATATATACTTTTACTTTTTTTAAGTAATTTAAGATTTTATAAATTAATAGTAAAAGTACTTAATTTTTATAAATTATTTAGTTTAATATATAATAATTAATATAAAAATATAGTTTTTTTTTTTCTTTAGTATAAAAAATATTAATATTTTTATTAAATTATTAAACTTTTAAATTTAGCTTTTTTTTTTTACTTTTTATAAATACTTCTTTAAAACTTTAAGTTTATTATTTATAAAAAAATAAATAAAGCTTTATAATAGTATTATAAAGGTTATATTTATTATCAAGAGGTTTAGTAAAGCTGCAACAGCTAGGTCAGAGGAAGGCTACGCCCCAGCCTTTGGTTCAAAATCCAGAATTAATCCATAGCTCAACCTGATTGGCCACAGCTAACTAAGTCAAACCTCGAAGATTCAGGCCACAAAGTATAACCGCTAATCAAGGTTCAAGACCAAACTCAAAATACGCAAAAAGGCCCGAACAACAAGGTTCAAGCACAACGCAAGCTTCAAGCCCGCAACTTATAGTTTAATAACTCAACTAGACCAGATAGGCTGATCGTTCCGTCAGGTTATAAAAGGCAGCGATAATCCTTGCAAATAGATTGCGTACGCAACGCAAAAGACCACCCGACGAGACAACGCACCCTATACAAAAGCAACAAACCCTTGCAACAACTACAAGACAAGTCAACAGCCAACCGAAGTCACAAACAGCCACAATAGCTAAAGGCAATAAAAAACCAACGGCAACTACTACTAAGATAATAGCTACTACTGCAAAAACTTATAATCCTAATACTATTAGCGCCGTAGAGAAGGTCTGCTAGAGCCTAAAGAATAAACAAGGCAGAAGAGGGCAACCTAAACTAACCACGAAAGAGAAAACGTAGATCAGCTGGGCTACTACTAGCCAATAGCTACTAAACAAAGGTTTAATAATAATTATTCTAATCTTAGCTCTTAGGCAGTTTATCCTCTGTACCCAGGAGAGATAATAGTATTATATTAAGTTTAATATTAATAATATATATTAAATTATTAAGGGGTATAAGTTTTATAATTATATTTTTATTAAAAATCTTTATATAGTTTAAATACTTAAAGGGTAATTTTTTTACTTTTTTTTTATTATAATTTTTTAATATTTAGTTTTTAATATATAAGTAAAAGAGGTATTTTATATATTTTTTTTTTAAGTTTATTTTTTTAATACTTTATATTAAAATTATTTTTATTTTTATTTTTTTATTTTATTTATATATTTATTTATAAAATATTATAATTTTAAAGTTTTTTTTTAAAAATTAATAATATTATTATTTTAATAAATAATAAATATTTAAATTAATTATATTATATTATAATTTACTTAAAAAAATATTATTATTTATATTTACTATAATAAAAAAGGGAATTTAAAATTATTTTATTATTCTTTAATTATTAATTATTTTATATAACTTTATTATAATACCTTATATATTACTTACTTTTTCTTTATTAAATAAATAAAGTTTAGTTTTATAAAATAAAATTTAATTAAATAATATAAATTACTATTATATTATATTAATATTACTATTAAAATTTAATATAAAAGTTACTTTTATTTATTTATTTTTTATTTTTACTTTTAAATATTTTTTTATAATTAAGCTATAGTTTTTAATATTAATAATAAATTTAAGTAATAAAAAAGTAACTTTAGTATAATTTTATACTTTTCTTAAAGTAGGAATAAAGTTAACTTTAAAGCTTAGGCTTTTATTATTAATAAAATTATTATAATATTTTATTATATAATATTTATTATTATATTTTTTATAATTAAGTATAATATATATATTTTTAAAATATAATTTATTATATTTTTAGTAAATTAGCCTTAAAGTAAATTTATTTTTTAATATATTTAACTTTATAAAAATACTTTTTTAAAGTATAATAGTTTTATTAATATTACTTTTTTATTAATTATTTTTTTATAATTTTTAAAAGTTATTATTTTTTTATTTTTTTTTTAATTATAATTTTTAAAGTTTTATAATTTATTATTATAATTTACTACTTTAGCTTATTTTTTTATATTATAAAAATTTAATTAAGTTATAAAAAGTTTAATATTAAAAATACTTTTATATAAAAGAGTAAAGTATTTATTAATAAATTAAGAAATATAAAAGTTATTTAAAAAGCTATTTAAAATTTTACTAAAAATTATTTTAAACTTTTTTAAAAAAGCTTAAAATAATTTACTTTTATTTTAATTAATATTATTTAATAATATAATTATATTAAGTATATAAGTAATTTTATTATTAATATTATTTTTATATTACTTTATATATTAATTATATATTAAATTATTAAAAAAATATTAATATTTTTTATTTTAAAAAAAAGTTTATTATTATTTTATATTTTTTTTAAAATAATTATTAATATATTAAATTTTATAAAAGTTTTTAATAAATTACTTTTTTTTAAGTTTAAATTAATTACTTAAGTATATAAAGTATATTTAAAACTTTATTTAATTTTTACTTTTAAATTTTAAAATTAATATTTAAACTTTTTTTTATATATTAAAATAAGTTTACTTTAGCTTTACTTTAACCTTAGGCCTTAAGAAGTTAAAATTAAAAATAAGGTTTTTTTTATTTTTAATTATTTAAAAATATTAAATTTTTTTTTTTTTTTTTATAATTTTACTATAATAATAATATATTTTTATAATTTATTAAATAAAAAAAACTTATATAAATTTAAATTAAGGGTTTTTTTTTTTAATAAAGAAGTTATATTAAGGGGTTTCCTTAGTAATAATATTATAATATTAATTTATAAAATAACTTATAATAATATTTATAATTATATTATTTATTAAGTTTATAAAATTATAATTTTATAATTATTAAAATATAATTTATATATATAAATATTATTAATAATTATTCTTATTTTTAATAATTTTTTTACTTTTTATAAATTAAAAAAATAAATTTATTAAAAGTTAAATTAGTAAAAAAAAATAAAAAAATATAAAAGTAAGTTTATAAAAGCTTTATATTAAATATATAAAATAAGTATATAAAAGTAATTATATTTATTTTTAACTTTTTATAATTTTATAAAACATATAGTTATTATATAATATTTACTATTATACTAAAGGCTGCGTAGCCCTTAGCCTATGCCTTTCTAGCGCGGTTAGAGTAATATTATAACGTGAACGCTGAGCCCCGCTGCGAGGTTAGTGCGTTTTCGAGGCCTTAATGTCAGGTCCGTCACTTGGCTCTGACAATTTCTAACTTATGTATGTGAACCATAGGTAGGGACAGCTTATTAAGCTAATAACCTAAAGCAACTATTAGGCCTTGAGACTAATAGGTATATTAATTAGCCTTATACTGGGAGGGGGTAAGGTATAAAAAGCTTAGGTTATGAGAATATCACCAATGTTATAACTCCTGCAAGAATGTGTGCGCCACGTCCACTACCTACTGTATGGTCGTATGTGATGAGATGGGTTGCAAATTCACATCAAGGCGATTGTTATTGTGCGAGTTTGCCCCCCAGGCAGACTAGTCCCTGATTCCGATTGAGCCCTAAAAGGGTCCAGGCCGAAAGCGGACTAAACCCAGGGGTCCTTGAACAAACCCCCACAACGGCCGTTTGGAACTCAACAATACGTGTACAAGTCCCCCCGTACTAATGCGCAGCGGCGCCCCTTGAAAATTCGTCAATTGATGGATGGATTCAATCCCCTTTGATCCCCCCAAGACAGACAATAGGCCCCTAGAAACGCCCCCAAAAGGCCCTTGGGCCATTGGCACGTGCAGCGTTAGTGGACTCAGAATTGTTGATCTCGTCGTTTTGAGGCTCCCCCGCTGGCCAACCACGCACCCCTGCTCTCTGGCGGTAAAGGACAGCAAGGGCTCGCTTGGCCAGAGATCTCATTTCAGATTATAATTAGCTCACTTTTTGGCAACAGTCGCAAGCGGTCTGGGCGCCAGAAACGGGGCGGGTTTCTTGGGCAGAGCTGTCTTGCAGCCAGCCGTTAGCACAAGGTACCTGGCCCGCCAGCGAAGCCGCCGCTAGAGACGCGAGTCACGCCTGTTACCGCCACCCAACAGAGATAGAGCCAGATAAGGGACCACCACAGAAAGAAAATATGGATCGAAGAGAGCTAAGGGGAGTGGAAAATTTGATGCCGTGCCTGACTATGGATCACCCTTTTCCCTTCTTCATGCCTTAAGCTGGGTTCCGGGTGGGTTTAAAAAGAAACTTGACGGCTCTCTGGATCAAGACTAAGCATCAGCAATCCCAATTCTCTCCCGTTGAGCACAGGTAACCAGTTGGCTTGCCTTGTTCCCCTCAAAGATGGCTACCACCACGACAGTGACCAAGCGCGGAGGCGCCGTGGCCTCAATGTCAGTCCGAGCCTCACTCAATCCGCCAGAAAATATCTCGTCGTCGTGTCCCGTGCTGACCCCCCAGTTGTATGTAGCACGCTGCCCGAGGGTGAGAGTCGGTTTCCCGACATCAACACCATCCGGGCTGCCATTCCCAAGCACTGCTTCGAGCCGTCCGTGGCCATCTCCATGGGCTACCTGGTGCGCGATGTTGCCATGATTGGAGCTCTTGGCTGGGCTGCCATCACGTACATTCCCACCATTCCCGATTCCACCCTCCGGACCATTGCCTGGATCGTGTACGGCTTCGTCCAGGGCCTGGTCTGCACCGGTCTCTGGATCCTGGGGCACGAGGCCGGACACGGCGCCTTCTCCAAGCACGGCTGGCTCAACCACGTCGTCGGCTTCTTCTCCCACTCTGCGCTGCTGGTGCCCTACTACTCTTGGAAGTTCTCCCACCACCGCCACCACATGTTCACCGGCCACATGGACAAGGACATGGCCTTTGTTCCGAGGACCAAGGTCGACTATCTCAAGCGCGCAATGGCTTCGCTGGAGATGCTCGAGGACACGCCCGCCTACCAGTTCATCACCCTCATGTCTCACCAGCTCTTTGCCTGGCAGGTGTACCTCATGTTCAACATCTCGTCCGGCAGAGGCAGCCTCCAGAAGAGCGCAAACACCATGTTCGGCAAGAGCCACTTCTCGCCCAACAGCGCCGTGTTCCGCCGCAGCGAGGCTCCCTGGATTGCGCTGTCCGACGTCGGCCTCTGCTTGACCTTTTTCGCCCTGTACAAGCTCGCTGGCGTCGTGGGAACGAGCACCGTGCTGCTGGCCTATGCCCAGCCCTACTTTTGGGTTCACCACTGGCTGAGTACGTCTTTTGTCTTTTGTCCTTGATTTGAAGCCTCCTCTCCATGCCGAACGGCATTGCTAACGAGCTTTTAGTCGCCATCACCTACCTCCACCACACCCACATGGAGGTGCCTCACTATGCGGCCGAGAATTGGACCTTTGTCAAGGGAGCCCTGGCCACTGTCGACAGAGAGTTTGGCTTTGTTGGCCGCCACCTGTTTCACTGCATCATTGAGCACCACGTTGTTCACCACCTTTTCCCGTAAGTTAGCAATCAAACCTTCTTTCACTTTAAAGCTGCGCAAGCAACTGACATTCTTTTCCCCTCAGGCGCATTCCCTTTTACTATGCTGGAGAGGCCACCGAGGCTATCAAGCCTGTGCTCGGCGATCTGTACTACCGCGACGAGCGATCCTTTATTGGACAGCTGTGGACCAACTTCACCAAGTGCAAGTACGTGGTTGCCGACGACTCGGCGCCTGGCGCTCTCAAGTGGGCGCAATGATTGTGATGAATGAATGACCGCTGTTGGAAATTGATCGGCTCGGCAGGTTGGGTATTTCAGAGAGAAAATGGCGGTAAAACTCGGATAGAGGATCGGGTCAGGTCGGCCTTTGGACGGCCTTTGGAGTTATTTCTCGTGAGATGGACCGGGTTTGCCTTTGATGCGCGACGATAGACTAGAAACCACGGAAAATAGAGAGGAGGAGGCATTGCAACGTTAATAGACTTGATTTAACGGATTAAACAAAGACTCGCTCGCTTTTGTGACGAGATGATGGTGATGAGAGAATGTTTGTTGGATGAATTAAAAAAAAATTCAAGGTAGAAGAGGGGGAGAAGGCAGAAGATGGATTGTGATTTGACGAGCCGCGTCAGGTGACTGCATGTAGGCGTCGCGACGGTTAGTAGGTACGTACATTTCAATGTCTCAGGTCGCATAAGAGAAATTGAAGATGCTGCTGATGATGATGATGATGTAAAATATTCGTCTCTCTTCCCTCTCACTCGTCGCTGGACTGTATCCGAGGTTCCGCGTACTCGTATTTGACAGCGTGATGCGTCACTGGTTGGTTGATTCCTGATACCCAGCCGATGGATAGTTGTAGATAGCCCATCTTCAACTCTCGGGATATGTAAGCCAGTAGATTGTTTGACACCCAACGTCTTTACATGGCACTTCAACAGTCCGGCTAGATCCGGTATCCCAGGCCCAAAGCCCACGGTCCATGGATCCTGGAAGTCTTACATCGATCACGAACAGAGAACCACGCCGGGCGCTCACATCCTTGTGGTTAATACCGTTACAGTAATCGCCAAACCTAGTTACTTCATCTCTGCCGGGATATACTAACTTCCATATATCCTACTCTACAGATCTTGTCGCCTCTCATCCACAAAAACTCGGTCTTTATCAAGTAAATCATTCACAATGTCGAGCTTTGCCAATGCCTTCATTCTCTCAATCGACAATATCTGAGGTACACAATACATGTATATGTATCTTCTCTCACATCACGTCGTTGGAAGAATTATACTCGTCAGTACGTATCTGCAATGTCCAAATAGTTGTCCCTTTTCAAAGAAGCGCTGCATGCTTTCACTTACATATACCATGCTAATCTGATCTATCAAGTTGAAGATGGACGAATGAGCAATACTTCTGCATAAAGAAAGACATAGAGGAGGATGGCTGAATTCCAAGACCAGAAAGGTATAGTAATCTTTCCCACTACTACCTAGGTAGGTAGTACTGTCCCGATGGGAATTGCAAAGTATAAAGTACACAACCTTTACTCAAAGCTCTCTCTGTGAAACTTAAAAAGCCACTTAAAATCATACCACAATGAATTTCTTTCTATATCTGGCATGCACGGCCAATGATAATCTCATACAATACCTAGGGTGGTTTAGATTTGTAAGGCACGGCCAACCACCTCTGCAAATTCGCCCCCTCCTCTCTTGCATATGTGAAAACGCAAATAAGCCTTCAGTCCCAGCCAATCTATTTATGTATACCCAGTAGCCGTTTGGAAAATTTCTCCACTGCTCTGAATTTGCTGGCTGGAATCTCAGGTCACAGAGTGATGCCGCAAATAGAAAACTTCTTGTGCTGGACTTGGGGAGAACTATTTCATATATTAAACTGCTACTCCCATTCCAGTCCTTCTGTATTCTCTTTTTTCTCTACTATTCATACGCAAATCTTTTTCTTTTCAGCATCAACGACCCGCCTTCTGGCACGGAAACCACCTAAATCAAAGATCTGATGGAACCATGTCATAATATTCAGCAACTCTCCTCGGAGCTGAGGTGCATGATATGGTCTCAAGTTGGTCAAACCGACAGCTATACTCAACTGCTTCGCACAAGCCGCCTCATCCGAGCTGATATCTTGACACTCGTCCCTGGAGCAGGCCTTTCTTGCCAGTGTTGGCCATACCTGCCATGTGCCTGTGGCAAATCTATCGATGTGAATCGACTGACCATCACCGTGGAGCCTTAGTGTTCCTCCCAGTCCTGGCTCAAGTTCTCCGTCCTACTGCACCGGGGCCGAGAAATATCTTGGAGAGTTGAAAGTCTGGACGACATTCTTGCGGAGCCGGTCCGCTATTTTCACCCAAAGGAAATATTCATCGACTTCCAGGCCCCCAAGAAAGGGGACCATCTCATCTCATTGCTGATACTGCGCGCCAAGGTGTTCGATGTTTGTGCTGTTTTAGATCTCGTACAAGCTCAAAGAAAACGATCACTTCGCCTACATTTCAGTGATCCATGGGCAAAGAGCGGCAAGGGTCCAAATAAGCCCTTCTGGGAAAACCGGCCTTGCTCAAACAGCATCAAGAGAGACAGGATGCGGCGTGTTCTACGGCGACAGATTCCTAGCCTCCGGATGCATATGCTCGAGAACCGCCAGGCCTGCTTATTCTTTTACGAAATGATTCTGACACCATTTTGTATGCACTGGGCCTGGAGAAACGCGCAAGTCACATTCGACAAGGAGCCCAAGCCGAAGAGCACCTCGTTCACCTCGCAAACTTGGGTCGTTGGCGAAATGGTAACCGTCCACCATGGCGTCAGGCCGTTACTCCTTACAGCGTGGGCATGGGTCGAGCGCCTGATGCAACAGGGCAAAATAAAGAGATCAGAGGAGGAGTACGTGCCTGAATTCGAGAACCAGCAAGCCCTGCGTCAGGAATGGAACTCTCCACAAGCCCAGCATATCTCTTGGATGCAATCACTCAAAGAGTACCACCTTTTTTTTACTAGAAACTCACAAGACTTTCATCACCTTGTACAGATGAATTGGTCACGACAAACAGGCCTTGTTGAAATTATTGGCCGGCATGCCAATTTATCTCCCAGAAACGGCTTCGCAGAACTACAGCCTAGGGCGCTCGTCTCGTTGGCACATGTTGGCCGTGCGAGGCTACGCACTTGGAAGTGGAATCATTACATTATACGCCAAACATACAGAGATTGGAGCCTATCTCGCTTGACTATGCCATCTGAGTCGGAGTCGGACGCTGCAGCCCGAATGATCTACTTCGGAATGGTTCAAGCACGCGAGCTGAGGTTCAGTTAGCTATCCAAGTGGTAATGGTAGCCCCATTCCGTCTGGGGATCTAATATATTATACAGTGGAATTCGAGTGCTGCCTGAACAGTCGTTCCCTTACAAAAGCACACTTGATGAGCTGATTCAGGAAGACCGCACATATTTGGAGGATCAGGCACGTTGGCAGCGGAAACTGGGGCGTTCGCTCGATATGGTCACTCTTGTTGGATTCTTCCTCCATGCTAGGATAAACATCATCAGCTTACGGCTAGAGTAACAAGAATACATAACTCGTCATAAATCCTATGAACCATGATACCAAGGCGATGTTATAATGTATACAATGTGACCCTCTGCCCAGAGATATCCGCCTCCCTTTGTAGCTTGACATTCTCCCTCCGCAGCAAGATCTTCAGCAACGAAGAACACCCAATACTAATAAAAGAAAACACCATCATGAGTATCATGGCGAGCGCATACCGAGGTTCATCTTGCGGACGGAAAAAGTACGGGCTCCAAATGTTACCCAGCTGGGCAAGCAGGTTGATGATAGCCGTCGCAGCAGCCCGCTTTTCAGGCGTCTGGTTAAGCGTACTGGCTGCCCACGAGTATACCATGGCATTAGCCGCAAAGGCGCCGGAGCAGTAGAGGAAAGACGCAAAGTAGCGAGCTCCAATGTTTAGCGTCGCTGTGGAGATGATGAAACCTACAGCTGCAACGGCCATCGGGATCGAGATGTGATAGCTTCGTTCGTTGTGACGGTCACTCGAGTAGGCAACTGCAAACGAGACCGCGGCACCGAAAAGGTAGGGGGGTGCCGTGAGGACGAGCGTGATGGTCTGAGAGCCGATGTGGAAGCCGCTTACGATGGTGGGGAAGAAGTAGTTGAATCCGTAGGCTGTATGGTTGGAACATAGGAGGAGTGTCTGGAAGCACGGTATGTGTGAGCCACGGACGATAGATGCGCGGTATGGAAGAACTTACAAATATCCACGTTCGGTAGTCCCTAAGTGCCAAACGCACGCCATACCAAACAGATCGGTCTGCCTCGGGAAGCGATACACGGTCGAGAGCCATTCTCTTCGCAGCCAGCTCCCGTTCCTCCTCGGAAAAGAGCCACCTGCCACTGCCGGTTTTGGATTCAATGTAGTCAGGAAGAAGGAAGAAGGCAATCAGAGCGGCAAAGAAACTGCCCGAGCCATCAATGATGAAGAGCCACTGCCAGCCTGCGATGTTTCTAGTTCCATCAAGGCCAGAGAATACACCGGCTGCAATCAAGCCCGAAAACGCGGTTGCAAGAACAAGGCCAGAGTATAAGACGGCAGTGCGTAGGGCCAGCTCTTTTCTTGTGTACCAGCAAGACAAGAGATAGAAGGCCTTTTTCGGTAGGCAGACGTCAGCATACTCGTTGCTTATAAAAGGGTCAGTTGGAAACTCACGCCTGGGAAGAAGGGAGCTTCCACAATTCCGAGAAAGAAGCGAACCGTAACCAGGCCTCCATAGCTCGTTACGGCTGCTGTGGCGGCTGACACGCATGACCAGACGGCGACACAGGCAGGCAGGTAAATGCTGGGCCTGATACGCGTGATGAGCATATTGGACGGGAGCTGGGCAAGCATATATCTATCTCTTCATTAGACAATGATGGCCAAAGAGGCAAATGCTCAGGGTATGGACTGACCCAACATTCAAGATGGATACAGCTGTATTGAAATCGTCGCCGGTTAATCCGAGGTCCCTCTCAAAGGTGTTCAATCTAGCTTGACTAAGGTTCTATGTCAGCACGTAATTCCACAAGTTACATCTCCAAAGGGGTCATACGAGATGTTGTTTCGGTCCAAGTAGTTAAATAAGTATAAGACCCATACTACCGGCAGCAGGGTCATATCGAGTTTACGGACCAATCTCTTTTCGCGCGCCCGCCATTCTGGTGTCTCAAGGGGTTCCTCTTGAGCAAGACCGCCCTTTTCAGTGCTAATGTCAGGCATTGTCTCCAAGTGCTCGTGACCAGATGCATTCTCCTTCACCGGAGTAGCAGCCACATCACTCTTGGAGACTGTGTCTGAGCTCATGGTGAAGTATCTTGAACGAGCGAGTTGAGTTAAAAATGTTCAAAGTATTTGCATTGGCAGCATGAATGGTGCCTGTGGGAGAGGCGCTAAGGACCAAGAGAAGACATCAAGACTGAAAGAAAAGCAGTCGATGCATCATGGGAATATATACTTTCCAGGCTTACACTCACAAGGTGACGAGCAGCGGTGCAGAGTTGTAACCCGGACCGGCAGACCATGGACGCGGGGACCCCAGATATTACCCCAGCGATTAAACTTTGTCGGACCTAAAATCAAGGAAAACCTGGGGTAGACCGCTGGTGAGGAAATAGGGGGCGATCTTTTGTCTGGCGCTCAGCAACAGAGACGCCGATCGGCATCGTCAGCTGGCCGATCGGAGAAGAAACGCCGGTCGGCCGTCCGTCCGGCGAGCGATTGTCTCCTCAAATGATGAACTGTAAATCTGATGATCACTCGGACTCTGGAGATGTATAAAACTGGACGAAAACTTTCAGATTTGGATCAAAAAGTTTCCAACAGCAAGTCTTTCAAACAGTCCTTTCATCTCCTTCCATTCAACACCTCGCTTTCGCCAAAACCGCCAAAATGACTTACACAAACGGAAATTCAAACGGGCACAATGGACATGCCGCCACCCCGACTCCCGCAGCAACTCGGCTCCGAAAGATGCTCACAGAAAGCGATGAATTGATTGTCATGCCGGGTGTCTATGATGGCTTCAGTGCCAGAATTGCTCTGGAAGTTGGATTTGAGGGCCTCTACATGGTAAGCTGTTCCCCCCGATGGACATGATTTGAGGGGGGGGCGGCCCCGCCCCCCCCCCCCCCCCCCCCCCCCCCCCGTACGTACGTTTTTTTTTTTTTTTTTGGGGTTTAAATTGTTTTTTTTTTCCCCCGTTTTATATTTTTTTTCCCCCCCCCCCCCCCCCCCCCCATGATGCTAATGCTGCACCTAGACGGGCGCCGGAACATGTGCTTCAAAGCTTGGACAACCAGACTTGGGCTTTGCCTCGCTCAATGACATGAGAGAGCACGCCGAGATGATTGCGAATCTGAACCCCCGCATCCCTCTGATTGCTGACGCTGACACGGGCTACGGCGGGCCCAACATGGTTGCTCGCACGGTGGCGCAATACCACCGCAGTGGTGTCGCGGGTCTTCACATTGAGGATCAGATTCAGACCAAGCGCTGTGGGCACCTCGGGGGCAAAGAAGTCGTTAGCGTTGACGTCTTTGAGCAGCGCATCAGTGCTGCCGCTGCCGCCCGGGACAAGCTGGCGTCTGACATTGTCATCATTGCCCGAACAGACGCTCTTCAGACGCATGGCTTCGAAGAGGCCATCCGTAGGCTGAAGGCCGCAGCCGCTGCTGGTGCTGATGTTGCATTCCTCGAGGGCGTGACCACCAAGGAAGAAGCGCGAGAGGTGTGCCGTTCGCTTGCACCAACCCCAGTTCTCCTGAACATGGTTGAGAATGGAGCTACACCGTCCTGGACAGTGGCTGAAGCCAAGGAGCTTGGCTTCAGAATCATCATCTACCCCTTTGCGGCCCTTGCCCCAGCGTATGAAGCCATACGCAGCACATACCTGCGAATCAAGGAGACTGGCGTCACTGACATTGATCCGACTTTTACCCCCAAGAAGCTCTTCACAGTTGTAGGCTTGAAGGAGGCGACTGCGGTAGATGTTGCAGCTGGAGGGCAGCTGTACGAAAAGGTGTAATTTTAGTTGATATTTGACAAGTTTTGTGTCCATAGATATCGCGGAAAATAGAAGCGAGTATGCGTATCACGATGATTGCCACGTTTTTACTACGGCACACGCTCGACCTCATCTGTGAATTTTGCATCTGTGGTGCATTAGAAGTTATCATCAGCCCTGCCATCCCAAGTTGAATCCATCTGCAAGGCTACTCAAATGGTCAAACATCATGGCATCTTGCACGTCTTCGGAACTAAATAGCGGCTGTGCATTTAATGTCAGCGGAAGCGGGCGTAATTCGGGCATCATCAACTTATCTTGTATTTCTTCAGAGTTTTCATTATCGCCACCGTCAGATTGGAAATGTTTCCTCCATTCCCAAAGCGAGTCGTAAACGATGCTCATGCTAAGGCGATTTCGAACACGCAGGCGCAAGTCATCAACGGAGTCACCGCTAATGACTCGAGGATCCGGCAGAGTACAAAAGAAGCCAATGACATCGCTGAGACGGCCCGGGAGATCGTTGTTCGCAACCGACATCTTTCTCAGTGACGATATGGCGGCATCGAGCAGTCTTTTTCCGGCTTCGATATCCAGTAGCTTTTCGAAATACCCATTCATCATCACCTTGAGAATGATAAAGGCCGCAGACACAAATACCTGGTAGCAGAAGAATGGGCAGTAATGGAAGAATCCGCTTTCCTGGTTATCCATCTCGAGGCACTGCTCTATCATTGAGTAAGCAGTTTGGTATAATACAACGATGCGATCGGAGTATCCATCGACACTAGACTCGTCAAAGAGGTAGAATGAGTGGAGATGAAGGCGGGCGGCGGCGAGATAGTAACGAGTTATGGCTGCACAATCATTAGCATACTTGGCGGGCTTGAGAGGGGGCGAAATCCATTACGCGTCATATTGATTGCCTCGCGCTCCAAGTCCACGAGAGACGCGTTGAGAAGTCGGTACAGCGATAGCCGCTCACGAGCTGACATGAATCCGGCAGGGTCGAGAGCATTGGACGTCAGTGCTTGAGACACTCTGTATCGAAACTGCTCGATGCGAAGATGCCATCTCAGAGCAATATCGTGAGGCGACGACATTGTTGACTCGGGTGCAACCGTGAGGGACCAGTCGTGCATTTGTATCGTAGCTGGCAGGCCGCATCCGACACTCACGCTATGAGAGCGTTAGATGTGTAGGGACGAAAGTGAAGTGATGAGAATTGGAGCCTCACCTTTGCGCGACAATATTGCAAGCTTCCCACGTCTTTACCCATTCGGAGTATTCATACACGCTGAGATGCAGAGGAACCTTGACAAAGTCCTCCGCGTTGAGGGCGCGATGTAGCCCCATTTGCGTTCCAATCTGCACCATCATGCCTGCTAGCATATACGTCGGATCTGCAGTGCTGCTGCTTGTCGGAAAAGGCCATGTACAGAGAATCACGAGGCTTTGCACTGCTCGGAGTGAATATGGAATAGAGCGAAGAGTTTTCCATAGATAGTCGGTAACGCTTCTCGCGAGCTTGGGCAGTAGTGTGGGATGGCTTTGTAGCCTCCGGGCGGCGACAGATATGATGGACCAGAAAAGCAGCTCAGACGACTCGTAGTATTCATGAAGCGAGGTGCTTGGGTCCAAAAAGGGTAAATATGGGTGATAGTGAAGGATGTAACTGCGTTTAATGTCAGTTTGTGTTCTCAGCCAAGTAACGGCAGCACTTCTCCCTCACATGAGATACAACTCGTCAATCTCTTCGACAGAGAGCTCAACATTGCCCAGCTTCCTGGCCCTTGGAATGGTGATGATCGATCTCCGCGGCGCCTGAGGTTGGTCAATGACGGGCTGTGTAGTCAGTCCCGGAACACGAGAGCTTTCTTTTGGATCCGGCGATAGGCCAGACGCCCCGGATACCGATGATACAGCTGCCTCACTAACGCGCGCCTCGGCTAAGACGCGTCAAGCAGGACATCATGTTAGTTTCTCATGGTCGACCAGCAGTAAACAGTGACGTATCCGTGAAAAAGGCTGGATATACTAACAAGGAGCTGCTGGAGTAAGGATTGGCCATTCGAGCGCAGCATTGCCAGCTTCGCGAGTGGCTAATTGGCGTCTAAGCTCTCTGACTTCATTCTCCAGCTCAAAGGATTTCCTAGATATGAGTGAGATCAATGTTAGACAACTCTTGTTTCCCTCAGAAAACTAGACGTTTCCCATTTTCGAGACACACTTGCCTTCTCTTCCGTGTCCTTCGGAAGTCATTGTCTACTTTGCATGCAAGATTCAGTCTCTGACACCGAGAGCACGTACTTGGGGCGCCATCGCCGGCCACCAAATCACATCGAAGCTACAAAGACTGTGAGCTTGCTGGTGATACATGAAATACAGAATCAGAAGATGGGAATAATCAGAAAAATCTTATACTTTTTGCTGCTTGCACTCGTTGCAGGCTCTGCGTCTCGGCTGTTTGGTTTGCTCGCCTTCTCGGGCTGTGGGAACGGTGGGAGTGACTTGTGAAGACATTTGCAGGCATTGGGCAGCTCGACCCGGCACACGCCCTGCCTGGAGAGCCGTCTTCTAGAGTCTTTAGAGTCTCGACGAGATTTTCCGTTTCTTTTGGTGAATTATTGAGAGCCATAAGAACATGAAGTAATACTGAGTTCGGGCAGGCGGACAGATGGCTCAAGGCCAATGGGCGGCACGTGACCACATACACTTTGCTTGCCACATATTTGATCCTATTCGCTACCCTGTAGCTGGGCATGTCATTTATGGTAATTTTCCTTCTTTAAAGGCCAAGTTCAATTAGACACTCCGTGTGCGATTTGCTTCACACTCGATGAAGATCCCAGTGACAGGAAAACCCAGCCATTGAATCACCCTGTAAATGAAATGCCTAGTTATGTATGTATCTCTCCTACAATGAATGAGCCTGGTGGGCCGGCATCAGACCTTACTAAGTGCTGATTCATGACAAGGAAATGCTTGAATACGCATCATGTTTAACCTCTGTCATGGCTTGGTCACCCCGAAAAGATACTTGCGCTAAAGCCTTTGAGCCACAGAGATTTACGTTTTTGGCTTTAAGCTGACATATCACCATCCCGGCACAGATACATATATGTGCAGATGCCTCTCTCTGTTGTTGACCATTGGCTCTTTCACAGACTACATTTACTTGTTATTCATATTGACCGTTATCATATATCAAGCTCACCCCAAAATGGCTTCTTATGAGTACAACGAAAGCAATCAAAGAGTCCTCTTTGGACAAGACAGCCTTTCCAAGCTCCCCTCCGAGCTCTCCAAACTTGGCTGTTCCAAACCACTCATCCTCACAACGCCCAGCAAGGCATCCTACGTGGACGATGTCGCCAAACTTTTGAGTGGCCAGATCGCTGGCTCATTCACGCGAGTCACAATGCACACGCCCAAAGAGGTCACTGAAGAGGCCTTGAAGCACTCCACATCTGTCGATGCCGACTGTTTTGTGTCCATTGGCGGTGGCAGTGCTGTCGGTCTCGGTAAAGCATTGTTTGTTCGGACCGGGTTGCCTCATATCTGTATTCCGACTACATACGCAGGCAGTGAAATGACGCCGATCGTGGGCCAGACGGAAAATAGGGTAAAAGTCACTCACGTTGATCGCAAGGCAATACCCGCAGTAGTCATCTACGATGTCAAGTTGACGTTGACACTGCCCACAAACATAAGTGCAACGAGTGGCCTCAATGCCATGGCCCACGCTGGTATGTGGACATCAACAACATGAAGCTATACCCGCAATCTCTGACGCAATTACAACATATAGTCGAGGCATTATATGCTCCAGATGCGAACCCGATTACTAGCACGTTCGCCATCAAAGGCATACAGACCTTGGCTACATCGCTGCCCCAAATAATGCAAAATCCCAACGATATCACCGCTCGCTCAGATGCCTTGCTTGGTGCTTGGCTTTGCGGCAAATGCCTTGCCGGAGCCAGTGTATCATTGCATCACAAACTCTGTCATGTCCTTGGAGGCACTTTTAATCTGCCTCACGCCGAAACGCATGCCATTATTTTACCTCATGCGCTCGCATATCTAGCCCCCAGTATCCCCGGTGTTATGAAAGAATTGGCAGAAAACATCCCGGATAGCGATGGGGATGCTGTCAATGGCCTGAACAAACTGTCATCTAAGCTGGGGATTACTTATGGCCTCAAGGATCTTGGATTGAAAGCAGAAGATATTGAATTGGCAATCGAAACGCTGCTACGAAAGCCATTCTGGAGCCCTAGACCGATTGAGAGAGACACAGTCAGAGAGCTGTTGAAGCGAGCATGGGATGGAAAGCCGGCGCAGATTGCAGAATGAGAGGTTATTGCTTAGAAAACATTTCTCTGCATAGTTTCAACAATTAATAATTAACGAGTTTATAAAACTCAGTTCAGATGCGTTCTTTGTATTCTTTGTATCTATTTCTGAGTGAGTGAAAGAGGGCGGTTACCCCAAACACGTCAAGAATGTCCAATGCAAATTTTATATGACAAGGAGTGTGCAGGGATAAAATATCACACACGTAATTTCTCCGTCTCTTGAGCTCCAATGATACATGGGTTCTGTCGAGACTACATCGCCGCAAAAGAATAGACATCTGGCTCTTACTCATATTGTTGCATAAAGCTGTTGTTGAGAATCACCTTGGAAAAGCCGGGAATATGAGTGCTATGGCACCACGGCTTGAGCGCCTCCTCTCGGTCAATTGTTTTCGCAAAGCATCCAAGCCACTGCATGCGAGGGAAGGCCTTGACGACATCCTTCAGAGTGTCGTTGTGAATAATTTCCGTAATGTTTTGGACATATGGGTGGTTGCTGGCGTTATCATAGATAGTGGCTAGCTGGATAACTTGGCCCAGGAACGTAATGTTGCCGACTGTGCCAAGATCTTGGTGACGAATAATGGTCTCGGCAATAGCCTCGGCCTGGTCTTTGGAGGCTCCAAGCTTCAAAAGGAGGTTGAGGGCTTTGAATCCTCCATAAAACTCAAATGACATGTTGGTGGCAGCCAGGTTTTCCTCAGCGGTGCCAATGTCATGTAAGAGGGAAACTAGAGCAAGAGTCGAGGGAGAAAATGCGTCGGCATGCTCGGGAAATTGTTGTTTAATAATAGCGCTGGCTATGTAAAGGCTGTTAGTTATGCAGACAGACTTGTTGGGCAACTTGAGCTTTCATACCGAAATAAAACACTCTCATGCTGTGATTGAAAGTTTCGATAGGTAGCTTGTCTTTGGCATAGCTTTGGACTTTGGCGACGATGTGATCATCATTGGGGAATTTGATGTCGGCGACGAGAAGTGGTCCTGGGACATTCTTGTATGGCTCGCCGTTAAAGAGCTTGCTTGGGTCCAATGGCACGGAGGTCCAGCCGTTCTGTTGAATTTGAGTTGCCGACATTCTGATGAGTGTATGTAATAACAATCAAATGTTATTTGAGATATAGTCTTATGGTATAGAAGATATATATGTCTGAAGCGGTGGAAGTTGAGCATGTTAGAGATGGGCACGGAGCGATGACGTAAGCGGACACTCACAGCAAAGACGGCAGCGAGGCCTTGAAGTTGAGAATTCAGGCAGCGACAAGGTAAAAGGTAGTTGTAAAAGAAGTGAATTGAACCTTTTTTTTGATGCGGGATCTTTGATTCAATTGTCAAATTGGATGGTTGTTGATGATTGTTGGAAATGCTGATGAGTCTGAGAGAGAAATCTTTTCCTCGGAAAGCCAGAATTGTCGCGACTTAAATACAGATTTGCTCATGGATTGAATGCCTGAAACGACGGCCTTACAGCATCACAGGTTTCCTAATCGGGTAATCAGGTGGCGGGGCAAGAATGAGTTGACCAAACCGCCATTATTAATGACGCGGCGTTTCCGGAGAAGGGTGAATAAGAGCCGACACCGGCGATTGAGTTGAATCATGCATCGGTTTTGAATTGAGCGATGAATTATTTACAATCTCATACGAGAGGTTGGTTATAGATGAGCGAAAACAAATATGCTAATAGGTGCACACTATGTGAGACTGCTGCGCAGTGTTTCCACAAGGGGTAATGGAATGCAATTGTGATTATTACAACTATAGGTACTATTAGATCATAACTTTGAAAATCTATTTGAGCTTCGAGTATGTGATGAGAAACAATATTGCCCAAGCTTGAATTAAACGTGATGCCATCGCAGCTCAGAAGCGCAATTGTTGGCATACGTGAATAAGTGCTTACAGCTAACCAAAACTTTGCTTCACGACACAATTTCCATGCGTGGATAATAAGCAGGCTATCAACAAGAATTGCCTTCTAAATAAGCGTGTAGAACAGCTGGCAACGTAGTACAGTAAGTCTGTCTTATACGTACTGTCTCTGTTGCTTACCTCCCGGAGATGCTGTGTCTGCTTTTATTAGTGTATCCGGTCCTGTATCCGGGCCTTTAGTCTGTCGTGTGTATCCGGGTCTGGTAGCGGCTGGTATCGAAAATGCTCTTCTCTAGAAATGCAAGACAGCTGCAAGACTGTGAATCTGATGGCTACAGGTTCCCACAGGTAGAAAAGTAGTTGGCAATGTTTACGCATCTCGCCTCCATATATATATATATATATATATATATACAAACCTTTTGTGAAACTTGTGACTATTAGATTCTAGAATGAACAACCCAACTATTTCTAGACTACGGAGCATCTGCTATTCCAACTTACCTAGGTACCGTAGAATATAATGTGCGTCACATGACGGTTTAATAGCATCAAAGACCCCTAGTTCGCCTGCTTGACACGCTAACCTCATTTGCCCGACAACTCACTCTGGGGTGCATGATTTCTCCAACTCTTCCTTCAGCTACCACACTAGGCTGTGTCGCCTCATCAAAGGCACACTTGGTCCAATGGCTCGAAAGGCCACATCTTTAAACATCTTTTGTGTGCGTTAACTGTGTCCTTAGTCAGATTATCCCGATATACTCTGCTACTTCCTACACATGATGGCATCATGAACGCCATCTCTCCACAACGCGCTGGGCCCACGAGGCGCTACAACAGGTCACGGTGCGGGTGTTTGACCTGCAAGTGAGGCTTCCTTTCACTCACACCACAACTGACTGTACAGTGTGCTTCAGGACTCTTTGCTGATAGGTAGTGAATACACAGGCGTCGCAAAGTAAAGTGCGATGAGCAGCGCCCACGATGTTCTCATTGCGAGCGACTAAACTTGGAGTGCAAATGGCGACCACATCACGCCCCTGCGTTGTCGAAGCAACGGCAGGATGCAAATGGCGAGAGCGGTACATCCAGTAACCAACTGACTCTATCTCCGTCTACCGACAGATCGCCAACTACGTCTGGTTTACGAACGCTGCAGGCCATGGACGAAGTGTTTGACTATGCTAGCTTTATGTGGGATCCGGGCAGCAGTCTTTGGCAACAGGAAAGCCCAGATATGGCAACCACCATTGCGATTAGCACGAATGCTATAGTAAGTACCGTTCATCCAATTTGCTAATACTAGCCCATCTATTCCTTCTACCTGTCGTTGACGGCGAACAAAAGCCCGAGAGAAAACTCTGATACTCACGCTTTCCATAGGAGCCCACCGCATATATAAACAGGCATATGGATCCCCTCATCATGAATTCATACTCTGATACTGCAACAATTCAAGAGAATGGGGACCAGAGTCTAGATCAGAGCGCATCTGCTACAAGTGAGAGGCTAATGGAGTTCTTCGCCAAGTCCGCCACCCCGCCTATTCTTGCCGGAGTTGAGTCTCAGAGGAAGTGGTTCTCAATCCGTCAAGGTCTTGTCACAATGTCGAAAAGCTCTCGCGTCCTACGCTGTTCTATCTTGGCATTCTCAAATACTCTTCTCTGTCGCAGCAACATGTCCTGGGCCTTTGCCGACCAAAACCACTGCGAAGAAGCCACCATGGAAGTCGAGGCTCAAGATCCAGATTCATTCAATGAACATAGCCTGGCTCGTGAATGCCTCCTTGCCGCTCTATTTTTCTTGAGTTACGTTGGGATCATAGAAAGCAGGCTCGACACGGCACATCGTTATCTCAAACAGGCGTACACAATATTCCAGAAGGGGAATAAAGCCTCATTCTCCCATGTTGAAAAGCAGGTCCTTCTTTGGATCCGGCTATTGGATGCCAGGGCAGTGTCGGCCGGTGGGGAGGGATTATTTCTGTCAAAAGATGACGAAATCGAGCTTGTAGATGCCTCTCCTGCGAGCTTTGATGCTGAGACGGATGAAATTGCGAGAAGCCAGGATGCTTCCAGTGACGACATTGAGGACGTTTTGTTCCAAGTCCTCTACCAACCCGGCATCGTCTTTTTCCAAAAGGTACAAAGCTTCATGGGGCGCATCTCAAAGATTGATCCCTGGCATCGATCAAGAGGAACTGTCGAAGACGAGATAGAAGTCATGAACATTGGCGCTTCCATAGCTGCCGACCTCCGATCATTGTACGATCAGCGTCCACCACTCATGGACTACGCCGTCGCGGGAAAGTTGTCGGAGCCTCACATCTCGGCGCACCTGGCTTTCACCATTACGAGAGCTTTTCGCACGTACTTGTCCAACTACTACGCCAGCAAAGTCCATCTTCATCGCGTTGCTTACAAGCACCTGCCATTGACCAAAGAAGCAGCCGATGCCCTTGGTCAAATCCGCAAGCTGGCGCACCAAATCTCGTCTGATCTCGCTCCCGATGACTCGCTTCCGGTAAATATGCTCTGGCCTCTCTTGATGCTGGGCGTAGAAGAGCAGGATCAAGATGAAAAGGCGTGGATTCGAGCTCAGATTGTGAGGATGGAGGGCGTCGCGGGGAACGCAAGAATCACGGCGCAAGTCCTTGAAGAAGTCCAAGCTCGCCAAGAAGCATCAAAGTCTCGTGCTGACATCCGATCCGTGATGCATGCGGTCTTTAACTCCTGTTTTGCAATCTTGTGATCAATCAAGCACAGAGTATCAATGGTGTGTGTCCGCTCGGGTCGGCAATGTCGGGAATTAAGAGTCGTCGGCAAGACAACCCCACGCCCATCGCGTCGATTGAAGCACGAATAAGGTGATGCGATCAGTCACCCAGACGCGGGGAGACTTTTTCGTGTCTGGCTACCACATTCGGGGTCTAATACAGTTTCTAGGAAGTCCGATATAGGCTTCACCAGGTTTTCAATCCCGTCACTATCTAATTCGACGGAGTGATATATAAGACTCTGAACGGTATCCCTGAGCATTAAGTAACAGCCTTCTTCAAGAAATCTTGCCGCCTTGAATTCCTCGAAACAACACAACACACCATTGAAGCAAAACATCAGAAACTTTCGATCTCTTCCTCATAGCAGAAATAATGGGCTCTTTGCAAGCAGTCAGGCCGTTTCCGCCTGGTATTCATGTGCCCAGCTTAACCTGGTTCGGCAACGACGACTCCCAAGAAATTGACTGGGATTTACAAGAGAGACATTTGAACTTTGTCATCACTTCTGGTCTTCATGGCGGTCAGCGCTTTTACACGTTTCCTGGTAGCACAGCAACAGTAGCTGACGCGAATTTAATCTAGTTGTCATTGCGGGAACGAATGGTGAAGCTGTGACATTGACTCAGGATGAAAAGATCAAACTTCTCACAATGACACGTCGCATCGCCACTCAGGCTGGAAGACCAGACATCGCAATCACTGTAGGATGTTCCGGACAGTGCACACGAGATGTCATTGCAGAATTAAAGGCGGCAAAAGAAGCTGGTGCCGATTTTGCCTTGGTACTTGTACCCAGCTATTTTCATTTTGCGATGAATAAAGACAGCATAGTTGCATTCTTCGAAGAGGTATGAGGAACCTTTGTTTTATTCCGAGTTACGAAGTCGATACTGACGCACAATGTGCAGGCAGCTGATGCAAGCCCGATTCCCATCTTGATATACAACTATCCCAATGTTGTTGCCGGACTTGATGTCGACTCCGAGATGCTGGATCGCCTTGCTAAGCATAAGAATATCGTCGGAGTAAAGCTGACGTGCGGTGGAATTGCCAAGGTGTCTCGCATTGCTGCTACATACGGTCCCGACAAATTCAGTGCTCTTGCTGGTCAAAGTGACTGGCTCGTTCCAGCGCTATCTGTCGGCAGTACAGGCGCCATTACCGGAATTGCAAATCTGTACCCCAAGGTGAGTTTGATGCAACGATGTTTTGCCACCCAGGAGTGAGCATTGCTGACACAATGAGTTTACAAACTTCAAAGACATGTATACAAATTTATGATCTGTTTGTAGCGGGCAAAGTGAAAGAGGCCACGGCACTGCAGTTGGAGCTCGCAAAGATGGAATGGGGCTTTGCCAAGGGCGGTATCAACGGAACGAAGTGGGTGGTAGCAAGGTTGCGTGGCTATCCCCAAGAAAGCTGTCACTGTCGGCGACCATACCCAAAGTATGACAATGCTACACAGCAAGAATGGATTGTTGGCGTGGTTGGCGCTCTGGAAGCAACTGAGAGAAGCATTGCCAAGGGCTCGACATGAAAGCGACAGCATCATGAGAACTGATCTTTGGCGTTGGGCTTGACAATATGACATATAAGAAGAGTCCTTTAACAGCAATTTGTAAAGCTAAATCATATCGGAAGACAACAATATCATGTTTATGAGTGCATGCCCCAATCGTCTCTATGGACTTGAGTCTAAACTCTACTTTGGCATATGAGACTAAGAATACTGTGGTATAAAAAGCGATAAGCGTGTTTCTGCGCCATGCGGTCACATAACTCGATGTCGTATACACTTGTAAAATCTCCAGTATGTTAAGCCGAGCTGATGACACACCCTTGACGATATATCGGACCATATCTGACGCCGATAGTCACAATCACGGGCGTCAGTTTGCGACCGCAAATCCTCTGTTTCTTCAAGCCAGGACTCATGGACTCAACTTCTTGGTCGTGTCGACTTCAAAGGGACAGCCGATCGGCTCGGATATCGGATACGTCGCTTACTGCCCAGCCCCCCAAACAGCTCGTCGTCTCATTGGCCTCACATTTGCCACCTCCTTCGCCATGGCGTAGCGCCACCAGCAATAAACTGTCGGCAAACCCACGTTTGCTCCCGTTCTAAGACAAAGAAGGCTTGAAATGGTTCAGTCTTTGCCGACAAACCTGGGAGGTCACTTGTGACCCGAGCTGGATCTTTTCCCTTGTACTCTCCTTCCTTCGAAGAAGAATCTGATCTGAATTGTCGCCTCCGCATATTTCCCCGCACGACGCTACTCAGTGAAAAGCTGGGGTATCGTGGAAATGGTTCGACAGCAATAGCCCGTATTCTTTTTTGCTAGTTGGCGAAGACCCCACCATCTTCTCGCCAGATCCGATGGCAAGCAGGCGAAGGCGATGAACGTCAGACCGCAAGACTCTCATATATCTTACGAAGTTGTCCGTTTGTCTTTCGAGTTTGCTGATTGCTAAATGGCCTCGGATTTCATTCCTGCGCGGACCAACTTTATAATCACTAACATAGGTGCGTATCTGTCTGGTGTTACGAGGTCCTTCACATAGTTGACAAGGTAAAAGGCCTTCAACATCATGGGTGGATTTCGTGCCGTTGAAGATCGGCCAACGCCGAAAGAGGTGTACAATTGGCGGCTGTATACCGAAGCTGCAATCATAGCGACAGGTTCTCTGCTGTAAGTGTCTTCCGCATTACGAAAAGCGCATGCGGTCTGTTCTAATGCAATGATAAACAGCTTTGGCTATGACGGTGCATTCGTTGGGACGACAATCGCTCGCGCCAGTTTCAAAAAAGACTTTAATATTTCGCCGGCCGATGCCAACAGCATCTCCAGTAACATCACGTCTGCATTCCAGGCGGGAGCTTTTTTTGGTGCCATTTTTTGCTTCTTTAGTAAGTTCAGGAATGTTCAAAGCAACAGGTGGTATCCCATGTGTGCTAATTATGGGTGAATAGTTACGGAAAAGGTAGGCCGAAAATGGGCATTGTTCATCTCCAACGTTGTATTCCTCGTTGGCGCAATCGTCATGACTGCAGCTACGCATTCACTCGCCAACATATGTACGTCCATGGCATTTCACTCGGCTTATATGGTGCTGTAAACCTTCTGTGGCTAACTCTGGTTGTAAAGATGCTGGCCGAGTTCTTACCGGTCTTGCTTGTGGCGGAATTACTGCGACTGTTCCAAGCTACATTGCCGAGCTTTCGATTCCTTCTATCCGGGGTATACTCACCGGTCTCTTCGAAATCGCATATCAAATCGGATCTGTAATTGGCTTTTGGATCAACTATGGAATCAACCAGAACATGGATGTAACCTCAACCGCTTCGTGGCGTATCCCTATGGCTATCCAAATCGTTCCATGCGGTATGCTACTGATTGGAGGAGCATTTCTTCACGAGAGCCCTCTTTGGCTCTTTCGAAAAGATCGAGCAGAAGATGGAACCAAGTCACTGGAAGGAATTCGTCATCTTTCTCGAGACCATGAGTGTAAGATACGTCTCGGCCGACTTCAAAGAAGGCTAGCTAACATGAACATGCCACAGACTTGAAAGAAGATATACAAATGATCCGAGGTCGTCTGATTGAAGAAACCAATATTGCGAGCAGATATGGAACTGGGTCGTGGGCACTCTTCCGCGGAGCCCTCTACGAATTATCAAGGAAGGGAATGCGAAACCGCATCATTCTGGTCTTTTGCTCCTTTGCGCTACAAAATATGTCTGGAGCCGCAGGTAAGTCATTCGAAATTGATGGAGATATCGTCAGCTTACAAAGTGTTGCGTAACAGCCATCAACTATTATTCACCAACGCTCTTCGCTTCACTTGGGATCCAAGATGTCTCTCTATACACTGGCATCTACGGTCTTGTCAAAGCAATCGCTTCCATCCTCTTCTACGTCTTTTTGATCGATATATGGGGTCGCCGACATCCAACCATTCTCTCCTCTATTGCTTGCTCGCTCTGCCTTTGGATCATTGGTGCATACGTCAAAATCGGGCACCCAGCCGACATCATCAAAGCCGGACATGAGCTCTCACCATCCACAGCGGCTGGTGGCAAAGCTGCGACTGGCATGATCATGATATACTCGGTCTTGTATGGCAGCATGAGCACCCGCCCGCATTGAAAGTATCCGACTGCTAACTCGATTTTGATAGCTGGTCTTTTGGCCTCAACGGTATACCTTGGATTGTTGCCGCCGAAATCTTCCCAGGTGCCCTGCGTAACTTTTCCGGGACATGGGCAGCGCTCTGTCAATGGTGAGACCGATTTCGACCATTACAAAACTTGATCAATACTGATATTTGTATACAGGCTCACCCAGTTCGTTATTACCAAGGCTCTACCCTACATCTTCACCTCCCTGGGCTATGGTACCTGGTTCTTCTTCGCCTCTTGGATGTTACTCGCAACCATTTGGGCCTTTTTCTTTCTGCCAGAAACAAAGGGCAAGACTTTGGATGAGATCGATGTTATCTTGTAAGTACAGCCAACGACAACCTATTTCATCTTCATGGTTTGCTGACTATTGTGCATTAGCGGGTATACGGAAGATAGAAGGGAGTTCTTCCCGGGCCAATCAAATGGCGATGTTATCAAGGAAGATGCAGAGGTATTCACAAAGGATTAACATATCCATACTTGATTAGCTCTTTCATTACTCTTATTATACTTCATTAATATTAATGATCAAGAACGTCTTGCCGCATCTACAAATCTATATAAAACATGATACGTATGATTCGGCAGCACCGTCTCGCCTATGTAGAAGATACCCGATGCGCACCCACACGATCAGAGTATCTTCGCAGCCCGTCCTACTATGTGAACTCTTAGTACACCGCAAACCGCAGTAACCCAGAGAGACAGGCTGGTGGCCCCGAGCTCGACCAGTTTCATCCATGCGAAAGCTCGTGGAATCAATCCGCATTTGAACGCATCTTACAATTACTGATTACTAGGCCCCCAGCATAGGAAATTCATGTACTCTGTGGGCTTTTTCGGAATACAACGTTGTCTCCGCTTACAACTTCCAGGGTAGTATTATGCGAATAGTTGCAGACATGAACCATGAATGTAACCGTTCGAGCATATTTCTGCCGAGGGGTGCGAAAGGAGTGAAGGGTGCATAGGGTGTGGAAGGTGTACCTTGCATAGTAGTCTTGAAAAAGAAGAGAGAGAGAAAAACAACTCTGTTTTACGAATAACTCAAAGTCATTCAGGAGAAAGCAATGCTTGCCAGCTCCCATAGGGTGGCCTTCTCGGTGAAATTTCGATGCAATACGCGTACTCAACTCTCGTACTATCAGGCTAACGAAAGGGCGTAAAAGATGCTTAAAGTGGCCACTATGTCCTGCTGCCTTGGACTATTTCTACCCCTGCACGCCCTTCTGTTCACTCATACTCTCGGTGTAGAACTTCTTCTTTCGGTTTTGATCTCGATCCTAGGGTGGCGAATTTGGCAGTTCAAAAAAAAGTAGAGAGATGAGTAGGTGTACGGCTACCTATTCGCAAGCGCAGCATTTCTTTGGATTAGCTTTATGTAACATCGCATAATTGTCAACAGAAGTTTGGGGACGATCATGAACAAAACAAGAAGGTCTTCTTCGAAGTGGGCATAAGCAAGCACTTAGCTAGAGACATGAAACGCGGGTTACATGGGGTAGATGTCAGCCTCTTTTCTCTCTCAATATTCCACTAGTGAATTACTTGTCTTTATTGAGTCTGATAGCTAACTCCCAGTTCAACTCATCTGCATATTCTGCAAAGCGGCAATTATAAGTGAGCGACAGTGACATTGAGTCAATTTGCATGCATATAATAATGTTGTTCCTCGTGAAGACCTAAACGACGAATAGTGGCCTTATTCAGAGATAAATACCCTATAGTTCTTACAAAGACGATGATGGTGTATATCGAGTGAAATCCGAGTGATCAACTGTCAACCGATCGAGGTGACAGAGTCTCAGCCGGTACGGTCCGCGCTTAGCGGAGTGAGACAACTGAGCCGGATCGACACAGATCATTGTTACGATGCTAATGCACCAAATCGTGTTTGTCTGAAACAAAAACTGGACGTTAGTGGTTGTGGTGATCTGACCGCTGATCATGCACTTAAATCGTGTCTAACATGTCGATCGATGGCATTGCGGCGCGGCATCCGTGAGATGCTTATTCTGTTAGTCTGTTGAGAGTTTCATGCACCCTTGCGCAGAAGTAAAATGTTTGGATGGCGTTGGTAGTGTGTTCTTAACGCTGCGTGATGAGTAAATTGACAAGTGCAGAAGATGGCGATAGCACTCACATTGATGCACTACTATTGACTACGATGACCTTTTCCCACCACAACACATATACCACTGCAATCGACAAAACTTGATTGGGTGTGATACAACCTTCTGTTTTAAGTTTACTTGACAATGGAGTTTCACGCATTTGTGTACTGTTGGAGAATGGCTGTAAATAGAAAAAGTCTCTGAAGATCCTACAATGCAACGAAGGATACTCAGTAGAGCGGGGCATAACGAGAATAGCCGCTGTAATGAAAATCCGGGAGATCGTCCCGAAAGCCTTCAAAGGATCAAAACCTTTAAGTAGACTATTATAAGATTAAAGCTGCATTTATAACGTTGCCATCTTAGATCAAAACTGGGCACTTGGTAGATATTCTTTTGAGAGCAACGATTTTCACTTTAGGTTTAGAAAACACACAACATTGAGTTGCTGTATCCGACAACTGGGACCTTTGGCTTGCGGGGTGAACAAGTTTGAACCTCAGACCGGGGTTGGTTAGACTTGGCTGCGCCCGAGGCAAACAAATGACCCAAGATTGATTGCAAACTCCGGCGGAGACTCCCCATTGAGCATCATACAAGGGCACGCATGAACGCCTGCAGCTCAGTTGAAGTTCTCGTCGGTGTCAAAAGAAAAGATCCCTGATGCCGCTCGGCCCGTTTCAAAGGGACGTTTCTCGAGACTAACGACTCCACCGTCAGCTTACCTATCATCGAATAGGAAGCTCCAAATGATGGGAACTGTCTGTTGCTTCTAAAGATATGTGCTGCTGTCTGTTGAGATGATTGGCCAAGATGTGCAATGTGACTGCGTCAGTTAGCCGCGGTCCCAACTAATCGAATGCGTCCGCCCTGCGATTTGGCTCAACCTTAACAGAATTTGGCGGGGAGAAAACAAAAACCCCTGATTTAACGTGGATTTTCTTTCTTAGCGCTACGAGTACACGATCCAAGTAAACTTTGCAATTTGATTTGATCACCAGAATAGGCAGCTACTTAAAGGCAAACCCCGAATACGGCCTCCAACACTCATCATGATTCCGGCATCATTTGTATTCACCGAGGAGTCCGACGCTGAGAAAACTGCTTCGGAAGCGATATGCCAGTTATTCTTGGCAGTAAGACAATATTCCCGTACGGAGGATATTGCCGTCCGAATTAACGCCCATGGTGCATGCCAAGGATAGATGATGGCTTGTTAGCCTAGTAATTAGCTAAATGTTCCTTCTTAGATCAGGCAGGGGGGCGCCCATCGTTGATTGACACTTTGTGTTTCTCGGCTGCTTCACCACCACCGATCAATTGGATGGTCGAACGTCTTTCGGCTAGTAGTTCACAGTCCTCATATATGTTTCAGGGTTGTGCACGCACGAAAGAGGCATCACGAACAACGACCGGGCAAGAATAATTGACTGAAAGATAATATATATACGTTGATCCTAGATATAGACACGGCCTCTAGGAAAAGGCTTTAAAAAAGTGCCACAGGGGGCAAATATAGACATGTAGGCAAATATAGACATGTAAACCCAAGAGTAGAAGCAAGCAACGCCGCGGAGATTTCCATCATTCCAGGCCATCGCGCTTCATATTCCGTTCCTCCTTTTCTTTTTGTTGACTTAGAAGACATCGCCGAGCATACGGCCGGCGACGTCGGCGACGTAGCAAGGAACGCCAAAGCCGCCAGCAGCAGTGCTGAGATCGCCGGAGTTGACGCTGCCGGAGTTGTACTCACGGAGGGCAGGGTAGATGGTAGACTCAGCCCAAGCGTTGCCCCAGTGCTCCAAGTTGCCCTTGAAGTGCTGGGTACCACCGTTGATCATGGCAGAGGTCGAAGACTATTGACAGTGTTAGAGGCAAAAAGGGCAAATGAGACTTGGAGTATATGAAATGTCTACATACCTGGGGAAGGCCGTGCTGGCCCTGGAATGAGGGGCAGTTCTCGCACTGCATGAGACCGCAGTCGTTGTTACCAGTGCACTGGACACCGACGTAACCGTGGCTCTCCTGGAGGATGATGGCGAGGATGACACGCTCGTCAACACCGATGGTGGCGGCGGCGTTGCTGATGGCGACGTTGATACGGCCAACATCGTCCCAGGTGGAACCGGCGTTGACCATGTCCTGCTGGTAGCGGCTGAAGACCTCAGTCCAGGGCAGCCACTGGCTCATCTTGGGGAAGTTCTGCCAGCCACCGTTGTATTTGCAGCCAGCACGAGACTCGAGCTCAATGGGGGAGGCGAAGACGGCAGGCAGAGCAGCCAGGGCGGCGACGAAGATAGTCTTGAAAGCCATTGTATCGGTTGAGATGGTTCGAGGATGAAAGGCTGTTGTTTGGTCTTTGTTGAGCTGAGTTGTCTGGGTTGACTGGTGAAGAGGATATTGTCGATCACGAAGGGAACTGGTCCCTTTATAGCTTTTCCATCTCGTGAAGTTTGTAGCGTGTGCTCGAAAAGGAAGCTCAAAGAAGCAACCTATTAAGATAGTGTAGGCGCAACACACCCACAAGGTTCATGTAAGGCGCGTGTTCCTACTAGTAGCGGTTCCATGATCGAGTACATGATGGGAAAAGAGTCATTACGTGAGTCGGCAAACCGGCATCACCATAAGCTTGGACGAGTTCCAAGGCTGATTGCCGGGTGTGTCGATATGAGCATTGCTCATGCTGCTATGCGAATACTAACATGCTCTACGGAGGAGCCGCGGGGGCAAAGGTGGGCAATTGGTCTTCAGCCGCGCGTCTGGGATTCCTCATTGGAGAGTTGATGGCATACTAGTAAGACAAGCATGCCCAGATGGTTATCGTACCCTTGAAACAAATTGGGTCATGGTGGGCAGAATATGCCCGCAACATCATGAGACTCCATTGTCCTGCAGGACCAATAGCTGAATCCGCCTTCACGAGTTTGTGCTTGTAGTTTCCATATTAAGCAATGGTCTAGGTCCCTTGTGGAGATGCAAAACGTGCCCAACTAACCACTTGTAGGCATATCTAATATCCCTGTTTCATATTGAGGCTCAGAGGCGCTTAAGGTTCTATGCTTCGTGGATAAACTACTCTGACTGCTATTTTAAAGCACTGTCATACAGCGACTCAAGTGATGCTATTCCTAGCCTATGCCCCGAACGCATTTGGACGAATCATTTTGCGTTTTGGGAAAGGATTACTACGTGTCATGTTTTGGTTACTGACGTCCATGTATATAAGCATCTTCAAAGAATCCACACACATAAAGTGCCTTCTAAACGGATGGGTTGCGGCGGTAGATACGCCAAGGAATATGTATTCAGGGGGGGTCGCATTCCGGCTGCCGTATCCTACAGGGGAATCATAGTCTTGACTCTTGAGGAAATTTCGGGCGAGAGCATTATCCCGCGATGACCAAACCCGCTCGCCCTTGAATAAACCCAGCAATGCCCAGGAGGGGTAGGAGAGAACAAAATGAATCATGGCAATTACTCGGCGATTTATGGTCTACCATGGCGTTCTATCGTCCGACGACCCGTGCGGCCTCCGAAAATCTCTAGGACTCTTAGCTTTAGACAAATATACTCGTGCTAGCATGGCACTAACAACTTTGGCAGAAGACGGACACACAATGTGACTCGCTGGGAGATGCATCACGCGTGGGCGTTGGCGAGAGACGCCCGTACTATCATGCAGAAGCCTTGATGACGACACCCCTCATTCTATCGGACTCATTCGGAAATATTTACATCTCAGCCTCGTCTTCTAGGGTCAAGACCTGTCGAGGGGTGCTCGATATTCTTAGAGCTTACATGCATTATATTGCACTTGATCCACCTTCCGGGTTTGGCTGCGCCAATATCATGATTACAGTCCAGACTAACTGCATGCAGTTGACTTGCCAATCTTGGTCTTCTGCAAAAGTCAAACAAAGAAGAAGAAGAGTTTATGGCACGAAAACCCACGCCGAAGTCCCGACTACACAATGCTTGCAACTTCCGAATACTCTTTCAACTATTGGAAATGGAAATAGCCGATAATTTTTAGCCAAAAGTTCCCTCGCTGGGGTCATCATATATGCATGTTGACTCAGGGAAACAAGATATGAGCGCTCGCCGATGACACGTGCATTAGATACTGGAATGCCTCGAACTGTTGTAGAGTGTCAGCTCGACTTTAGAAAGAGTAGAATATTCGCAAACAAATGAGGTGGTAATTGTGGGAACTAATCAAATACTTTGTCAGGAGATCACCGATTATACCTCACCATAGCAGGGTGAAGAAGGCTCTTTTCTACTGCGTATCATGACATGATTACAACATTTGAATCATTTCTGGTAAATGCTGCAGTCCATATCTGGATATCCTTGGGTTGTCTCCCCACAATGGATTCCAGTTTAGGAAACTATTTCCCGCATATCCATTAACTCGGTTGCAACACTGCATATACTATATAGCCTTTTATTAGTCTAGAATCAAAAGCATTAACATGTGGTTCCCCCTCCTCTCAAAGGCTCTAAAATCTTACTCGACCCATCCATCCTGATGGCAGAAAAAGTACATACGTTTCAAGGTTGCAAACTCGTCATCCTCACACCACATACGGCCGGTAAGTTGTAACTCATGTAAGAGTGATTGCGCGCGTTGCTTCCTGATTAGCAAAACTCATCACATGATTTTGTTGAAATACCGGTTGGTGAGACTTTTAGACACCTAAACTGTTAAATAATCTAACGATGCCCATTCGTTGACAGTTTTTTGATTACGCTGTGTGAGAATCCCCAAAAGATTACCGACATCATCAAAGAACTTTTACCTTCTTGCTAACATTATCAATTTTGAAGAAGTCACACAACCTTGCCCAGAGTGAATTCTTCGTTTATGCCAGACGAAACACGTATCAAGTATTCCCATTAGCAGAAATAAGTGAAATGTCTAATTGGTTCTTATATTCCAATTAGTGAGGTGTGATGCATCTTCAGTCATTTGCTCTGACTGCCTGTGGTTCGAACATATCTCTAGTAAGACTGTATTCGCACATTATCTGAAAGTGTTGACAATCCTTTAAAGATACGCTATAGCAAGCATAAGCATTGAAAGAGACCTTGATTAGCATTACTACCATTTCAAACATCTAGGCTCTGCTCGAATGAGTGATGGGAATCACCTGTAGATTATCTTAGCAACAGGTAAATCACTTCAATGAATAAGTATTGGCAATTCGTAGCAACCCTCCACTAAGACAATTCACATTAAGAACTCAACCAATGTTTGTTCCATATAATTACAGCTTGTGCAAGCATAAAATGATGAATCACTATATCATAGATAGGCTTTGAACCCTTGGGGATCGATATATTCGGCGACGGTACACTACGACAAGTACCTAGTAAACTACAATCTACCAAAGGAGTCTATGAGTGATGGCACATTTCTGATATCCATATACCTGAGCCTTTGGGTAAGAGCGAGCATTTTATAAGTATTTGACAATACCGATTGGGTTCAATGGCTCAATTACAACTGTACCGATTTTGTTCTTCTTCACAAGCACACTACATCAGAGACTGCAGAGGTAAGGAAGACACTGGACTAATACATAGACATTGAAGAGATTGTTAAAATGCAGGATCAAAGAATGCATCATGTTGGCTAAAATAAGTGTAGTCACTGCGTTGTCAACGGATAGACGCTGACATTAACCATGTAGCTGTGGGTGATTCTGCCAAAGCTTTGTGGCGAGCCACGCTTAACAGGCAGCAACACTTGGAACGTTCTGGCAGCTGCCATATTTCTTTCCTCCAGTGACGACGACGTTGCTCCAGGTCCAGCTAGAGCAGGCTCCGCTTCCACAAACGATGGCGATGTTGTTGGCACTTGATAAGACACCGCCACTTCCAGAGATGTTCTGGAGTACGAGGTTGGTGATGGGGATACCACTCGTGGGGCTTCCGTGCAGGTCACCGCCATCGTAGTTTTGCTCAATAAGAATACCATATCTGTGAGCGACAGTTAGTAATGAGCTGAACTTGATGATTTGGACGGTGACATACCCCGTGATGGATGACAGAGTAATACCTGTGTAGGTCACTCCCTTGATTGTTCCAGTATCGCCAGCGGATGCCTTGATACGAATGCCTGTAGAGTTTTTAGTCAATTATCCTGAAACAAGACTTTCCAAGTGACTGACCATTAGCCGACTTGGTAACCTGCGAGTTACTAAAGGTAACCGTTTGAACGGTGTTGTCAGATCGGCCGCCGACGCTACCGATTGACAATCCATGCCCACCAGAGCAAAGACCCCCAGAGAATGTGATGTTCTATACAATTTAGCCAAATGTTCCCGTAAGTTTCCTGATTGATCTGTTCATAGAAAGTGACTTACCGTTCCAGAGTTGACAGCAACGCAGTCATCTTGGTTGTACACTTTGGCTCCGCTAATGACAACATTCGAGCTAGAGCCAATGTCAAATCCATCGGTATTGTGTCCGCCTCCACTGTCGCCAGCACTGTTGTCAATTGTCATTCCCGTGATGGTTAGTCCGTTGACACCATTCACGCTGACGGCTTGAACAGGCGTATTCTTGATGTTCAAGTTGGTGATGGATGAAGAGGTTAGATCATGGGCAGCAAAGAACTTTGGCTTCGTCTTGCCACCGTTGCTGCCTTCACCATCCCACCAACGGGAGCCCTGGGCATCCAGAACAGAGCCGCTGGCGCCCTGGATGGTGATATCATTGCCCTCGATTTGGAGCAGAGGGCCAGACCACTCCTTGTAGCCCCAAGTAGTCGTCCCCTGAAAAATGACCTACATGTTCAAAAGTTGTCTAATTAGTATCATTGTACTCCTTATGGTGAGTCTATCTTTGTCATTATATCATTACTCACCGTGGTGCCATCATTCAAGTCACTAAGATCCAGAGTCACGCCCGAAGGGACAGCAACATTAGACAGCACAATAGTAGCGCATGACTTCTGCGACTTGCTTGCCGAAGATGCTCCATTGGCACCAGAGAAGGTGCAAGTAGTAGCTCGATCTTCAAGGTTGGGTGCTTGGGTGACACTGGGAGGAGGAGGAAGAGCATGGGATTGAACACAGACCGATGCTGTGAGCGCTCCGAGGAGAAGGGATAGTTTGGTCATATTGTATACACTTTTTGATGCAAGGTTTTCTAAATCTTGATGAGTCGATGATTTTTCAGCTTCTTGGTACTTGACAATGGGGATCAGGCATAGTTATATAGATGTCAACCCTGGTATTATAGACTCCCTGTTATGATCTCAGGCTGTTGGAGACAACAGGCTGTAGTCTCTAGTTCAGGATCGAGACCTCATATTTGCCGCCGTTATGAAGTTGAGTTTCACGAGCGCAACCCAACTTTATGAAGACTATGCAATATTGGGACCTCCACAGCATGAAATGCGACTTTATAGGGGCATCGTCAGACAATAATAGGGGGAAAAACAAATGCTTGCAAGTGTTTTGTTGTTCAAAAACCCATATGATCGCCCCTATACCCACATCTTTCCACCAACCAGCTTGGTGCCCGATGCATCCGATCGAGTTTATAAGTAGGTAAACCCCGATTTCTTTATATAAGATCTCCTTTGAAGTTACAGCCGCAAATTAAAGACCAAAAGCGCACCAATCCGATGCTTGCGTATTTTCCCGGGCCGTCAAAGCATGTCGGTGCTTCGGTATTTTAATGCGCCGTCATGTCGGTTTACTTTTCCGACTTGCATGATTTGAGCCGGAGTTGCCAATCATTTACCCTGCTTCGGTTGTAAAATCTGTTTGGGAGTAGCTCAATTACAAAAGAGTGTTACATATTCTCCACGTATATTTGCGAAACCTGAGGTGAGAACTGCGTTTTACATTCATTGACCTTGTGATGATCCAACCTGATTCTACTTATGTGTCAAAGAAGAGGCGATGATGGAAAACTACCAAAGTAAGAAGCAAAGAGGCTTTGCTGCCAAGGTTGATTTCTAAATATCGAGACATTACCAGCGAAAATAGAATCGTTGTATGTATATTCTGCCAGCGCATGCCACATGTCCAGCGGTCAAGATGCGCCCCGCGTTCGCCTCACTTCTCGGGTCGTTTTCGGTGTTTTTATGCTTCGCATGTAACCTCAACCCATGCAGACAAACAGCGTATCGGGCCGGCAGTGATATATAAATCATATAACCCATCATTTCAACAAGCATAGTTGGAAAAGACTTGACCGAGCTGCAGCTTTTTGCCCGTCAAAGTGGTCGTTTCAAGCGTCTATTGGACGTAGAGCAGTGGATAAATATGAAGATCCTTGACAAAGAACTATAGCCAAGTTTACCTCACACGGTATATAATTCATGTACAATTACACACCGATCAACCCAACCGGGCTAAATGGGCATGTATAACTGAGACTTGCATCGTTTCCATCAAAACTAATAAGTAGAATGCTCTCTACATATACCGAATGAGATACACCACATTATCATTTCGGGAGGCTTGATCTGATTGTTAAAATTAGCTATGTGAACAGCCTATAGGCTAATTGTCTAGTTGACTCTGCCATGCATTTGAACAATCTATGGTGACTGGCGCGCAATGACCTGATACTGAGTCTCCAATAGTTTGCAAGTTCAATTCACCGCGCGTTGTCTTGGATCAAGCTTCTGCCTGTATTGGCCGCATCTATGCTGGTTTTACTCATTTCAAGTGGATATATCTTCTAAATCTCGGCGGTGATGATACAACCGGCGGCACCTAAGCATATATTCTTCTTCGCGTTCGAGGTTTAGGCTAGCAATGTTCTAGGAGACTCTCGAATCGGAGGAGCCTCTGGTAATTGCAATGGGTGGTTCTAGTTTGGTACTATTAGCCGCGGCTTTGCAAAAAGAATAGCTGCCTGTTCGTGGTCATGGTCATAGTTACCAAAACATTCTCGACTCCCGATATTTGAGTATTGCTGCAGAGATAATCCCCCGATAAACGCACAGATTGCAATTACCGAACCCTCCTCCGCCTTCTTTAGGGTAGAAAAATTTACGAAGTTGGAAAGACAGGTTGCATTTAACCCTGAGTCATTCTTAGCTGTGATTTACTTAATTTGCAATCGATATGCCATTGCAGCTAACGCATTACCTTCCATGAAATGTTCCATTTGGAATACAACACGAGATCTCTGGTAGGAACTTTTCCCGTAAAGTGATCATACCTGCCACGACCCCCAAGGTTAAAATAAGGTTATCATCAGTAGCGGGGAGCTTGCTTCGGCGAATAGAATTGGTCCAATGAACTGTGTACCTGCTATCTCTAGCGGTGCAATGGAGAGGAGCCTCATTGGATATGCCAACCACGAGCTTAATATGGGCGGGTAACCTAGCCATTTCCACAGACTTTCCCTCTGTTTGTAAGTTTGGGAAGATTCGGCATTAAAGTGCGGTACACGATCTTCATGTCTATCAACTTCTTGGCGTATTAGCTGAGATGACTGCATACTTATAAGTTGCATGATCATTTTCGGCTATTACATCGGCTATTACCCAGGTAAACAACCATATCCTACAGCCCAACCTCATATCACAAAACGAATTGATGGTAGCGAGTAAAACCTCACATATGAGCTTAAACTGAAGAAAAGACCGAGAACCTCTTGCAGTTAGGCGTAAGAACAAGTCCATCATCGTCTCACGTAAGTTGACGCTAACCTTTTGTCTTCAAGGCTACTTTTAAACATATAAATGGCCAAAGTTGTGCCAAGAGTGAACTATGCACGTTCTATAGCTATGTTACTAACAAAGCATGCCATTCAAGTACCAAGGAAACAACCATCATATTAAAGACCTCTCCATACGTATCATGTTATCCAGCTACTCATTGACTGGCACAAGACTCCTTCTTCAACTCTCCCTCACAGTTTTCAAGACAGGAAATTGTACACACAGTTTCTTTTCTATCTTTTTCTTTACCGGGATACTGCTTTCTGAAACTCTCCCAGAGTCCCAGCTGCTACCGTGTTCGGTGTTTATAAGCGCCATTATTAAGATATTTGCTTAAACCCAACCTGAAATTTATGTCCAGCTAGAAATAACCTCAACATGTACGCAATATGTGTATTAAAGATGGGCATGAATGATACTCACGTCTTCAACCCACCATCGCAAGCAGTTTGTTGTCTCGCAGTGTTCCCAGGAGAGAGTTTCTCAAACGGAAACCTCTGTGCCAGGCTTATTGCATATATCTAAAGATTCGTAGCTGGTCGGTTTGGGGGAATCAATCCAAAGCTAACTGACACTCTAGATCATGAACGGAATATCTTGACACATGGATGGGGAAATGGGACCTGGAAGGCCACCAAAAATGTCATGGCTATCCGAAGCATAATGCCATGTCATAAAGTGATGGCATCCATGCATCAATGGTGAAAACTACCAAGTGGTAAAAACTCACATCTCGCTATGTCTGATGATAAAAGAGGGGAAGTGTTGCAATCTGTACGCAGGTTGGTCTTGGAAATGTATAAAGAAAGATGAGTTAGAGCCCTCATGAGACATGACTCTTCCTTAGCGAAAAATCCTCCGAGGGCGCGTGGATATACCATTTGAGAGTTTGTCATACATTCTTGGTAGACGAATTCAGCCCCTCGAATGACTTAGTAAACGGCCAGTATTTAGGCTGAATTAGTTTTTGTTTTGGGGGTTGGGATTATGCCTATTTAAAGATTTCACTTGAATAATCCCTTGGGGCAGATTAACGTTGGAGGGTACGGCAGATCTATGCCGTTTTTTTGCGCACTTGTCAGGTTTCACGGAACGGCCCATCTACCGCTACCCAACGATATCCACTGTTCCTGAAAGATCAAACACATAGCTACAGTAATTAGATGCCTGTATCATGAGACTTTCAGTTTTCGGATAGATTTTGCCGGTTCTGAATGGAGCTGACTCCATCTCTCCCTCTTCTTCAGCGAGCATGTAGCCGATCCTTTCCAATTCCGCTATCAACGCAGCGATATCTCCATATGCTGTCCTTTTAGCCCTTGGGTTAACGGATGCATTTATTCGTAAATAAAATGTTAATAATAAATCACCGGATTACGCGTTATACTGATCTCATCTGAATAACGAGTAGATGGAGTGAGGCTCAGTGAGTCAGGTTGGTGGAAGAAAGGCATGAGGTGTGGTGAAACAAGTTTATATCAATATTGTCATCACCCCATCAACAGACCTTACCATAGTTTATGAGTCGCATATATGTCTATGACGCATATTTAAGAATCCATTTTGCATTTTGAGAGAGCTGCTGTTCGGTATGGGCAACTACGTCTGCCAGTCATGGCAAATGGGGCCAACGCCTTTATGCCTGACATTGTTCTTACATTATTATGATACAAATTTACTAGCCGCATAACTCACCAGCTGTATATACGGTACTAAAAGACTCTGATTTGGACTGAGTTGCGGCCTAACGGCATGCCTCGTTGAATCTCTCCACCGTACCTAGTTAACTAGCCGTAAATGCTGGAGCCCTTATGTAGATCTAAGACGCTTCATCCATATGAGGCAGCCCAAAACAATAAAGATCAGCTACTCATAATCGACGCTTAACGTATCTTCTAACAGATATGGAAGGCACTTGTTCTTTCCTTGTGACCACGTCATTGTTTGCCAATGATGTTTGATTGCTCATGTGTATTTGCTTCTGAAACGCGGCCCCTCAATGTCAAATCCCAGCAGAGATGCCGTGTGATCCACCAAAATACCACATCCTCCGCAAACTCGTAGAAAAGCACGTTGACGTGATTGGCGGGCTAAATGCCACAGCTTTAGCCGGACGCACCCCAGATCTGGGGAAGAAGCCGCGTGAGGCCCAAAGAGCCGGGTTTGGAACCCAATTGAGATTTGAAGCTGAAACTCTGAGGATTGATTGGTATACGTCTTCTCAATGGCCCTTTGTTCCGGCACTTTGATGCCGTTTGACCCGGTACCTGAAGGGTGTGTTTTAGGCAAAATGCAAGCTCCGAGGATACGACTATGCGATGTGTGTTTTCAACTTCACTCGATGATGTTTACTTCTCTCAAGTTGATCATAGCTTTAGTCTGGTATGTGATGAAAAGGTGATTTTCAGTGAAAGAAGTTGCATATAAAGTCGTGGGTGGAAGCCTGCCGTTGAAAGTATGAGCTCACCACCAGCACACCGTCTTCTTCAAACACGAATACTTCCACAGAGATCAACATGATTGGCCCTAACAGTCTCCTAATTGCCCTCACCGGCATTGTTGGTTCTTTGGCGATACCTACTGGTCTTGGTCCCACTGAAAGCAGCGTAGACATTACCGAGCGTGGTGTCCATGATTTCGTTCTTGGACCACACAATGATGTTCGCCGTCGTGCCAGCATCAACTACGATCAAAACTATCAGACTGGCGGACAAGTCAACTATTCTCCCTCTGGGAATGGGTTCTCTGTCAACTGGAACACCCAAGATGACTTTGTTGTCGGAGTTGGCTGGACTACTGGATCTTCTTCGTAAGAGACACGGCCTCCGATTCCATGATTTCGAAGAATTCGTTCGCTAACAAAAGAGATATGTAGACCTATCAACTTCAGTGGTTCTTTCGGTGTCAACAGCGGAACTGGTCTGCTTTCCGTCTATGGCTGGAGCACCAACCCGCTGGTTGAGTATTACATCATGGAAGATAACCACAGCTATCCCGCGCAAGGCACCGTAAAGGGAACTGTCACTAGCGATGGAGCAACTTACACCATCTATGAAAATACTCGGGTTAATGAGCCCTCCATTCAGGGCACAGCGACCTTTAACCAGTACATCTCGGTTCGAAACTCTCCCAGAACCAGTGGTACTGTCACTGTTCAGAACCACTTTAACGCCTGGGCTTCGCATGGAATGAACCTCGGAGCTATGAACTACCAAGTTGTTGCTATTGAAGGCTGGGGTGGCAGCGGTTCTGCTTCACAGAGCGTTAGCAACTAGACATCGCCGAAATATTGACCTGAATATAAGAAATTTCTCCGAGATTGGCGTCGTGGAATGAAGCATTTATGTCACGCAAAGTGTAGTCACAAGTCACAGAGTGGCGCTTATGGAATGCCAAGTTCTTCATAACAAAATGCACACCAAGGTAGTAAATGACAGAGTAAAAATATGCACCGTAATTTCCTGTGAGCCTGTATTCTTATCATTACCCAAGGCCCATGCTAGCTGCATGCATTTGTACGCTATTACAAATGTCTATCCTTCTTAAATCTAGAAGAAATACTAACTTGGTGAACTTCATCAGATTGGAAGTCACAAATTGTCGACAAACTCGCTACCCTCTCTAAACATTTGCAAGCTGCTCCTCTATTCGACCCCAGAGTCCCTTATTCATATATCCAGAAAGCCAAAAGTTTCCATCATTATCCTTACCAATGATGGGAAAACCATTAGGCAATACCAAACCAAATTGGTTGTTCTGTATATATGTCGGTAATCCAGATCGCCCACCTTCTTTACCTGATGTTATAACCGCCGCGGAGAAGTCAGTCTCAAAAAGCTTTGCTTTACTCCAGTTCGAGTATGTAATCATGTGCATACTGCCGTCGCCGAAGAAAGGCGGGATTTTGCCACTGGATTCTCGCCATAGAGCGGAAAACGCCTCTACCTGAGAACGCGAGCCGAGCTCATTAATGGCATTACGAGTAGCAGCGGCAATGTAACTGAGAGGCTTCTCAAATATGTACTGCACCGGTAGTAATACGTTAATGAAGCCAATTGCATTTGACACATACGGAGCACCCTTGGGAAGCAAATCCGTTTCGAGAGATTTTCGTAGAGAGTACGCATTGTTCAGAACAACCGTCTTCTGAGTAGCATGTGGTAGATGGGAGACGGCGAGTCTAGTCCACCAGGCACAGATAACATCGCCTTCGCTGAGAAAAGGATCTTCCGTGCCGTTAGCTGTAAGCTCGCCAATTGCCTCATTACGCAGACTCTCGACAAAGGCACCAGGGATGCAAACCATGCGATGCTCTTGGGTGCGAAATAGATCGAGAACATTACTGATTCCGTACTGCGCCAGTCCGAACATTGACAAGCGCTGACTTGCCAACTTGTGAGCCTCTGTAGGACTCTTACCCAAGTCTGCCAATGGATCGCCATCGCCGCCCTGTGGAGGGATAATTTCGTCGTCCCGACCTTGAAGCATCAACATCCAAGCATCCATCAAAGCTTTCTTGCCCATAGCATCCATTAGAGTATGTGGCCAATATATAATAACAAGAGTTTTATCCGTAAAAGAAACAATATGCAGGCCTAATTGAGGGATATCTCGGTTTAGGTAATCCTCGAGGCGAATTGGGCCGCCTTCTGGACGGAACAGTTCTCGAAAATCGTCAGGATCGCATACGACTGAGGGTCTTGAGCTCGGATTTGGTATCTTCGAAGCAATCGGATGATCTGAAGCGCTCATGTTGTGCGTGATATGAGAATATGTAAGAGGTCGGCGCTCTTCAGTAAACTCGATCGGCACATGGTACTCAAGATTGCCTTGGTTCTGTCCGTAACATCAGTATTTCTCCTTTACGCAATAATTTGAGTCTGAATGCTCTAGCTTACATCTTTACGCATGCGAGCCCCGAGTTTATTCCAGCCATCGTGCCTTGCTAGCTTCTCGAGACTGTCTCGAAGCTTTTCGGCATCTAGGACATCGTCGAAAACAAACATGGAATACAATATGAAGGCTTTCCATAACGGCGTGTCATCAAAAAAACGAAAAGGAATCACGATATCCGTGGGAACTTTGCTTGGTGCAACCGACTTGCCGAACATCTTGAATGACTTTACGCGGTTCAACTTTGAGAGCTGCCTCCACGTTCAGACAAAGCTCTTGCACTCAAAGTTATGAGTCAAGTTCTATCATAAAGAGATGGCTTAGAAATAGAGGTAGGTTCCAATGATGTACTTCTTCAATAGGACCTCGTTGGCACCACTTCAACGGGGACGCGAACCAACACCCATGCCGGACTTTGTTTCCCCTTTCAATATCATGCACGCATCGTACCCGAATACGGGGAATACTTTTGTCATAAATCTTCATGTAGTCGCATTTACTAATTTCCAGTTGGGCATAGAACCAACAACGGGGAACACGGGAGAACCATCTAAGTCGCATCAGACTGGGAAAGGCTTAGACACTTGGTGATAGATCAGCTGCAGGGGTCCCATGGATGTTCAAGAAGAAAGTACGGAGAAAGCAACACTGCCGATTCATCAGACGGGCTCGGTAGGTAGTAGCTAGTTCCGGAATTGAGATGAGCGTTCCGTTACACTGAGAAAAATACCTGTGACATATTAATTCAAGACGTGCTCGTGGTACTCCGCATTTCGCCGAGGCTGGCAGTGAGCACGGCTCAAATAGGCGGGATTACTCATATAAACTCATCCTGCAGACGGAATACCGAGAGCTGGGCAACTGGGATAACATACTCCTAACTTGCTGTCAAAAACATGATTGAATGCAGTTAGTCAGTGGTTTTCCTGGTAAAAAGCCCCTGGGGGTCGGAGTTCCGCCGGCCCAGCTGCAGGGATACTTCAGTAGGCTTGCTGTTTTCTAGGCATCAATTGTTGCTCTATAAGTGGGAGTGAGGGAGCTGAAAATTTTTAAGAGTTAAAAGGTAGGTTGTTTTAAACAGCTAGGCACACGAGTGAAGCAGAGAAAAAGTCGGTGTAAGGCTTAACATAAGGCTAGCCTGAGATAATTACACTGGTTAGTAGCAAATGATACGAGTAACATGTGATAGACCAAAAACCATGACGAATGTGGTATAACAGCAGTCTTCAACAAAGGTGTTGGCTGCGAGGTTCAAACTTGATCCCGGCATAATTCCGATGCCAATCCGACTTAATTCCACAGAATCTATCAATTTGCAGTACAAAGCGGAACGTTCTCACGCATTATCTTTTTCCATTGATTGATACACATTGTCATAGCAAAGGTCGATCTGCCTCAGAAGCCGAGCCAGAGGTGTTACTGGTGGAGAGGAGTCAAGGAGAATGAGTTGCGACACCAGCCGTCCCCTGGGCATCTTAATTCCGCACTAGGATAGAACCCATGCAAAGGTTGTAGTTTAGTAAGAATGCCGTCGTACTATGAAGTGTCTAGGGGTTATGGTACGGAGCATAGCCCGCGTGTGGACGGGAGGTTCCGCTCCCACCGACATGTTGGACAAATAATTATAAAACTTCGAATAGCTTCATCTTCCGTTTACCAGCTATTGATTGGTCGCAGAGGCACTCTACAGATTATGTGAGACTGAGAGCTTTTCGAAGGGCTGCCCAATCCTGAGCCGGGTTATATGCGTATGAATGAGACCAGTGACCTGCACTTTTTCTCAGCGTAACGAAGTTTTGGAATACGACGTAGAAGATCATCCACTCCGATCCTTCTGTACTCCGTACTAAGACCTAACTGCATGAAGCAGCACCCTGCCAACGTCTATTTTCAGGCAATTGTAACTACCCTCAGGGGGAAAAGATGTGCGGACGCCACTGCATATCGTTTAATTTAAGTATACACACATCCTGGCATATCCATCCTCAGCCCTTATTTTGTCCTTCACCTTGATAAATGGTAAATAGGAGCTGCCAGCGTCCACAAGTTTGTTGCTGGTGTCTTTACTCAAGTTGACGGTTACTATGGCTCCTCAGGCAACAGATACTGCTTCCCTCACGCCTTTGCAGCAAGGACTGTTGCTTTCCCAACAAGCATATGCGCAGCCTCCAATTGCACCGACGGGTTTGGCACTAACTCTAGTGATTATAATTCTAATATTCACAGTTTTGTCTACCATTGTCATTGCTCTTAGGATATATGTTCGAGCATGGATGGAGAAATCTGCAGGAACTTGGGGTTGGGAAGACACATTCATTACTCTAGGATACGTAAGTATTTGTTTCGAGGCCCCTTGATATGGCATACCTGACTCCGCGTCCTCCTTACGTCAATCAATTACTTACCTAAACCAATTTGTTTGTGTACGAGTAGGGATCTTTTCTATCGAGTGCGATATTTGCCATCGAAGCATGTTACTATGGACTGGGCTCGCATGACTCGAAACTGAATATGCTACTTATGATACGATGTGCTGAGTATGCAATGTATTCGAATGTGCTATACGGGTTTTCCATGCCTTTCATCAAAGCCTCGATTGTGTTCACGCTAAACCGCATCACCACCACTAAATGGCATCGCTGGGGACTCTATATAATGCTTTTTATAGCCAGTGTCATGTCGATTATCGGAATTCTCGCTACTCTCCTCTACTGCCATCCGGTCCCAGCCTATTGGAACCCCCTTTTGGGTACCTGTGGCGATTTCATGGTGGTTGTTCGCATCGGTTACGCCTGGACAGCGGTGGGAATTGTCACAGATTGGACCTGTGCGATCTTACCTTATTTTATTGTCCGCAATCTCCAGATGTCCTCCCGTCAAAAGATGGTTGTTATGCTTGTCCTTGGGCTCGGTGCTCTCGCCAGTACCGCCACCATTGTCCGAGCACCGTATCTAAAATACTACCTCGCAACGGAAGATCGTTTGTGTAAGTTCAATTATTTTCTTCCGGCTATATCCACTCATCTGACGATATTGTATAGATTGGAGCGGATATATCACCCTTTGGTGCCTCCTCGAAAGTGGCATTGCTCTCATCGCCGCTTGCCTTCCCGCGCTTCGCATTCTGGTACGCAAATATATCGACTCATCCAAAAACCGCTCGGGTAATAAAAGCAACGGATACGCCGCCGAGTCTGGCACCGGTCGAAGTCACAACCGCGCTCCTTCAACACAGCTGGATAACCTGACTTCTACTGGAAAAACCACGGTTGTTGGTGGGAAATGGAAAAGGTTGGAAGACGAAAACTCCAGTTCCAGAAATATTATTCAAGAGCACACAATATACGTTGAAACGGAGAGTATCAGTGATATTGACAAGCATTCTTTCACTAGGTGAAAGAGGGCATACGTCATGTTTCCGAGACAGGGAGAGGGACGGAAGGTCAGGAGATAGATAAAAAGTACTGCGATGCTTTCACAGATACGGCGGCTGGGCTGCATATTTATTAATGTAATTCTATAGATACCAGTGGCCAACTGTGTTTGGTTCACACAAATTAAGAAAACTTTCAACTTTTTTTGTCATACATATTGCTCGCCTGAGGACTTGTCTTCAAAGTACGGCTCTAGAATGCCTTGAATATATAAGAAGATCAATAGTCACAGCTTTTTGTGCATCATGCCTGTAGGGGGATTTCCGCCGTCCGTGATTTTTAAATTGCATATTACGGAGGATTCCATCACGTATGAAGCTACATGCCTTTATGTTTCCCTACTAATTCTTTGAACGTGGGCAGCGAGGTAGTACGCATATTGAGAATTCGAAGCTAGATTGCATCAACAATATTTTTCACCCCCGTTGCCCATACATCCCAGCCAGAGTATTGGAGAAACCCAACAGTCATTCACAAAAGACTGCACCAAGGATATCATGTACATATGAGTAGAAACCATGGGAGGTTCCATCACTCATGTAAGTAATCCGGTATACTTACAACAATCCAAGTGTTAGAGACATCACCGACGTGCTCAGGGCGGTGGAGAAAGAGAATAATTATGCCTGTAGATTTTCACAGCTTTGGTTAGCACTATTTCATCCAATGGATCGACAGTATCTGGTGCTTCATCACCATCGCCCTGGACCCCGTCGATATCATTGAACCAAACGCTATTTGCTTTTACCCCGTTACATCTCATGTTTACCAAGAATTTTTTTTATTAGAAGTCGATCTATCATACTTTACTGCTCCTGTGATTAATCTTTAGAGTTGGATTCGATCGGGTGGAGCCGATCGGATCTAACTTACATGTAAGGTCCGATTCTAGTCGGTCAGTTATCGACCAGATTGTGATAATCTTTTCCTAAACCAACGTTAATACCATATTGAATGGCCGTATTTTAAAGACAAAGATCTTTCATTGGCGGCAATAGATGAACTTTGTGATACACAACATAGATGTGCATGCTTTGTGATTCAAATTTAACAAAAGCCTGGCTTGTGAATATCTCGTAACTAGGTAGGTAAATACAGTCGATTATTGTGAACATCTGCCCCATAATATGTCAATAAGTCGATATTTGCGCGATTTAAGCATCGACGCCCGCTCCATATTATTAACGTGGCGAAGTCATTCTTATACTACTAGCTACGGCGGGTGAGACGGCTGCAAAGTCCGGGCCGGTTTACCAGGATACAGCATATCAGGCAGAATTCATAACCTCAAGAAATGACATGACAGAAGCATCCCCGTATTTATAGATCCTTGCGAGCGATACCGTCCGATGTTAAAACATCTCCTAATCCTTGCATTTAACGCGTGTACCCTCAGCACGTAAGCACTTGTGTACTCACCTGGTCGAAATGCAAGCTGCAATAGGCAAAGCGAGATGTAAATGTGCTTACAACGTGGCTCAGTATCACGATTCGAAAGGGAGGCGTGATGTGGATTATAAAATATGCAGAGTCGATTATCAGCATGTGCCATTAACTGTTCGTCACAGGGGGGTGTTTAGAAAATATATAAAGACAACGCACCTGTGCCCTTGCTCAAGCTTGTTCTACCTGCCATTCTAAATCTAATCCTATCTGTAGAAACCATTCGCAATGGTGCTCTCTGCTTCCAAGTCCCTTGGGCCTTTGGCTCTCATCGCCGCATGTAGCTCGGCTTTGGCTTCCGCTTCAAACTGTGTTGAGCTCTTAATTCCCGTTTCTGCGCAAGCCAACAACACAAAATTCAACACAGTGAAGGTTGATAGCAATGTCGACGCAGTCGAATTTACACTAAGTAGAGAGTATGGGATACACTGGCCGACGGCTTTGTTAAAATCGGTTGGCTAACTTCATTTGTGATATCTGCAGTCGGTGGGATGCCCTGACTATCGCCGAAATTTCCGGCGGTGATATTGCGGTTGGTGGAGACTTCGAAATAAGCGGTCACTTTTGCATTCCGTCAACTCCGCGGAATGGCGAGAATACTCTCCTAATTGCGTCTCATGGTGTTGGCTTCACAAAAGGGTAAGTCGTGTTGTATAATGTCTTCAACTAGCGAGTGCGTATCATGACTAACGGGCCGGATATAGTTTGTTCGATCCCACTTATAGACGGGATGACCTTTCGTTTGTGAAAGCTGCGTCAGATCAAGGCTACGCTGTATTGGCTTATGATCGCCTTGGTGCCGGTCTGTCATCTCTCCCAGACGCATACGACTATCTCCAAGTTCCTCTTCAAGGAGAGGTCCTTCGTGCTCTAACAGAGCGCGCTCTAAACGGCACAATCGTTACAGCCTCCGAGAAGACTGGGGGAAACAGTAGCATAGCAAATTATACAGCCGAAAAGGTCGTGCACGTGGGTCATTCCTATGGGTCAATCGTCACAAACTGGTTCCTTGCACGATACGGCTCCCTTAGTGCTGGCGCGATTCTCACTGGCTTCTTAATCGACAGTGAATTTGCCAACCTTAAGGTTGAAATAGCTGATCTGTCATATGCCCCTGAGCATAACCCTACGCTATTCGAAAACCGCACGAGCGGCTACCTGGCATTTGGCAGTCTTACCGCTTTCCAAGCTGATAGTTTTAAGAAGGAAACTTTGGACCCTAATGTGTTAACCTATTGGAACGAAAATATTCAGTCAAGTCTGGGAGTTGGAGAAGTATTGACACTGGGAACTGGGGTCGGAGATGTTGTAGCCGATTTTACTGGACCTCTTCAGGTAGGCCTTACCCATGCACTATCTCAAATATTCCGAGGGTATTACCCTTTAAGCTAACACGTAAATGCAGATATTTGTTGGTGAAAACGACTTTGCCTTCTGCGCCGGTCAATGCGCAGGCATTTTTGATCTGAATCAACTTCACGGCTTGTACCCCAATGTGAAGGACCTTGACGTCTATCTCCAGCCTAATACAGGACACGTCGTTCAACTATCTCTCAACGCAACAGCAGGTTACCAGGTGATATTTGGTTTCTTGTCAAAGAATGGACTGTAAGGATAATTGGCGCTTGTAGGGGTGACTATTATAAGCTTGAAGGCTACAAATCTTGTGTTTAGTGTAAACAAGATCAACCCAGCAATATATGTCAACTGCCTCATCCGTTATTGTGCTCATCACTTATGGGCCAACTTTATTGTTTACGGACACACTTAAAATTTAAGTTTATGTTAGCCAAAGGCATAACCAGTCGGTCTTTGAGGCAAGCATGGGTTAAGGTGTCACTGCAAGTGTCAGCGTGACACTGGTTTCATAGATGTTAATGGAGCAAACAACAAAGCCGCTTAAAAGCCCATGATCTAACTGCACACCGCATTGGCAAAGCATAGTGCCATTATCGTGATGTAAGGCCGATTGGAATGCATTACTAGAGTGATACGCTGAGTCTCGCTAACTAGGTGTAATATCGTTCGTTACTCGTGCCAACCCAATCCATCACCGTGGGCCTCATACCTGACGTTGAGATCAACAATTATATCTTGGCATAAAATTATGAAAGACTATATGCGTCGCTATTGAAAGGGTACGCCTCGAACGACTCATAGCGACTCTTCTTCAAATGCGAAAAACCTCCCAGGCGTAGGCACTGGTATTTACTGCAATTGTAGCCGGTATGATCAATTGGTTGTTTTGAAAGGATATCGCGGTGACGCCATGGTCAATTGGTCCATCTACCTCTCCGCGAAGACCAGCAAATGGAAATTCCCGCGTTTGAACGTTGACCGTACCATGGGTATCAAAGCCAAAATCGGCCATTCCATCAACATGGAGAGTGTAAGATCCGGTTCGCGTATGAGCTGAGCCAAGGATTCTCACTCGGTCACTTGCAGTCGCGTATACATCAAAGAAGCCGTCAGCAGATGGAGTCGTAGCTACCCGGTTGCCAGTCATGTTTGTGCCGTAATATCTGTACACTTGCCATTCGCCAGCGGGAAAGTAAACGCCAGCGCCTGTCCTACCCAATAGATCGGTCATGAAGTCGTGCAAAGACGGACCACCCGTCCAAACAGATCTGAGACCGTGGATATTGTTGCGCTCGAAACGGGCCATGAACCAAGCCGAACTGGCTGGAACCTGCTCTTCGGGAGACTAAGTTTTGTTTGTTAGCTAGTTCTCAATACCGATGGAATGAAAGATCTTACGCCGTATTCATCAATGTTGATTGGACGGTCAGGTAGACCAAACTGCTGCAGCAACTGCTCAAAGACGCCCCTTGAGAAAGTGATGTCGTCGCCACCAGATCCTCCTGATTGGCGGATTAAATGCCAACAATACACATCGGGAATCACATTTTGTGACTTAATCATGCTCAGCCAATCAGTCCACCAGACGTTATTTGGATCCGGCTGTCCTGTAAACGTAGGTCCAAATATTTGCGCCTCGGGAAGAATGCTCCTATTTTCATGGTTACTCCAGAGAGCTCATCATAGATTCTGAGCACCTTGTAGACTTACCGCAGCGTGTTATGCGTTCTGGCGTACATGTCCATGAATTGACTTCGGTCTCGGAGCCAGAAGCCACCGCCATCCGCTTCATTCCAGATATCTACTTTGATAGCAGTCGTCATATTATTGGCTCGCAGATCAGAGACAACTTGGTTAAGAAAGTTATTCCATGTGCTCCAATCTCCATTATCCCCTGGAAAGAGGTCTGACTGCGATTCCGATCCATCAGCTCCCCATAAATCATGAAGGAGGATAATGAACTGAGCACCGAACTGGCGGCAAGTGTTATAATTGGATAACATCGAAGCGAAACGAGGCTACGTATCGTTAACAATGATCGAGATTGTAGGGGCTGTTGACATACCCGATACTCTGCTACACCATCCATATAACCCTTGGCTGGGAGCTGGGCGCCTCCAGCTCTTCCATAATTGAATGCAATTTCGCTGTAAAAATGTGCGGGAATCTGATTTGGGGTATCCGGGATGCCATAGAGGAATCCAGATGCAAAGTGTTGAGGTGCTCCTTGCATTTGACTCAGATTCACAGAAGCAGTCTGAGATTGGCGCTTTACAACCGTTGAAGCTAGGCCAAAGCCTGCTGCGCAGGTAACAAGCAGAAGATGGCGTACCATGATGATATGGAAAATCTAAATGTTTCACGGCGGGTTTCACAAATTGTACCTCGTATATCCCACCTCTCCTCGATACAGCTGACACTTTTTTTACGGGAAAGCAGCTAGATTTATAACTAAAGAATAGTCGTTAGATAGTGGAGTAAGGAATATCCGATGCCTATTCTATGTCCCGTAGGATATATCATATGATCCGTCACTTATATGTCAACATAGAGCAGTGAGGCGGATAACCTGGAGCTTTGCGCGGAGAGTGGAGATTGCCGCTGCCCGGCATCAGCACTTGAATTTTCATGCATAACCAAAACCTGTATTTAGGCTGTACCCGGAAGGATGGTATTGATCCTATGAGTTCACTCGTATTGAAGCCAGCTCTCCACTCGATCAGACCGATATAAGGCGGGGTTATCAGATGAGAAGTCCGGATAGCTCTGTATCAGCCGTCGCTCATTACTGGTTTAGGAATGTGGCATCATTTTATAAGTCCGATGCCTGCCAGAACGTTCATAGGGCTAAGCTATTCCTACTCCTATCATTTCTTACAACAGCGTCTGACCAACTCATGAAAAGTATTTCTCTGCTATTCGTTCCTTTTACTACTAGCGGTCATGCTGCTACGTCCGAGTTATTTTCCGCAGGACAGTCATAAGCAGTCAAAAGAGCAAGGCATGTTAAAATAAAGAAACATAATACTTTGGCAGACATATCAGTCACTTTCTCCATATATCATAGATGCAAATGCTGAGTAGAATGCAAGTTATTATATACATAAAGATAAATGCCAGAGAATCGCATACCTAATATTACGTTTCGAGTAAAACGCATCTACCCAGTAATGCTCTCCCCACTTGTCCTTTCCGGTTGTCATCTTTGAGAGCTATGCCTTTTTTTTCCTATTCAACTTCCACAGAGTTCGAGCGGCTCAAGTAAGGCGCTTTGGGCAATGATAAGTCTAACTCGACAAGTAGACAACGCAAATTGGACACTGGTTAAGAGCACAACTCGGATCAAATTTGTTTGCAAGCTAGCTAGTGTATATACATCGGAAATCTCTGTATCCCCATTTCTTCAATGTTGAAAATTCACAACTCTTCCCCATACCCTATTCAAGACTGCGTGTAAGATATTTGGTTGACTTGAAAGTATTGAGTAGATGCCGCGACGGGACCGTTCAACCACGCCGGGTACCAGGCGTTGAGCTGAATATTCATGGGATTAAATGGCTGCTTCGATGGCGTATGGAATTGAGCTTCCAATGCCCCATTGACGTAGAATGAAATAGCCGACCCTTGATAGTCAATCATATAGTCATTGTATCCGGCGCTTGGGTCCCAGGTTGGGAAGTATCTATCAGACCATTCGTTGACTCCAAGACGGTAAACTGTAAACGCAATCTCCCATTTGCCCTTGTTCAGATATACTTCAATGTCGATCTCGTCGCTAGTGGAGGTTCCCTGGTACATGAAAATACTCGAGATAATTCCAGGTAGATTTGGGACCTTGAACTGCGCTGAGACTTGGCCGTAGGAGTATTTTGCCTTGGATAGAATCTCTCCTCCGTTATGAGTTCCCACGGGAATCTCAAAGTTCAGCACGCCTCCACCGCTTGGGTTGACATTGGCAGACTGCATCTGACCCTGCCCTGCCGGCCAATCGGCCTTTTTCCATAAGTTTGAGTTGAACGTGGTGCAGTTATCGACGAAGCTTGCTCCGGCCTGAGCTGGAAGCATCACTGCAGCAACAAGCGTTAACGCCTTCAAAAACTTTGCCATTATGTAGACGACTTGTGACTTTCCGACGCGTGTTTGTAATAGGAAATTGAAGATATGAGAATTGAGAAAAGACCCACTGAAAGCCAGACACTTCAAGTTGACTTGATCTCGAAAGTAAACGAAAGAGACACAGACGACCTATTTATATTAGACAACAACAACTATCGCGAGGAGAACTAATAGGGGTCTCTAAGATGTCGAACGATTTCTCACCAGCTGCGTATTCAACTCTTTGCTTGCACAATTGTGTTTCTTTTCGTAAAGAATAATTGCAACTAGGCTGCTTGTAGAAGGTTCTGAAGTTGAGTTCTTTGGCAACTTGATCGTATTTTTATAGTCTTTCTATAAGTAGTCTAGCGATTGCGTTAATTTTCGTATTGGATATTTTATCGTAACCTGATTCTCGGAGTATTGGTTGAAAATCGTCTCGATCCCGGCAGGCTGTTTCCGCTCTCGAATCGCCTTGCCTTGTTAGGATGATTAAGTACAGGGGAGAATCTCATTGGGGAAAAAATTGACCAAAAGAGACAAAGGAAAGAATCTCATTGGTGGTAAAAAATTGCGGTGAAGCCACCGGTTATAAGCTGGCTCAATTGTCTTTTCCTACAGATTCCTTTTTTGTGTGACAAATGCACCCCATGCTCCTACTCTTTTCAGTCATTTCTTTCTACCGCTGTAAATTCTGACCAAAATCCTACCTTTGTCAACGAAACTATCCCCATGGAAACTCCTGTTAATAACGTAATGCCAACTCGTTTAATAATCAATATCCTCTGCGTTCCTGTTTTTTAATAATCAACGTTATCTGTGCACTTGCTGTTTCGAGTTCACGTCAACGAACATGAATATCGCTTGTGAAGAATTATACATTTACTTTGTCAAGTTATCAGAACCAGTCCCAAATATCAGAGAACTCGTTGATATCCCCCATAGGCGGACTCGTGCCTCCAATGAGATCTTTCACAGGGCTATATACATTCCCAGAATAATTCATTGATCCAACAGCGTGCATCCATGACCCATTCAATTCCTCTTGGTGTAACCCTATCGTCGGCTCAGCCACGAGAGAGCTTCCTTGTGTGGATGTCGGTACGGAAGCAGTGAAACTCTGCAGTCCAATAGAAGGTTCCGAAGAGCCCCGAATTGAAGAATCTTCAGTCTTTAGTGAAATATTTCGCGCTTCCGAGGTCGGTACATAAAGATTCTGTTCGCTTCTTTGACCAGTTTCATCCAGGAATGGACGTGGCTGTAACGGAGTTGCTCCTTTTGGCTCTCCATTGAGACTTTGTGGCTGTGTTGAGTCATTCCTTGGACCATTTTGTTTGTGTAGTTTAAGACCACGGTCTCTGAAATACGTCTTAGACGATAGCGTAAAAACCTTTTCTCCGAGTAAGGAGGTGGAGACACCGCTCACAGAAGACAAATCGCATTGCCGAACAATGGGAGCATCCATCTCATACTTCATAAGCTTTTCCCGAATGTGGTCATACTTGATGGAGAGGCTGGAAATGATAATCTGCATGATCTGATTAGGAAATATGCTGAGCAAAGAAAAAAGAAATATCGTCTTGCCTTGAAGATGGTGTTGCTTCGTCGAGATTGATAGCTACGCTTCTCCATAATATGGAGAAGTTTTCTTCCCGTGGCCAAGGATTTAAACAATGTGTCTTCCTCGTACGAATCTTGATGCATAATCGTTATGTAAAGTAGAGTGAGCATGCAGCTGGTCAAGAACCGAATTGCCGGCCAACTAGCTTCTGTAAGCAATCCCCATCTGCACATATCTTGACACAGTTCGATGATATTGTGACAGGCTTGAATACAAGCAGACGCGCAGGGAGATACACTTATATTGTGCCGAGCTTTTGTGTTTTCAGTGGTTTCAATGCCATAATGCAGAAATGGTCGGTAGAGGCGGAGTTGTATGTAGGAATACGTCAATGCGAGAACGAACTGGGCTCTGGTAGGGGTTCGTCAGCAAATGTCAGGGTTTCTCAATAAAACAGAGCCTCACTCACCGCTGTATGGCGGGCCCTTGATAATACGTTCCTAGTCGGTAGCCCAAGGGTATCATTGTCACCCACTTCTCTAGTTCTTGCTCGATTTCTCGAATCTTTTCTACTCTGACAGTGTAGTTCATCGATCCACACACCTCAGCGCTGGCTCGGCCCTTCCGAGGGTAGATATCTTTCAGCACTTTGTGGAGGATGTTGTGTAGCCGAGAATAGCAAATCAACCCAGACGGGTAACACACTTCATTTGGAGGTTGTGTTGTGGCTTTGCTCTTGCATATATATGCGTCATTCATCTCCAATGGTAGTTCTTGGTCTGAATCCTCATCATTCACCGAGGTTGGAAGTCCAACGCACGTGGCGACTTCGGAAGAGAGAAGTTTCAAAGCCCAAAAGATTCTTTTACTTATCTCTCGAGATATCAAATCTTGAGTGTTGTTCAAGGATCTATGAAGTCCCATGCGTAGGGCAACCGACATAGACGTACAAAGATAAGTATAACAAAATGGAGTTCGGGTGGTGTATGTAAGAAAGAGGTTCTTGAACACGATGGCTTGCATGGAAACAAGGTCATTGCAGCTTGCTATATCTTGCAACTGCTTGCTTTTGATGAAGTATCGAGACCTTGAAAAGTTAGTACATGTTGGGTTATATCAGTGTGGTTGAGGGAGGGATATATACGCTCTTGTAATCACCTCGTCGTACCCTGATCTTTCTGCAAATGGATCGACAAACAAGCTCCCATAGGCGAGTACTGCGTAGAGAAGTGGCAAAAATCTTCTCTCTTTCAAGCTATACTCGCGTGGTTCCAGTGAGTAAATCATGTTGAAGGAGAAGTCAAAGCTTGGTCGATGAACTATATGCAGCAGCACTTGTGCATCCAGAGCGGCGTCCACCAGCTTCACCGCTTGATCCCGTCCTGGCAAGGGAACTTCATCAAAGCATCGCGCATCGCTTTGGAATAGGCCTGGTACCGACCCATCGACAGGAATCCTTTGATGGGTCATGGAACTGTCCCCGAGTTTTTCGATTAGCCCTTCCATGAATGTCCTGTCCGCAGACGTGCCATGGAATTCAATTTCGCCATGCTCAATGAAATGATGAGCCGTTGTACACTTGCCAATTTCTTCTGAGTCAGTCTTCTTGGGGATGACATTCTTGGGATGGAGATGTGAACTTTCTAACGGAGATTTGATCGGTGGTGGTAGGCTAGGAGATGGAATTATAGTTGTATTATCGATTGCTGGGCAAGGATAGAACTGATTTGATTCAACAACTTTCAGTCTTTTTTCCATGGCATCGAGCTGAGAAGATGCATTTTTAGCCCTTTTGACAGCACGCTTGGGGCGCTCCGAATATACACAATCTGTCAGACCGTCAGTTTTGCTCTGCCGAGCCAGGCTCGAAAGCACATTCGCCATACCTCGGAATGATATGCTGCATTGGCCACATGGATCTCTCTTGTCGCATTTGACTTTGCGTCTGCGGCAGAAATCGCATGAGATTTTCTTCCATTCAACCCTGTGCTCTTCTCTGGACATGTGAGGGAGATGAACAGTTATAGGTGGCTGGAAAAGATATTTGCCTTTGCTGCCGCATCCAGTTTGATTGGGTTGTTCCGATACAGCAGGCAAAGGCACAACTGGCTGGACGCTCTGCGATGATGTCGCGTGGCAAATTGACAATCATTCGACTTTTGATTTCTCCTCTCATTTCTACAGACATTGAGTTTCTCTCTATCCTGCACTCATCATGAAACGCTCCGCTGTTACGTACGACATCGCCGACGGCAGAACTCGTCCGGCTAAGAGAGCTGCCACTTCTACCACCAAGAAAGCTGCTGCTTCTACTAAGAAAACTACCGCTTCTACAAAGAAGGCTTCTGCTTCCAAGGAATCTTCCTCCAATGGAACAGCAGCAGCGCCGCCCTCGCAACCTTTGGATGATTCCCTTGGAAAGCGCACCAAGACACCGTTGGGACCGAAGGGAGAGCTCATGATCCCGCAAGTCCTGCCGAGAGAGTCCGTCAAAGCCATTGAAAAGCTGCTTCTACCACGAGGATGGGTGCGCACTATCGATGCTACCCCAGAGCGTAGCCTCAGTCTCTCAAACAGGCGATGGTGGGAGGCGAACGGCCTTTGGCTCGAATCGAATAAGAAAGCCCTGGGCTTGACTGCCAAACAGTGGAAGATGAAAGAAGAGGCACTTGCCACAGGTTCGCCTCTCGGAGAAGACGATGCAAACACCCCCGAAGAATTCATCTGCATTTACCCGCTGGAAGACGAAGAAGACTCCAACGACGGAGACGGAGAAGACGATGACGATGACGATGACGATGACGATGACGAAGCGAGAGGAAGCGGAAACAAAGCGAGCGCTGCAGACAAGGAAACCAAGAAAAAGGAAGCTGAAGCAAAAGAGGAGGCCCTTTGCGACCGCGTGGGAAAACTTGCTTCTCGACACCCAGAGCATCTCTGGGTTTCTAGTCTGGGTGGCTACGAGCGGTTTAAATGGTGGACGCAAGAGATCTGCAAGCGAAACCAGGACGACTACTCTCTCCACGTCTACAACGACTTTAGCTGGTATGGAACCATCGAAGTCCTGGAGAATTTGGTGAGTCGTCTTGGGACAACATCGAGATCTTAGCGGCTAACTGTTCATCGTAGTTTGTGCAGTTCGAACGCGTTGTCAAGTCCAAAACCGCTCAACCTTTGGAAGTATGGCGAGAGGTTGAAGGACTTGCATTGCTTCTAGCCAGCGGTAACGCCGTATTCGAAAGTGAGTTGATCTCTATGCAGCACTGGATCTGAAGTATGTTTACTAACGGAGCTGTGTAAAAAGTGTGCGATGATGGCGAACGGTGTGAGCGAGTTTTGGAGCTCTTTGGATCCATGACAATCGCCGGTATCGACGTGCTTCAGAAAAAGGGTCTCTTCACTAAAGATTCCACTATTCCCAACATTTCGATGATGCTGTCTCTTCTCATCAGATATGCATGGTCGATGGGCCGCGGCGACTTTGGCCTCGAGGATACTGTGACTTGGATCTTTTATGTTTATCAACAGACCGAGGCTGCAGGTATAACTTTGGGTGGACCATCTGGATTTGAAAAGATTCTCAAGGAGATCAAGAACGAAGCTCCAGAACATGAGGGAGCATCGCTTTCCAAGGTGGCAAAGGGCACATTCACCAGCAAGGTACGTTGCTCTCTTGGTTGAACCACTGGTTTATCCGCACAAGCAAAGCTGACACAACTCTGTTCCATTAATTTAAATCTTACGGCTCGCGAGGCGGTGACGAATTTGTCATTGCGAAAATGCCTGCTGCTCGGAGAAAGGGGTACTCCTATGGAGGCGGTGGAGGTGGGTTGATGTTCTAGAAATGCCCAGAGCAAGCATGTTTGCCCAACTATCCTGTTAGACACGGTTGTACAATCACGAACGATTAAGTTGATAGCCCATGAGTGAAAAGATAATGATGTACATGATTCTCACATTTAAAAAGATACCGCACGAAATAGCGTTAATTGCCACTGTCCCATTGCCAATGATGTACATTATCCACAGCGGCAAGTGACTATTTACTCATATAAAGTAGGAATATATGATTTCAAGGCAAGCTCAAGAACAACTCGAGCAGCTTGGGATAGTTGGGTGTGCCCAATCCAGTAACAGGATCCCATCCCTTGGTAGCATTGAATCCAAGGGTGCCGCAACCAGGGTTGGTTCCGTTCGTGATGTCGTTCAACACTCCTGGGTTCTCGTACAGCGCTGAGTTGATGAGTCCCAACGGTCCCTTTCCGATCTTGATGCGCTCTTCCACAATGCGGTTAATCAGCGATGCGAAAATAGGCGCTGAGGCAGATGTGCCGCCAGAGAGTCCCTTCTGGCCTTGCACCCAGACTGCAATGTTATCACCGTTTGCTGCCACATCGGGAATGCCTCGTCCATTCCGGTTGTAGATGCCTGTGCTGTTTTCGTATTGGCCATTTTCGTAGTATGGGTATGACGGGTTGTATTTCTTGAAATAGTTGGCGACGGCTTTTTGTTGGTAGTTGGGGATTGGGTAGATGTTGGAAAAGCCCTGTAATTGATCAGTAGATGTTCCATATTTGCTTGTATCACAAATGCTATACTTACACCGCCACTGCTGTAGTTAAAAGAAGGGCTGGGATCAAAGACAGCACTCTCAGGATCATGGACGGTCTTTCCGGGGTAAACCTTTGTTGCTCCAACGTTTGTCAACCACGGGCAGCTGTTGGGATGCGTGGGAGAAAAGACATCATCATCTCGTAGACAACCGTAAAAGTCTGCATCGGTATCTCCAGGATAACCGCCCACTCCAGTGTCGCCGCTGGCTACAAAGACAGACACGCCCTGTAGAGCAAGTTTCAAGAACTCCTGGCACTGGCGCTTCTGGTAGTTTGCGGGGAGATCGCTCTCTTGAACGCCATATGAGATGGAGATTACGTTGGTAGGCTTGTAGACGCCACACATGAGAGGGCCTTTGTAACCACCAGAGTGCGTATCGGGATATACAGGGTCAAGCGTGGGATCGTTGCCCGTCTCTCCAAAGGCAGAGTAGGTGCAGTAGGAGCCGTCAAGGGCGTCAAAAAAGGTGTTGAAGACGCCAGTGAATTGTTGGGCGTAGAATGCATCGTCGGTTTGGAAGAGAGTTGTAGTCTGAGGGTAGATGATGGGATATGCAAGTTCAAAGTCGAGATTGCTTTCACCGCCAGCGTTTCCTTGCGACACGGGAGCCTTGGCACCATCAATGGAGTCCAAAGCGGGATGAGTGCCGTTGGGAATGTATGGGGTGTATTCGGCAAAGAATGCGTTAAAGTCTGGCTGAGAATAAACATCGCCTTGTTCAAAGACGCCGAGCGAGTTGTTCTTGCTGACTTTGGCGTGAGGATCGGGTGCTTCGAAGTTGTAAAGCGCCTGCAAGCATTTGGGCGTAATGGTTTGATCGCAAGTTGAAAGATCATCTGGTGACGACTTCTTTGGTAGCTTAGGGAAAGGCCTAACCTGTTGTTGTCGGCGATGAGGATTGAAATTGAGGTGAGCTTCGAATGATCTCTTATCCCTTTTTCGAAGCTCCATGAGAGTACCCTTGACTCCGGGAGTGATGTAATCGACATGTTCTGAGACATGCTCTGGTAGATGATATTCGTGAGTAGCGACTAGAGCGCGGTCTCGATCATCATGGAAGTATTTTGTATTCAGAAGGCTCTCGACTTCTGCAGCAGTGGCATCAAAAGCCAGCCACACTTTGTTATCACTGTGAGTGATTCTCTCTTTAGAGATACCCGACTTGATCAACCAAGCAGCCACCGTCTCAACAGCATCGTCAGAAGGCTTGAAGGCTTCAACCACCTCATCCAGAGTCCAATGTTTGCCGTATAAAGAAGAGCCGGGGTGAGAAACTTCCGTCAACCAGTCCTCTGCCTGCTCCATTGCCTTGACATTCTGCTTCAAGCCCACTCTGACGGGAAGCACAACATCGGGGGAAACTCGTTTGTGCAACTTGGGATTCGGGACGGCGCGCTTCTCGTGGACGACATGATCACCAGGGATTGATCGACCTGAAGTCAAGCCCACAAGAGCAGCAACTTGGATGGCTGATGAGAAGCGCATCTTGACAATATGAAGGGTATAACAATTGTATCAGAGCGCCAACTCACTTACAATGAGGCAAATCTAGCATTCATCTGCGCGGTGCACCTGGGCGTAATTTATACATCTACAAGCACGATCGGCGCCATCCATCATGCCGCTCAGTCAAATTTCTCCAGAGAAACCCTGCGATGATACTGTACAGGTCCTCTCATCGTGCAAGGTCCATTCACCAACAATGGGCAGAACTTTTGATTCCCTTCTCCAACCACTTAGATATCGACCATTCAGCGATGAGCGATGCAAGCTAAGACAAATGCCTGCATAATCACACGGCAAGAATCGCAGTGAGGTGATGCGCTGCTAGGTTGGTTCAGGAAGGTCAACTAACCGGCGCGCAACTCCGCCGAGGCAATGCTGCAATTTTGTTCCCGTTACGATCATCATTCCGGAAATCGCAACAGGGAACCGGCATTATCGGCACCGTTGCTGGAACTTTTGAGATGCGAATCCAGATGAACCGATTTGGCTTGTGACAAGGAGATAGCGTTGGGTGTGTCAAAGCAACCCTGGTTCATCATGAGCTGTCTAAACCCGATATGGGTGGGTTTCAGCGTTGAGATGGAGTTGATAACGTACGGACAGCATTGAAGAGACTTTAATCCGGACCGGAAGAGTAGGATAATAGCATCTCGTATTGGATAGAATCCATTACGATACGTTTGTGAGTGATACGATTCTGTCCACATTTCTCATATATGACACTGCCACTAATAAATAAAGAACAGATGAACATATTTTCTCATCAGCTTGTTCACTAGACTAGATCACCTACATGTCCCATTGCGCCTCACTGCATTCTTCAGTACGTCAAGACTTGTTTCGCTCAATTACAATTATACAAAAAAAAAATATCAATCTCAACCGCTGTAACGTCGCTTCAAAGCATGATTCAATTGCACTGTAATCTGGCGTATTGCAGCTCGTATCCTGATAGTAAAAGACTAGGATCACGGTTCTGGTTGCACACACCAACACGATGTGGGGTTTAAGTGAGGTCGGCCTTCATAATGAGTACTGTTACTGTATAAACGGCTCATGGAGATATCTATGTAGTTTCTTCACATGATCAAAACATGGTTATAACGACGTCACATTGGATATTACGAAATGCATCCAGGTAATTGGATCTACTCGTGGCTCCTCACCGGCAACAAGCGATGCTAGGAGTCACAATTGATGCCCCTCCCACACACAATCAACCATCCGCCTTTAATGGTCCACATCTCGCCAAGAGAAATATCACGATCCCGTGTGTTGGCTCTTTCACTTACACACACACGGCCCGGAATATGGCTCCGGATTACTCTAAACGGCAACCGATCCGGCCGGCAGCCACCCATCACAGCAAACTGTCAAATCTCGGTTCTCGGCTTGTGTCAGTCATTAAGCTTCCGAAACCTCCACCAAGCGCTTTGTCACCACACCATCAGCCTTGAACGATAGCCTGAAGCTTCTTTGGGCTCCCACATAATCATTATGACGACCGCTCGCCTCCTTTAGGAATGCCCGCTATCTCAAACGGAGTCAGGCTGCAAGATGGTCGGGCAGCCGCCACGTGATGATACGATTCGCTCCCACCACCAGCTGTATGTCAGATAACGCAGTTGATATTATAAATGGCTGTTCATCTGGCCATTGATGCGGGGTATGGCTTTTGTCTGCATATCTTACAAGTTTCAGGCATATTACTCTGTTTCTGCGCTGAAATCTCGTCCCAAAGACACCACGCAATGGCCTCAAAGATTGCAATTGCTTCCTTGATTGCCTTATCGGCTGCTTCGGAGGGCCTTCGACCATGGGAGGCTCCTGGTCCTAATGACTTGCGGAGCCCTTGTCCAATGCTGAATACGCTGGCAAATCATGGCTATTTGTATTGACCTCTCTCCAATTGGAGCCAATTCTTCATCAATCAGGGGCTAATTGGTGTTCAAGACCTCACAACGGCCGCAATATCTCGGCCCAGCAGTTTGCCGATGCAGCTTTCGAGGTCGTAAATATCGATCCCATGGCCATCAAGCAGGTTGCAAATTACTTTCTCAGAGCTGCGAACCAGACTTCCATCGACTTGACAGACCTGAATCGCCCTGGCATACTGCAGCACATTGCTTCTCTCACCCGAGACGACGTTACAAGCCCTGATAGCGTGGATGTCACAGCATCTCCAGATCGAATTCACCATCTTATACAAGACAGCGACACCGACTGCATTACAATTGCTTCGCTTGCAAAGTCTCGCCTACACGTTGAAGATTTGTCTCTGCCCAATGAACTGACTCTGAAGGAACAGAGCTTGGCATATGTCGAAGCAGGTCTCCTGCTGTTGACGATGAATGAAGGAGATATTCCGTCTGGATGGAGCTTTCCTCCCGCAACCGCATATTGCGCCCCCAAGAAAAGAGTAGAAACGTGGTTGATGGAAGAAAGATTACCAGAAGAGCTGGGGTGGAAAAAGTCAGAGCGAACGATTGGTCTCTTGGACTTTGTGCCCGTCATGAAGGGCATTTACGAGGAAAAGAGATTGCAGGCTGGCAAGGGCCCATTGTGGAAAGCCTTTGTTCCTCCTTTTCTGCAGCAATCAGGAACCGATAGTGAGCTATGATGAGCTTTAGTTTGGTGCGTGTGTTTTCTGAATATGATGTTGAATACCAAAAAGTATCGTTTGAACAACCGGTGTAATACCCATGCGATACGTCAACCGCGATACCGTGAAGAAGAAATCTATCTCTGCTTATTCTTTGAAAACGTGGGTATCTTTGCAAAACATTTTATAGAAGGAATTCGGAGTATCAAAGTGTTGACAACCTATTCTTCAGTCGTGGTCAAGACATGTAAAAAAGATGGTGCTTGGGCATCAATAAGATGCGGGGATGCGCAAAAAGAAAGGGATCCAATCCAATGCAATGCGTAATCTGGGAATCGAACCCAGGGCTCCCCGACGTTGCTCGGATGGCAACGGAGAATTTTACCACTAAACCAATTACGCTTCGATGTCTTGGAGTTGAGATATTCCGATTGAGATTCCTGGCGCCAGTGTTGTTGTCTCGATCTCGATCTTGAGAGTGACTGGAATGTATAGACGTAAGATGCACTGAGAATCGACTCAATGCTTTACTCGGGCATTAGTATTGTAGAATAGAAGCTCCATTTTGGAGCCTACGAGCCAATTAATGATTCACCTCATTGGCTCACCGCTGCAATGCAAGAGGAAGCATGGCATCGCCTCTGTGTAACATCGTCTTTGCCGCATATGCCGATCAATTTCGTTGACGAATTAGTTAGTTGTCTGTAGTCTGCAATCGGAAGTCTCCCGAATGGAAATAAAGCGGCTTGTTCATTTTAATTCCCTTAGCAGATTCATGGCGACGGTTGGGGAGGATTACTATCATGCGGCACCTCCAATAAAAAAAACTTTCCGCAAATCTATCCACCAATGTTGTTTTCTCACTGTCTTAGCCTCAGGTGGAACCGCGCGGTAATGACGATATATATATATATAGAAAACCAGGATCCCCCAGAATACGGAGATAACCGTTACTCATCTTGCATCTGCTGCTTTGCTGGCTGCTTGTATAATTTCGTACGACCCTAAAGACCATCCGGGCTTATAGCGAAATTACAATAAACATTCAACCCACGACGCTAGATACAGAGACGGCATCATGGCGCCAAAGAAAAACATTCTGCTCGTCATAGCAGACGACATGGGCAAATCCCTTGGCTGCTACGGCGATTCTACAATATCAACGCCCAACATTGACCAGCTAGCCTCTGAAGGCACGCTGTTTGACAATGCCTTTGCCAGTACAGCATCTTGCAGCGGAAGCCGATCGGTCATCTATACCGGTCTCCATACGCATCAAAACGGGCAATACGGCCTGGAGCACTCCAACCACCATTTCATGACCTTTGATTCCATCGACACTGCTCCCAAGCTCTTCAATGATCTTGGGTATCAAACCGGCATTATTGGAAAAATCCATGTCGGTCCCAACCATGTGTATCCGTGGGAGGTGCGGAGAGAAAGCCCAACCCGAGACGTTTCTTGGGTTGCCGAGCAGGCTGATTTGTTCTTTCAATCAGCAAAGGATGACCCCAGGCCATTCCTTCTGACGGTGGGATTCATGGATCCTCATCGGGACTCGACTCGTGGTGGATTTGGTAATGGTGACGAGAGCGTATCTGCTCCGGACGCGACCTACGATCCTGCAAAGATTACGGTTCCCAGCTTTCTCAATGACATTGCCGAAGTTCGCCAGGAAATGGCTGAGTACTACCGGTCTGTTGGCCGAGTTGATCGGGGATTTGGCTCAATCATGGAGGCCTTGAAAAAGGCTGGCTTCATCAATGACACGCTTGTTGTTTTGACGAGCGACAATGGCCCGCCGTTTCTCAATTCAAAGACGACCCTTTACGACGCAGGTGTAAGACTACCTTTGATTATACGGAACCCTCAAGGGAAACCTGGCCTAAAGAATCCAAATATTATTTCTTTCATCGACCTCCTACCGACATTCCTCGACTGGGCAGGACATGATTCTGCTACACCCTCTGCCTCGGCCTCTCCACCTCGGCTCGGTCGCTCCATTCTTCCAATCATTGATGAAACTAATACACACGACGACTGGACAAAAGTGTTTGGGTCCCATACTTTTCACGAGGTCACAAACTATTATCCAACACGATTCATGCGCACATCGCGCTACAAATACCATCGCAACATAGCATGGAAGCTCGACTTCCCCTTCTCAACCGATCTCTACGCCTCCTTGTCGTGGGAAGGAATCCGCAATTCCCAGTTTCCAGTGAAAGTTGGAGAGCGCTCTCTGGAAGCATACGTCCGACGGCCTCCGGAGGAGCTGTATGACATGCAAGAAGACCAGAGAGAAGTGGTGAACCTGGCGGATCGTCCGGAATACAGAGATCTTCTGCTAGGATTCCGAAAAGAGCTCGAAGACTGGCAGCGAGCGACAAAGGACGCATGGCTGGTACGGGACGGAGTGTCATTGTCGGAGATGCAGGGACACATTGATGCAGGGTTGAAGATTCCAGATCGATTTGACTTTGACTTGGCGGCGCCAGGAAATACGCAGTCATAAGCCGGGCTTATTTTCTTCTGAGAAAGCATGAAAAGAAAAAGCTGATGGCATTTCCCAATCTTCCAGGGTCATGTCCAGTCGAGGCAGTTAACTTCTTGGTCTTGCTCTTGCTCCTGTTCGTCCTCGAGAAGGCGAGGCTGCCGAGCAATGCTGCTCGAAATTTCTTGCATCTTATCATGCAGAATTTGGAGCTTGATATTATCGCCACCGCCACGGAAACAGGTCAGAAACTCAGAAAGGCGGTTCAAAACATCCCGTGGACCAACATTCATCAGCTGCTTGCCCTGAAATGTCGAAGGCAGACATAGCAGGATGTCTGCCAGTGACATTGCCACTTCAAACAACTTCATTTCCTAAAGAGAAGACGATGTTAGCCGCAGATCATCTCAAGCCGAGCTCATTACTACACACCATCCCGAGGCCATGTGCTTCAATGACAGATCGAGGAAACCTATCAATGTTCTGAACCACATTTCGCGCGATCCGATCTGGAAAAGACAGGCTGAGACCTTCATCTGCCGCATTGGGCAGCAGATTGATGTAATACATGGATGTTTTCCACAAAACGACTCGCATCCACTGTTGCGTCAGGAGAAAATCTGCTCTCTGCAGGTCGGAGCAATTCCACGAAGCTTGCTGAACTCCCCTTAGGCGATCATGCATGGAGGCAAAATACTCGTGTGTTTGAGAAGAACCATCACCATCCATGGCGTTGGCAAAGCTTTGGAAGAGTTTGCTCAAACTGATGAAGGCGAATAGGATCGGGGGATTCTCGTCCACTTCGAGTTCAGGTAGATCAGGATCAAGCTGTAGTATCCTTGGAAAGTCAAATCGTGTAGTATGACCTCTGGAGTGTATCGTACATCTATTAGCGGCCTTGAACCATGTGTCGGACAAGAATATGAGTGTCTATCCACCTTTCCGTTACAAATAGTAGCCAGATTGTGCGCAAATGCCGCTGAGCCTCGAGTTTAGGTAGATTTGCATAATGAATCGCCTTATCGAGGCTCAGCATCTGCGCAAACGTGATTGCTTCGCGTAGTAGCATGGCTCCCTTGCGAATATGGCCGCGGTTTGCGTATGATACGTGTAAGAAGAATGATGATAGTAAGACGCTGATGGATGGATGTTCCAAGTAATCCATTTCGTGCCTCGCTCTCGAGGCCTCGGCAGCCATGAATGCGCCATCATCGCCTCCAAACCGGCCAAGTGCCTCATGAGATGCAGGCTTGAGTTGTGCTATTGTAACTGCACTGACTGCTGCGGCGAGTGCATACGCTTCAATGTCGGTGGAGTCCCGGAGACGGTTGAGGAGAGTATCTATGTTGACAACGGGCCAGACGGGGTATAGAGCTTGCTGATAAAGTCCGAGATAATGTTCAAAAGCGGAAGACGGCACGCGATTCATGCCAGGGTAGATGTGAGGCTGAGTTGACGGCTGTGAGTAACTATCGCCATCGGACACGGGAATTGGAGCTTTTCTATTAATCATGGTCGCTTCCATTGCCGACTTATTATTTAACAGAGCTTCCCGCTTCCTTTGTGCCCAGGGTCCCTTGGGGCCGGCCTTCAGCTTCCTCCTCTCGGCCACGCATTGGATAGAGAGGCTCTGGCATCGTTTACATGGCAACCCCCGATCACACCTCACCTTTCGAGCTGCACACGCATCACAGGCCCTGTCCCGAGCCATCTTTAAGTCCGATCCGGGTTGTATTCATCGCAAGGAGGTGCAAGATGCGAAGAATCTGGTGGCTCCGGCTTCGCGTACCCTCATCTTGGCTTCGATATTGAGTTTGATACTAGTCTGTTGCCACGTCCTGTGGGGGGCGTCAGACCCCAGCACTGTGGAGAATGTGATGCGGGGGAGACGATACGATGAGATGTGATTGAATCTCGTGCCTGGCATCGTGTGTGTACCTGGCATTAGACGGCGGAGTGGGATGCATCATGGAGAGACCAGCACCGCTGATGCTGCCCATCCACAACATCTTCATTCCAGCTCGTCTTGAATCATCTAGTTTTCAGATTCCAGCAGACAACAACTACTAGAATGGGGTCGTTTCAAATCCCTCAAACCATGTGGTGTTAGATTCATCGCGCCATAGACTAACACTTAGGTGACCGTATGAAGGCGAGTCAGCGCTGCCATCCAAGATGACCGCCTCTTCTCTCTAAATTAGCTCCGATTCTGCTTACGCGCGGAAAGATTTTGGACGGCGCGGAAAGATTTTCTAGCTCCCAATGCACATGCTTGCGTCCACCGAGCTTCGGTTGTCAACTTCAAACCTACATCTCAACTGGGGCGCTATCACCGAATGCTCGCAAGGCGACAGCTGTGCCGTCTCAACGAGGCATGGCCTAGTTTCCTTTGTGGTAGTTTGAACAAACCAAAGCATGGTTCGGCGAAGACGTGATGGCCCCTTGAATCACTCAATCGCAGATATTGCTTTCTCCCAATGCCCCGGGTGAAGATCGCTCAGCGGCTAAGTTGGAGTATATATACACGACGATATCCAACAATATTGCAATTACAGTCGCAGTTTCTTCAGCTTAGAACTCAGCGCTATCGATAATGGCACCGTCATTTCTTCGAGAAAACCGATTTGTTCGGCATTTTACTCCTCGGTTGGCACTCTCCGTCGCTCTGATTGCCCTGTCCACCTTCAACTATGGCTTTGATAACCAGGGGATTGCTACAAGTCAAGCAATGCTGGCATATAAGAAGCAATTTGGAGACTTTAACCCAGAGACCAACACATATGCCATACCCACCTACTACCTGTCTCTTCTTAACAGCCTCAACTTCATCGGGTTCGCTTTTGGTACGTCGACATATACAACACACGATGACAACAAGAACAAAATGTATCTGATGCATCATCACTTTAGGTCTTTACATCGGAAGCATCATCAGTGCTCGCTATGGTCGCAGAATGTCCATGTTTTGCATGTCCCTTTGGGCTATGATGTCCGCGACAGTGCTCATCTCGGCCACAACGAGAGGGCAAGTCCTCGCGGGTCGCATCCTTAACTACACATATATAGGCATGGAACTCTCTACCTGTCCTCCATTTCAAGCCGAGATTGTCCCTGCCCCCATCCGAGGCTTCGCTGTTGGAACATATCAAACCAGCTTGTTGCTCGGCGGTGTCATCATCAACAGCGTCTGCCGTGGCACAAGCGGGCTTTCGAGCAACGCAGCCTGGAGAATTCCGATGGGTCTCTTCTATCTCGTCCCGGTGACAGTCGCATCATGCGTCTGGTTCATCCCGGAATCCCCTCGATGGCTAGTGCTCCAGGATAGGGAGGAAGACGCTCTCCGGTCTCTGCAAACACTCCGCGGCTCCGACCCATCTTACAATGCCCTTGAGGATCTTGAGCTACTGCGGCTCTCCCTTGTAGAGGAGCACAACAAAGGGCGGTATTCTGACCTTTTTCGAGGCACCAACCGAAGACGCACACTTGTTGCCATGGGCATGAACTTCTTCATCCAAGCCACAGGATCACCATTCACCGCTGCGTACGGGACGCTCTTTGTCCAATCCATCGGCTCCATCAATCCCTTTAATTATTCCATCATGAGCTCCTGCATCAACTTCACCTGCTGTCTAATCGGAATCTCGATTACGGACAAGGTTGGTCGTCGTCCAATCCTCATGGCCGGCTCAGTTCTCCAGGTGATCTGGCTATTCACCATGGGAGGCATCGGAACGTCGGCGAATCCCTCGCTTGTTCAAAAACAAGTCATAGTAGCTGCTACAGCTCTATCATCGGCCAGTTTGTGTTTCAGCTGGGATCCCATGAACTACATTGTTACGACGGAACTTCCAGCGTCGCGATTACGAGACAAGACCCAGAGAGTTGCCTCCATTGTTAATATTGTGACCAAGTAGGTTTACTATAAACTATCTATCCATCGATTCTGGAGAGCTCATTGCTAATTCTGTCCATAGCTTTCTCTTTTCTTTCTTTACTCCGTATTTACTCAATGCGCCATACGCAAATTTGAAGTCCAAAGTGGGCTTCATATTCGGAGCTCTAGCCATATGCTCCTTCTTCTTTGCATATTTCTGTGTTCCAGAGATGAAGGGACGGAGTTTGGAGGAAATTAACGAAATGTTTGACAAAAACATACCGACTAGACAATTCGGTAGCTACGTGCTGGAACACAGGGTTAGCGACAAGGCAGACGTGATTGAGATGGAGAAGACGCCCGCTGATAAATTTGGAGGCATCCCTGAGATATAGCCAACTATCTACTATAGTGTTTCAATTGCAACATGATTACTTTGTGCATGAACTTGTATGTTACTAGCTCTGCAATTGTTGGTCAAACCCGTTGCGCTATTTTGTATATATCAAATCAAAGGTTCCATGAACAGCAGCCAGTAAGAGAAGGCTTTTTGTACATTTGATTGATTGCAGACAGTATGGAGAACCTGTTTAACAAACCGGTGTAGCCAATTTTAAGATTGAATGATTGAATTTGCCTCGATAAGAAGCTTCATCGATGGCAACGGGGCTGGACAAAGCAACAAAGTCACGAGCTAGTATCTCAGTAACAGAACGTTGAAACCAGATAGTAAAGCACTGCCGATCAATGTCCAGATTCAAACAAGGTTGCGTCCCGATAAACGGGCAATGCCGCACAGAAACATTAAAGTCAATCTACAGGCCCACATCTGAGGCTTCAGCGTGCTTCGAGAAGCTTACAGGGCAGAGTAATAATCGTCAGCACAGCTGATAATTCCGTACAGTGAGGCTACTGTAGTGATTCGTGTGGTGAAAAATGATGATGCTGCTTCAAGGATGAGAGTTGGCTGTAGAAATCCAACGATGCCGCATCAGCGTATCAACGACACGTTCAAACACGTACTCGTATTCTATGAAAACATACACTAGGCGAACACATGGTCACATTGAACCCACGAATAAAAACCCCTCCCTCCGCTGCTGCCTGTGCTGCCTATTTTGAGCCTCTCCAATCACAGCAACAGATCCCCCAACAAATGCTGATTATAAATGTCAATAGCAAACTTACATGTGGTGTCTAAATCTCAAACTATTCATGTTGTGTTCCTTTGTGTTTTCTCAATATGAACTTTACAACTCAACCCACAACAGGTCCTCAGGGTCAGCGTTACTCTCGCCGTCCAGGACTCAGAAACTCCGCAGCGCCTCTCCACCAGCGACTCCTCTCGAAAAAGATCCACAAGCAACAAGACTCACCACTGTTTTCTCTCATTCCGCCAGAAGTTCGCGCCAAGATATTTACCTATGCGCTCTCTGATTACGAAGACAGGCGTCGACCTCTTTTATACGACTCCAAAACTTCCTTCTGGCGACCCTCCCATCGTGGACCTCGCAGGACGAGCCCCGAGCTGCTGAGGACATGCCGCGCCATTTATCGCGAGACGCGGTTTCTGCCGTTTGCTCTCAAAGAGCAGATCCACTGGCTATGCGCTGACCTTCATATACCACATGGGAGTGGCCGATCCAATGGTAACGCAACAAAGTTGGCGCTTGTGCTAGGTGAAATAACGCAGCAGGGCCTAGACAAGGTTGAGATTGAGAGCCTCCATGCCTTTGCAAACACGCGCCGCCTGGAGCACGGCGACTTGGGTGCACTACTATCGATCCCTGGACTGCATCCTCGGCGAATAACCTTGACGATTCGCTATATCGACTGGTGGGGCTGGGATTGGGAGTCTCCCGACAAGCCGTTGTATTTCAAAGCTGATTGGATCAGCGCAGTCTCCAGCAACATGTCGCCTTCAACAACTGAGTTTAGGATTGAGCTTGAGACTCTAGAACACTTGAAAGACCGAGTTGACGCCATTGGCCAACATATTGCCGAGAACTGGTTCTTTGGGCGATTTGGTGGCACCATTCTCTACGCCGATGTGTCGGGTAAGTGTCATCAGGTGTCCCGCTGGTCTGGTTCGAGTGCTTGGTACAAGAAGCACAGGACAAATTATCAAAAGGAAAAGGGTCGCAAGCTGGATTATTACATCTTGACTATCACGTTTGAGTCGGAACTCTCTCTAAACAGAAAAGGAGGAGTGGTGAGTGAAACAGCCAAAAGAAACGCCGCAGATCCGTTGTTCAAACATGTCCCGGCAAACCTCGGCGATCCATCTATCCTTGGGAGATATGGCCCTCCTTCGTATGAGGTGCCTGGTGTTCCAATGCTTCCTATACCGATGGAGGATGATGATCTTTGAATGCGAATGTTGTTTTTCCAAAATCACCCGCGTGGATGCAGCCGTGAATTTTTGAAGCTATATACATGAACCAGGTCTTACAACCAATCTTCTTGGTAGCAAGGCTCCATTGATGACATGCTGAAAAGAAGTTATCAGCTCTGTAAGAACTCCTCAACAACCTTGTTAAATTTGGCATCGTTTTCCCAGAACATAAAGTGACTGCCCCCCTCATCTTCCTCAAAAATCTCCAGCTTGCTGCCTGGTATCTGCGAAGCAACCAATCGACTGCACTCTCCACCAAAGACGCTTCCTTCAGCACCGACAACGAGGGTGGGAATACTAATTGTTGGAAGAACATCTCTCCAATCTAGTCCCACGTGATTTACCAACAGCGCCGCAGCATCCTCCAGCTTCATCTTACTGCATTGCTGTGCCGTCCATTCAAAGTCTTCCGTACTCAGTGATGGTGAGAACAACGATTTCAAGAATCCTGATGCAAACTCGTCACCTCCGGGACCGCGGAAACTGTCACCCATTTCGTGAGCCTTGCCAGGCGTGAATATCGCTCCTAGGGACTTTGCAACACCTGGTTCCCAAGCTGGATCTGCGACCATAATAGGTGATTGGTCGACAATTATCAGTCGAGAAACTCGTGTGCGAGAAGCTTCAAAAGTATCCCAATATGCCCAAATTACGGAAGAGCCCATAGAGTGTCCACAGAGAATCACGTCTTTTAGATCCAACTGAGTGATGACATCGTTCAGGTCTGCGGCCAGTCGCGTCACTCGGTACCCTCGGCCAGGCTTGTCAGAATCACCTTGACCGCGATGGTCAATTGCTATAACACGGTATTTGGCGCTGAAATATGCAATTTGTTTTCGCCATTGGATCGCAGTTTGGAACCAGCCCGGAAGCAAGAGCAGAGCGGGATCAGACTCTTTTCCAGCTGTGATGTATCGGAGCGTCACTCCATCAAAAGTTGTAATGCTGCCGGAGGATGTTGACATATTGGAATTCAAGATGTTTTCAACAATAGTTGTCTGTATCTACAAAGGGAGCGATGTCTTTGGTTCACCCAGATTACGATAATTTAGGTACGGAGAGACAACGCCTTATATATCCGACCGAAGAATACATACGACAAATTAATTGCACAGTAAGCTACACAGCTTGGGTAGCAGAAATAAAAATATCCCATAAACATCTTCGATTAGTTATTCAGCCACAGCTGAACGGAGTTTCTGGCTCGGTTTTATGATATATATCAGTCAGATTTTAGCCGTTCGCCGCACGTTTTGGTAATGAGCTAATGCCCCTTGGTCAGACTTCTAGCGGGGCTTCCACTTGTCAACTGAGATGCCCGACGTATAAGTTGAATGACAACTGAAAACCCCACTAGAAGTCTGACCAAGGCGTGTTATCGTGTTGAATTAGAGTGCATAATTGTGGACCAGAGCCCATCATAGGTCAAGAATGCGGCGTTGCGGACTAGGCTGCGGCGTTGTGGAATGATGGTATCGGATCTGAATCATCGACGAATTATGGGGTACATGGTGAATGATACTGGGATAAAGAGTCTTGACACTTTTGAGGTATGTACATGTAGTTTGAGAAGAGAAAATAATGGGCACAACGAATCCCACGGACGTACTGAGCAGTAGACTTTGTTCGCCACAAAAAGAACCACGGAAGCAACTAACCTACAAATCCAGTCTTTTTCTTCTGTATCACTGTACCTACTTTTGATAGGAATACATATACTCCATATGCCTCAGGTCTCTTCATAACACAGAAACTCTTGACCGCCGTATTGCAATCGACTCCCCTCTATTGATTTGGTAGTGGGGACAGCTAGGGGACAGTAAACTCTCCGTTATCCAGTGGCGGAGTATGGACGATAGCCCTTGTATTTGCCGCTATATTTAGAGTTGTATCAAACGGCGGATGAATGTAATCATTTGGCATAAGAGCGACTTCGAAGTCAAGATAGCATTTTACTCTGCTCAACTATCGCGTCGTTGAAAAGAAAGCTCTTAGTTTCTGCACACTCCACCATGGAAACTGAACCAACTTTGTCTATATTCTAAAAGAAGATACCAAATCAGCCAATATCCCAGCTGCCGGAAGCCCAAATAGCAAAACAACAGTATTTATGGATTGCATTTATGCTGCTGAGATCCATTAGTTCAACTAGGGTTAATGGTGGGACCGACCAGTATCTGACAAGACTGGCCATCTGCGGGAAAACGCCGCCGCGCAGGACCGAAGGACAAAAATAAAATGAAAAACTCCGAAACTCATTTTCCGTAGCACAACTATATTCTGGATAACGTGCTGACATTGGGAAGAGTGCTAAAAACCTACCATGCATCCTATCAGAAAATTCCTTGTGAAGGAAACCTGTTCCTTGCTTGGTTGAGCGCGAAATTCCTGCTGCCCTTATTTCGTGTTTGACTCTTTAGCCTACCTCTATGTCTAGACGTATGCTTAATACTTAGACTTTGTGCTCTGTTCTTCTCGCAAGTGCTGAGGAGCAACATCGATAGTCCATGCATGCTTACGGACACCCTTTTTTTTGTTTCTTCTAAGTACTAGCACATGATAACTTCTTACAAGGCTGTTCCAACACTCCTTTTCTTGTACTGCCTTTACTAATCCTTTACGTAACCTTACTTATTTATGTATTACAGTAGATGACGATTTCACGTAAAGTCCTCGACCAGGAATGACCATCTCTTGACATCCATTCAACCTCACACAGTTCATCTACACTATTTCATTATGGCTCTTTTGTCTCTCATAATGATAATAAAATGCAATACCATCTTTGTATGACGAAGCCGATGCTCTAATCCATCTGTAGCTCAAAATGCCCTAGTTTGGATTGATAAAGCTTGGAAATAACCATCCCCGCGTGGCTTTTAGATTTGTAAGCTTATTCATCACGTCATGAGCATTTGCTTCAAAAGCTCATAATGAGGACATGTTCGTGTGTAAAAAGTAATTCGTGAACTTGATGTAATTCGATATCTATTGCCGATCGCATTTCCTTTGAAAAGAGGGCAGAAGATTGTTAAATCAACCTACTAATCATAGCACCATCGTAGTTGTCTTTGTGCAGCTGTGGTGATATACTTTAGCTAGTTGGAGAAAATGCCATCGGCTCAGCAGGTATAGCACTCAGCTATCAAATTCTGGCAACCTCATTGTCCTTGATCATTAATTTAGTTATCCAGGTTTATCACGACAAAGGTCGTTTCACTCGGCCGGACAGTATCTTTCGAAACTTCATCTCCAAAGGCCCCAATTCACAATTTCCAGCTGAGAAGGGTCGTTATGCATTATACCTCTCCCCTGGCTGCCCATGGGTTAGTAAGGCCACTTGTTAAATGCTATTTAACATCTTCTAAAACTCCTCAAAAAAGAATTCTGGTTGACATCTTTTCTTTAGGCCCATAGAACCATGATAGTGCGGCTCCTCAAAGGCCTCGACTCCATCATTGATGTCTACCAAGTTCACTTTCACATGGGCCCTGAGGGGTGGTACTTCAGCGGCGAAGGAGGCTCACTAACAGAAGATCCCCTCCACGGATTCAAGAAGCTCAAAGAACTGTACCTCAAAGCCGATCCCAACTACACAGGTCGATACACAGTCCCTGTATTGTGGGATAAAAAGGCCGATGTCCTAGTGAACAACGAATCTTCAGAGATTATTCGTATGCTCTACTCTGAGTTTGATGAGTTCCTTCCGGAGCATCTCCACGAAGAGAACCGTCCTGGCAAGGGTCTTTATCCACCACAGCTCAGAGCTGAGATCGATGAGATGAACGATTGGGTGTACAACACTGTCAATAACGGTGTTTACAAAGTCGGCTTCTCAAGATCGCAAGAATCGTATGACGAAAACATACGTCCGCTATTCGCATCCCTCGACCGCCTCGAAGAGCATCTTAGCCATGGCAAGCCCTTTCTCTTCGGAGACTTCATCACCGAGGCCGATATTCGCCTGTACACAACCCTGGCACGTTTCGACGTTGCCTATCATAGCGTCTTCCAATGCAATCTGAAGTTGATTCGGCACGACTATCCTCGACTTCACGCCTGGCTTCGGAGGCTGTACTGGGACCAGGATGAGGAGGGGCCACTAAGGGCCGCGTTTTTTCGCACCACGGAACCAAATATCGGGCGCTATGCGTTGGGATATGCGGATTCTAAATGGAGGATCGTCCAGGAGAGTCAAGGGCCTCTGATTATACCAGCTGGGCCATTGGTGCTGATGGAGCCTTTGTGAACAAAGCGTTCCTAGTTATGTTTGTTAAGACTAATGATGTATGTCTTACGCAGTAGGGTCTAACACTGTAGATTCAGTTGGATGAAGCAAACAAATTGTTTAATAGAACCTCCATCATCTGTCACATCAAATAAAGACTGGTTTCACGAATAACACTTACATATGAGGTTAAAGTTAAACCACTACTAATAATAAGATAACTGTACATTGAATCATTGTTTCAACTGAAAACTCCGCCGTAGACAGCCTCAAAGCCATTCAATGGCCTCTTCTAATAGCCAATGAACCATGTCCAATACCGTCTTCTCATCGTTTCCTGCATCCATAGATACAATGTCATATTCCTCACTGCTAGGCGGCTCATACAAGTCAATCTGGCTGTCAACCAATGCTTCACCCATATAATGCCCCTTGCGCTCTAGCAATCGCCTGACAAGAGCCTCTCTGTCGGCCTCCAGGCTGATAAAAACAACCTTCACCTTGTGCGCAGTCATATGGTGACGAATCTGGTCACGATATACTTTCTTTAGTGCGGAGCAGCTGATGACTACTGAATTGTAAGTAAGATCGACAAGCGTGCCTGTTGCGCGTTGATTGATTCGATCTAGCCATGATATGCGATCCTCATCGGCGAGGCTCACCCCGGACCGCATTTTCTCAACGGCCTGGCGAGAGTGCAATTCATCGCCTTCGATAAATGGAACATCGAGGCTTTGTGATATCTGCTTTCCGATGGTAGATTTGCCTGTGCCGCAAGGTCCGATCATGACGATTGCTAATTTCTCGACACCAGAGGGAGATGCTGGTTTCTTCCATGCCCTTTCGGTGAAGTAACCGACGAATTTTGCGACATGGTCATCCAGCAGACTAGGAACTTTGTTCAAAGCTGGCGACAATGATCTCGCAACATCGGTGACAAACGCTTTCGATGGGCTAAATGAATCTTTGTCATACTTGGATGCGAAGAAGTCTGTCAATTTGATGGGCGGGTTGGCGATGGGATCCGGATTCGACGCTCGTAATCTCTTAATCCACTCCTTTGGCTCAACCTCATCAAAGACAAGCCCACATTTGCGTAGAGCCGGCAGAAGATCGTCGCTCCAGCTAAAGACTTGAGGATTAGTGATGTTGGCGAAAATACTACCGGCGGTCGAGAGTGATATATCTATGACAGCGTCTGCTACAACATCAACAGGTAGCCATGATGGCGTTTCCTGGAGTTTTGGCAGAGCTCCTATCGTTATTGCAGTTTGCATCATCATAGGTACCGCTTCCTGAGCATTCCAGACACCGTGCTCTGTGTCCCCAATGATTTGTCCGACGCGCAGCACGCGAGCTGTAACGCCTTGAGACGAGGCCTTGGCACAGATATGCTCAGCTACCGCCTTGGACTGAGCATATCCCATGTTCTGAGCCCATGCAAAGTCTGGAGAACGTTCAGGTACCGGGATAACTGTCGCCTGTGAACATGTACTGACAGATGAACAAAAGTTCATTGTTGCTGGTGGCTGCGCGGCTTGGCAGAGAGATATGAGGTGAGATACACCTGCAATATTGCCCTTTTCGAAACTTGATAAATGCATGTTAAAGTTTACTGACCAAGCACAATGGACAACGGCAGACAATTCTTCCGTTATTGTCTCATAGATTGATTTGGAAAGGCCGAGATTTGATTCAGCCAGATTGGAAGACAGGACCACGATCTTGCGCCGGGAAGACAGCGATAATGAATGGTATACCCTTCTCTGTATCATCGAGCTCACAACTCGTTTGTGACCATGGGATGAATCTTCAGCCCGGACAAGACAGTAGATTCGGTCAATATCTGGTCGAGAGGCTAATTTTGCAACCACATGGGCCCCCAGGGAACCGGTAGCTCCCGTAACAACCTGGTACAGACAAACGTTAAAAAGGAATCGGGTCGAAATTATCGTGGAAAAATAAACTTACAATGGATGAATTGGAAGGTTTGGACGTAGACGCATTCGAATATTGCGCCACGAGTCTTTCCATCTGTTGTTCAATCGATGGCTCTTCATTCTTACCACCACCCATTCGGAGGCTAAGTAAGAAAGAGCTCAATCTATTGATCGAAGGCTGCTCGAACACGACTTGTTGTCCGAGTTTATTTCCACCAATGTCAACTGTCCTAAGTATCTCGCTTCTCATTTGGATGGCTTGCAAAGAGTCCAGACCCAACACAAAAAAGTCGTCATCGTCTGTAATAGTTGTAGGTGAACCGGCGGTCTTCTGAAGCAAGCCTCTCAAGAAATGGCGAAGCTCTGGAAGATCAAGCTGCATAAGCTCTCCGGAGACAGTATCTGCAAGATCATACGTCTCTTCAATTTCTTGCTGAAATTGCTTATAGAAAGCTTGACGAATTATGCTCCCTTTGTCTGTTCGAGGATAAGAACAATCATGTGGCAATACTCGAATCATGTTGCGCGAGATTCGAGCAAATGCATCCGCAGATTTGTTTGCCGATTCAATGGCTGGCCAAACCGTATCAACAATCTCCTGATTGGTACGAGTGGCCAACCGTGCAGCTGGAATGAGCAGCATCCCAAGATGCGCTCGACCAGCACCAAATACGACGGCTTCGGTCACATTTTTGTTGGATCGTATCTTTCCCTCCATCATCACAGGATTGAATTTCTCGCCGTTCACAAGGACTATGGTATCGTCGAGTCGGGCAATGTATTTCCATGCTCGGGGAATACTTGGATGAGGCTGAAATAGGTCTTTGGTAGCATAAGAGCCGTCGGGCTGGTTAGATTGCACCTTGGATGGCCATCCATCCAATACAACGCATTCATATAGGTTCGGGCCGCGTGGAACCCATTGCAAGAACTTGGACAGTTTGTCACTCTCTCGTACATAATTCCACTCTTTGTCGCCTTCAGCTCGGAAAGAGGTCATCAGTTGCCCGACTTCTGTCCTGTTAATGGTTAATATTGCAGTCATTGAGAATCTGATTAGGTACCAAATAGACTCACGCGCCATAATGACCAATTAAATTGACTCCATTCTCAACAAGCAGGTTTCCAAGATCATCTGGACAGGCTGAGCCGCCATACATCACAACCTTCAACTCTTGAAGAACAGTAATGCCTTTCTGGGTCTCTGAGAGTAGTTTGAGCGCATACGGAACACCATAGAAGATCTCAAAATTATTTGCTTGCATGATTTTGAGCAGGTAGTCTTGCGTCAATGGAAGCTCAGCGTTGTAAAGATGAATTGACTTCCGGCTGTGTAATGCTCGAAAGAAGTTGCAAATACCATGATTATGAAACAACGGCAACGTAATGAACGATTTCATGTTCATGCTCACGGAGTAATTTGCAAGGCATGACTTGTGAGACTGGTATATCGGCTTTGGGTGCCCAGTTGATCCTATCCTCTCATCAACATTTGGCTAGTCAAAACATGGATCAGTGGATGGCTTACCGCTAGAGTGAATTATGAATGCAATATTTTGGGTCTCAATCTCAGCATCCAGCTGAGAATCCAGCTGAGTGTCGCCATGAGCCTCAATAGAGTACTCAAATACCGCACGGTCAACAATATCAAGGAGCTGTAGGGAGGGCACCAGCCCCTGGACTTCTTTGGCGGTATTGGAATGCCTCTTATCGGCAATAATTGTAGCCGCTGATGTAGCATTTATAAGTGACTCAACAGCTTCCACTGTGATTCTTGTTGAAACAAGCAAAACCGTATGTCCGAGCTTTGTCAAAGCTAACAAGGTTATGAGATACTCAAAGTTTGACAGACCCAAGAGGGCTACCACACGCGGCTTTTCCGCCGAAGTTTTTCGTGCGGGAATGCATTGCGCATATCGATTTGCCGCTCTCCAAGCGAAAACATCAAGCTCTCTCAAGTTGTAGTCTATGAAGTCGATACCTGATTTTGGATATGAGACAATATGATCTTGGGGATAGGAGATAGCCCGTCGGCGTACCAACGCATCAACTGTTCGTAATGTTGAATCAGACTTGAATGCATTGGTAGCAGTGCTTGAGGACTGTGTGAGAATATGTCCTGAAGCGCTGCTGGGAGGCTCTGGTCGAGACGAAGGAACGTAAATCGTTGCGGGCATGATGTCTCTAGCTCGATTTACTCATGCGATACCATGAGAGATCTCGTTCGACGATTGCGGGAATGCGCGACCTATTTCACAAAGAAGCAAAGTCAAACATATCCGTGCTCTGTGACTAAGCTTGCCAAGAATGATGATATGGAATCTGCTCATCAAAGTTGTCGCTCAAGTTGCTTCGTCGATCATTCAATATGGCGGATTTTAATCCGATATCGCGATGATCTTCATCTTGGCTGCGGATAAAGGTCCGCTCATTCCACCGTTCTTTAGTTGAATGTGAGTGGAACTTACCCCAGATTCAGGCGCGGGGCTAATGAAAATCTGGGGATTCGGTAGAGGCACCGTTATACGAGTAAATGAGAGGGAGCAGGTGAAATTCCTGTTTATAATAAAATGTTGCCACGTCCAGGTGATTCAAACACCAAAGGAGCAGTGGGATTCTCCATTGTTTCTACTCAGTCGTTATAGACTTACTTGGGTCATCTATCTGAGACAAGCCAGCTCTCTCAGCAAGATTACTATCCTCTTAACATCTCCCATCCAGATTCGGCATGGCAAGAGACACTACCAAGGGTGACAAACCTGACATCGTCATGGTGGACGATCGAGATGACCACGCGAACCATGATATTGAAAAGTCCGCTCAAGTGAAAATCATTGACAACATACCTGTCTTGGGCTTGAGCGAAGAAGATGCGGCTTTCTACAACAGTATAACAGAAACGCAGAGGAAGAAAATCGTCAGAAAGGTAAGACAACCTAAACAACAATTCCAAATCAGATTGACTTGACACTTATTCTTGAATGCGCTGTAGATCGATTTGCGCCTGGTGCCGATGCTGGCGATACTGTACCTTATCTCGCAGCTTGATCGCGCAAACATTGGAAACGCAAAGATTGAAGGCCTTTCCGAAGACCTACATCTCGTTGGGAACCAATACAATATTGTACTGTCCCTTTTCTTCATCCCATACATTCTGCTTGAAGTTCCCAGCAATGTCTTGTTGAGGAAGTTTAGGCCCTCGGTTTATCTTGGCTCTCTTGTCATTCTCTGGGGCATAGTTATGACTATGCACGGTGTTGTCAAGAACTTCGGTTGCCTACTCGCCGTACGACTCCTTCTTGGAGTCTTTGAGGCTGGATTCTATCCTGGAGCGGTTTATCTCTGCACATTTTGGTACATGCCTAAAGAGCTTGCCACAAGAATTGCATACTTCTACTGCACCAGTGCTTTATCAGGAGCATTTTCTGGCCTCTTGGCTGCTGCAATTGCGCTGATGGATGGTGTCGGCGGCTATGAAGGATGGCGATGGATCTTCCTCCTCGAGGGCATTGCTACCACTTTACTTGGCGTCCTTTGCTTCTTCTTTCTTGTCGATTCGCCGTCGCTTTCCGGGAGATGGCTGTCAGCAGATGAGATTAGATTTCTCGAACTTCAACATTTTGTGAAGCAAGGCGGGCGTTTTTCGGAACAATACTCTGAAAAGAGATTCAACTGGTACGAATTCAAAATGGTTCTCACCAACTGGAGACTCTATCTACAGGCATACATTCTGCTGTGCATTTCAGCCTGTTCTTACGGAACCAAGTTCACCTTGCCTTCAATTATCAAAGCAATGGGCTTTACAAACAACACAATAGCTCAGCTGATGACGGTACCAGCCTATGTGGCAGGAGGTATTTCTTCCATATTCTTTGCCTACTTGTCAGATCGCTTTCTGTGGCGTATGCCCTTCATTGCGGCCCCCATGTTGCTCATCACCATTGGATACGCCGTGGTGATGGGATTCGACGGCAAACTAGGAGGAAGCCATACAGGGCCAGGATATTTTGCTCTTGTATTGACGTGTATGGGCATCTATCCTGTTCATCCATCTGCCACAAGCTGGGCTGCCAACAACCTGGCGCCCACTAGCCGTCGTGCAATTGGACTTGCCTTTTGCATTTGCATGGGTAACATCGGAGGTATTATTGGCAGTTTCATGTATCTTGACAAAGAAGCGCCTACTTACCACACGGGCTTCGGACTGTCTCTTGCATTTGGCGCCTCTGGCGTCCTCGCATCTCTGTTGCTGGAATTAAGCTACATCTGGGCCAATAAACAAAAGGCTAAGATCCCTGAAGAGGAAGTCAGAGCACAGTTTTCGGAGGACGAATTGCTCAAGTTGGGTGATAAGAGCTTACTTTTCAAGTACACGCTCTAAATGAAGAGATGTCTTTTAACGCTTGGAGTTGTTATTGTTGGGACGCTACACTGATTGCGCATGTTATGCGGCGAACTTGTGGTTCCTTTGATTGGGAGATGTTCAGAGTAATGTTACTATCGTGTATCGTCACCAGCATTTTTTTAAATATTTCGGCTCTTGTGATTTCCTTTTGTTTCTGAAGAGTTACTTCATGGACGGCTTGATGGCTTTGAAACCCCTCCCAAATGCCCCTGCGACTACACAACTGTCTCGTGTTGTTGTAATATAGATCCACGGCAATTGGCCTTTAACTACTGCCACAATGCCATCTCATCATCTTCTGACTCTTCATACTAATTCAAAACATAACCATCATACCACAATAAGCACTCTAATAACTAGATCAAGGCTAGACCAGGCGGGCCAAAGTGGATCGTATTACAGGAGGTGGTTTTCGTAAGCTTCTCATCAATTACATCCCCGCAAACGTGACAACTGTCGTAGCCCCTGTCTTTTCCCTCCACAACTCGAACGCTGCTATTTTAGCCCTCCGCTGTCTTGGCTCGGTATTTAATACTGCATCCTTCGGCTTCTTTTCCGCCTCCTGCGCTGTGTTCCTCGCTTCGTCACAGGGACAACACGAACACTCAGCGATCCAATTCCGAAACGAGGCGTTCCAATTCGTATCCACCGCGCTTTTTGACTAATCGTCAAATGGAACCGGAGCTTACAAGCCAGAAGAGGAGCGTTGAGAGAATTGAAGACATCGCCAAGGATCCTGCTGACCTTGTCTCTCGGAAGACGCGTAAAGTTAGTCGCGCTTGTGACTTTTGCAAGTCCAGAAAGGCAAAATGCAGCGGTGACCAGCCATGCGCAAAATGCATCTCAAGAGGTCGAGTATGTCTGTATGAAGCAAAGTATACGCGCGGTATGCCGCCTACGCCTCCTCCATCGTCCGATGTTAGCCACCGGCGGTCTGCAGGCGGTGGCAGACATTCTCTGAACGAGACCTTCGCCATCGCTGAGGCTGTGTCCTTCATATCAAATGCTGGCACAACTCCCAGTGAGAATGCGTCGTTGGACCATCTATCTCAACGGCCGGGGGGGCCAGCTGCTCCCTCTCGAGCATCTCCGGAGCTTGGAATGGCGGAAATTCAAGGCCAGGTATTCGATCCAACCTCCAGCTTGGCTTTCCTTCATCGGGCATCAAGGCGCCTCTCCGCTCATGGGAATAGCCAGGGAATCGACGATTCCCGGTTGTTGGCAGAGAACCAATTGATGTATATGGCTGGAGACAAGCCGTTGGTAGTTGAAAGCGAGGGTGCTCAGCTTTCTCTACCTGATCTAGAGGAAGCCAGGACTCTTTTCACTCTATACTTCGATGTCTGTATCGCGACTTACCGCATTTTACATCGCCCTTCCACGGAATCCTGGCTGAGTATTATGGAGGGCAACTTAAAAGAACGAGTGGCCGTATGGCACAGTATTGGCCGTACCAAAGCCGCCATTATATACGTAATGCTTGCAATTGCCAAGTTCCACCAGGAAAAGTCCAAAGGGCTCCCTGCCAGGGATTGCCAGGCCCTTCGTCTGGGCGATGTCTTTTTCCGCTTCTCGATGCGACTTACAGATCAGGAAACAGGGTTTCCAAAACTGGAGTCTGCACAAGTCCGCATCGTCCAAGTATTATACTTGCTCACAACTTCTCGCTTCAATCAGAGCTGGTACATATTTGGAAACGCACTGCAGCTTATATCTGCACTGGGTTTGCAGCGGCGTGCAGATTGGAGGAGGAGGCAAAAGTCGGCCGATTATATTGAGAAGCAATGCTCTCTCAGAACCTTTTGGACTGCTTATGTTCTCGATAACTATCTGGGGGTTGTGTTTGGACGACCGCGTCATTTCCACGACGATTACATCGATCAGGAACTACCAGATCGAATCAACGACGAAGACATGTCAGTAGATGGCCCTGTTGGTGATCCCGATGATCGTCGTGGGTGTCATACTGATGCTCTATTTTTCCATGCACGGTAAGACAACATAGCCTTTCTCTCTCACACCTCAATTAGACACTTTACTGACTTATAAACGGTAGTATTGCTAAGATAATTGGGGCCATCTCGCAAGAAATGTATACCGCTAAACATACCTCTGAGATTGAGAGGATAGCCGCTGCCAAAGGTTTAACGCAACGAATTCACGACTGGCATCAAAGTCTACCGCCTCATCTAGGCGCCGTTCACCCGTCCATCTTGATTCCCAGCTATCGAAGACCTGCTTTGGCACTTGGCCTGGCTCACTCGCACGCTGTCATGCACGCCAACCGCCTGTTTCTGATGCGCTCTCCAGCATCCGCCTATATAACTCAAGTGAGCGACTGCATCAAAGCCGCCAAAGATGTACTTGAATCGGTGGATACGATGGCACGCGGAAGTCCCATCTTCCACGCTTTCTGGTGGACGCATTATGTGGCATTTTGCGCACTTGTGGTGACTTATGTATGGGTGATGCAGCAGCATCGCATGGGAGCTACCGACGATCCTGGTTATAGAGCGAGGTTGATGCAACTGGCGGAGAGTTGCCATGGCCACCTTGCACGAGCAACCGCTTTGAATTCACCCAGCCGGCGATATGCAGTTATCCTGGAAGGCTTTAGAGCCGCTGCAATGAACCAATCGACTCCGCAGCACTCGAAAACGCACTATACCACGCCAAAAGAGCAGCAGGGTGACCAAAACTTGGCCACTCCGATCCTAGACACTGAAGACAGAACCATCTTCCACCCCGTTGCCCAGAGCAATTTGGCGACGGAAATGCCTACTTTTCTGGACTGGCAACTAACTGATTGGCTTGATTTAGACTCATCTGTAGGTTTTAGCTGTCTGCATAAAACTATTTTCTCTCATGCTAACATGTCGTAGGCTTTTTGGCCGAGTTTCAATTTGGATGAAGTAGTCATATCACCAGATGGAACTCAAGCGGGACATGAACAGAATTTTACTGCATAATAATCCACATCTTCTATTTTGCAAACTTCTTCAGGTTTTCGGGTCCTGCCTCTCTAGCAATGCGTACAACCTCATCCTGTCCAAGTTCTTGAAAGATGTCAAAGCCCCATAATGACTGCCAGTTATATCGCTTGTTTCTCTCAAGTCCGTTTAGCTTCTCGAAAGCGTTCTGAGGCAATTCTTTGACCTGCAAATTGGTCGCAATTCGACCTGGTGTGATGCTTTTAGGTAACACAACCGTTCCGCGTTGTACACCCCAGGAGTAGAGAACTTGCCCGATATCCCAGCCCAGTTCTTGGGCCAAATCCGCAACCAGTGGATCGTCTACTGTTCGAGCCTCTCCTGTCTGGTTGTTTCCGAGAGGAGAGTAGGCCTCGATGAGAATACCCTTGGACTGGCAGAAGTCAAACAACTGGCGCTGCTGGAGATAAGGGTGTGCCTCAATCTGATTGACCGCTGGGATTATTTTTGTTCTGCTCATCAGATCTTCGAGACGCTTAATGGTGAAATTGGAAACACCAATGGCTCGAACTTTTTCTGTTTGCAGTAGGCTTTCCATGGCTGAATATGTCGCCGCTGGATCAATGTCCGAGAGCTGAACACCATCATGATCCAATGGAAACCAATCATCTCCAGATTTGAAAGCTCTAGAATGCGTCGATAAGTAAACCAAACAAAACAGTTGTTATATAATTAATATCAAAACTTACACCGGCCAATGCATCAAGAACAAATCTAGGTAATCTGTCCCAAGGTCCTTCAGGGTCTTGTTCAATGCGCTTTGAACATCTTCAGGCGCGTGTTTTGTGTTCCAGAGCTTTCCAGTAATGAAAATATCCTCTCTAGGCACTCCGCTAGCACGAATGCCTTGTCCTACTTCGACTTCATTGCGGTATATCGCGGCACAATCTATGTGGCGATAACCAGCTCGAAGGGCTGTTTCAACCGCATGCTCAACCTGACCTGGGCGAGCCTGCCAAGTTCCAAAGCCGACTGCGGGGATCTTGGATCCAGTATTGAGGGTAAAGTGAGTTGTTAGCGGCATTGTGAGTGTAAAAGAAACCACGGGAGAATACAATCAGGCATGGACGTATGATTGGCGGAAGTCTTTCTGATCACCTGTTCTGTGCCAGTTTATATGTAATAGACAAATTATAAGCAAAATACCTTTAGCATTTCTACGTCGGATTCTTATCCGTGCTGGCCAAGGCCGGATCCTCACAACAGGCTAAAGGCTAACTATCTGTGGATGTGGGATTTTGGTGCACCAACGTCTTTGTGGCGTTGACCCATAATGGCTGTAGTGCTTGCGTGTTAGTAGTCATTACTTACTTCTGCCTTTATTGAAACCAGAGGTCTGCTGCCAGGTATTGACGATGTACATTTACAGATGTGATGTCGTTCCAGACAATTTCCAATCAGCTTGTTACTACATCTCAGTACAGTACCTGCATGTCAGTATTTGTCCTCTTGGGAGCACTACATTAGTTGAGGTAGCACTTCAGTACCTAATCGCGATAAAATTTTACTGTTATCTGAATCATTTCGTCTCTAATTCAGTTTTTTAGTTTTTAATAATTCCCGTCCGTTTGTTTGCTCGAAGTGTTATTTACATGGCGGGGGTAGAAATTATTCCTCAACCGTATTCATCCTTGACGCCTCTGAAGGCCTGACATCGACCCATGGGTGTGCGAGCGCATTCTTTTCAAGATTGTAAGTCAATGCAGTGTTAGAAGTGGACAGTCAATTCTTCTGATGGAGAGGAACAATAACTAATTGGAAATACTGATAGGTGGGTCGTTTTTCAGGGGCCAGATTCATCAGGCTGGAAATAAAGTCTTTGGCATCTTGACCAATATTCTTCCAGAACTTTTCATGGAAAATTAGATACTCTTGAGTACATTCCTCGAGAAAGTCCTGGATATTAGTACTCCGGAGGGGTGTGTAGCCACATAATAGTACATATGTGACAACACCAACGGACCAAATGTCGGCGGCTCGACCATGTCCGACCTTTTGTACTACTTCTGGGGCAGCATATCCAAATGATCCAACAAAGTCGTAGAAGACCTCATCTGCAGAACTTTGTATGGCTGATAGACCGAAGCCAGTCAATAAAACGGGCGAATCCAAAGCTTTCGAGACATAGACTATGTTCTCGGGCTTTATATCTATTCGGTATTAGCGATGAGTATATATGCGTTGGGCCTAAGTGTGTAGTTCGCCTCGGTGGATGATGGAATTGCTATGTAGATAGGCAACGACGCTCAGGACCTGAAGTACAATGACTGTCGCCTCTCTCTCTTGAAATTTAATTAGATCTATTGCACGATCAAAAAGACTGCCCCCATCGGTATTTTGCGTCACTATGTAGTAGTTATCCTAAGGGGAAATGTTAGCGATTGATAAAGAGTTGCACCAACATCATCAAACTTGCTCGTGATTCAAACCAGTCGACTAGTTGGATTATGTGAGGGTGGTTCAATCGCCGTAGAGCGTTATTTGCTACTCGCTTCTTTATCTGCCGAGGATGCCACTTTTTTGGCGATTGTTTTGATCACCACTAGGCCCGAAGGGCCTTCTACTTCACAGATAGTTCCGTCTATTCTATCTCTACGAGTTTTTCCAAATTAATATTTTGCTCTAATCTTGAAAGTTAATACGAGTATAAGAAGAAGCCCAGGGACGCATAAATTGCTGCCTTACTTCCTTTTATAGGTTTCAGGCTGCTTTCGTACTCTGTTGATGATGGTTTTGAAAATTGATCAAGGAACAGTACCAAGCTTCAACTCATCATCATACGAGCCAGCAACAGGCGATGGAAATTCCGAAACCGATTCTTTTTATATATTTTGAGGCGAATGGGATTTCTTGTCTAAATTATGAGCATCCTGCAATGTAGTTGGGTTTGCTTTGGCGCCACTCTCTTGTTGAGAAACTCCTCCCGCCTGTTGAGGCCTTGTGGTGAGTCTTTTGACATCAATATCATTGCTCTTCGGCGAGCCATTTTCACTCCTTTCCGCGTTAGTCATCTTGTCTACACCAAGGATATAAATCAGTGTCTCTCGGTTCCGTAATAGTAATTGTTTGTTCAACCTCTCTCATTTTACACCAAGGAGTACGTTAACACTGCTCCGGGCATCTCCATCAGCGGGGTAAGCAAATCGAAATTCACCAGATCTACACCACCCGCGCCGTACAGTTTAGCATTTTCCTTCGCCAGGCGACATACAGATTGATGCCAGTCTTGGTTAGATCACGGCGTTGTGTCACTCAGCTGATATGTGCCTCCAGCTTAGCATCGTGGAGGCTCCTCAGCTGTATGCTAAGCAACTGGGTTCCCCGTATCTCTATCAACGATACATTTCTGTAGAAATAGGCATCTTCGCAGTTCCCAAGAACAATAGCAGCGTATAGGTACCTCTCTGTATTATAGGATGCGTGTCCAAGTTCATACGTCGAACAAATCCCATAGCTCTATGCCTCCCGCATTAATTACCTGAGTAATACAATGCCGCGTCTAACTAACCATGAAGTATAAAACAAGGCGCAAAATACGCTGCACAGGTTATAACTTGGAATGATATCTTTTCAGGTAGATAGGCTGCTGCAAGCTTTGAACGCTAGCAAATCTTAAGACACGGCGAACTTGCTCGTCTTCCCAAGATTTACAACACAGAAAGAAAGTCAAATCATATCACAGGGTGCACTCAAGCCGTCCGATAAGCTCGCACCGCCAGATACGCCTCACTTCTTAAACTTAGATGGGGAGAAAAGGACGGCATAACCCACAAAGAGACTTTGCGAATGGATGGGTAAGTGCGAGAAAGATGGGCATTCTTGCTGGTATAGGTTGGGGCCACTGGATCAACTCCCGGCAACTACCACTCAATAATTCAGCATACAGCTTTATGGGGCTCCATTTTCCTGCTATATCCAGTCTTTGAAAAGAGGGATGAAGGCTCCGTATCACCTCATAATAGCCGTCGCTGCTTCTGAACACACTCTGAAGCGAAATATACTTCAGTCGAAGGCGCCGAGCCTAATCGCTACAGCATAGGCGTGCTAGTCGTGGGTTTCCATTACATTGAGTGACATATTTTGTTTGTATCAACATAACGATATCATTTTGCAACTTTAGTAAAGCTTCTTCATCTATGTATTGTCACCTTGCACGATCCCGCTCAAAATAGCACAAGGAGACACTCGATACACGTAAAAAATCACTGAATAAATAAGGACCCAAACCTACAAAATTATACTGCAAACTTAAATGCGCAATAGAGTCATGGTTCAAAAACCCATATACTTAAAAAAGTTTCCGCGCCGAGTTTATCGATATCACATCACTGAAGCAGCGATAAAAAAGGTTAAAGGCAGCCATAAACATTGTCTTGCACTAGGATGTCTACACGAAAGTTTCTAGCTAAAGTATATGATTTTTCATATCTTGGGTATCTATGCCATGAAAAATTCCGAGTTTATATATAACGCAGCTGATGGGGTTTATTCATCTTTCGGCATCTTCGTTTTCTATCCCCAGCTATAATACATCCATTTGCCTTGGGGCGCTGAGAAAACACTTCCAGCATGGGGTTCATTCGTGATATTTACCAATGCTTGGTTTCCTTTGTTCAGTTAGACTATCGCCCCTCAAACCCGGAGCCTCTTGAAAACCCGGAGCCTCTCGAAAACCTGGAGCCTCTCGAGAACCCGGAGCCTCTCGATACCACACCCAAACGTTGCGCGATTCTCGAATTACCGAATGAGCTACTCATAGCGATATTGGACCATCTCCCTCAACATAGCCAGATGCTTATAAGCCAAACTTGCCGCAGATTTCAGGCTGTTGCACATAACAATCTCCCTGCTCAGAAATATCGCCCAGGCACATCAAAAGGACGATTGCTATATCTCAATCTTCGCGCTCGGTCACTACCCGATCAGTGGGTCTGTACCGGATGCATCAAGCTTCATCGGATCAATGTTTTAGATATAGTGGCAGATTCTTTGTACATTTCATGTGACTCACAGGGATCAGAATACCATGGGCATTTTGGGTTCCGTCTAGTCCACAGACATCTTCAACTTACACTCAAGTACACTCGACTGACCAAGATGGAGCCAAAGTATGAAAACTACCTCAAGAGTCTCATTGCACCATATCACACATATCTCAGACCAACCGGCTTGAATACCAACAAGGTTAAGAGAAAATATTCGGTGTATCCAAAGGTTGTAAATGGACGATACCTTCTTCATACTGTTTGGCATTATCACGCAGCCAAAAGCCCAATATCAATGCAATCTATGGGATACATATCAATCTGTCCTCATCGGGAAGCTCATTCTCCCACAGATAACCTAGCTGGGTCCTACGCAGGCCACATGTCTCCAGATACTCAAGCTACAAGAAACGGAGTGGTCGTTATTGATCCTAGGCATGTACTACCAGTATGCATTGAGAGGGCCTTCAGATCACTACATACTGAAGTCTGCAGCAGTTGTACATACTGTCCTACAGATTTCTCTGTGCGAGCTTCTCGAAAAGAGGTTGTTGTTAGTGTATGGCAGGATTTTGGCGGCGAGGTCACAGCTTTCAGTCTAGAATGGTCTGCATTGGTGTTCAACCTTAGATGTGCTTACTACCATAACGGGAGCGTTCGAAAGCTATATGATCAGGGAGACCGACATGCAGGTTAAACAACATATGCTATTTAGGTTCTTTGTTACTCAAGAGGAGGCTATAAAAATTGGAGATTTGAGGCACATTGACTATGGGCTTCTTTTGGTGGAAATTTATGTACAATATCTAAAGATGAAAAGATCTATTTCCATTCATAGTGGTGAGAGGGCTTAGTTGTCGGGGCAGCAATTATAATACGTACTTTTATATGTAATAAAAACATACATGTTGAAAATAGGGGCACCGACTTAGTAGAAGTAGCGGTACTTGGTTAGCCAGGGGTCAGTCCGGGCCACAGCCATAAGTAGAGCGGTCCTTCCCAGTAGGCTAGAGCAATAGACTAAGGCCAATTGACATACATTTCAACAATACAGTAGGAATATATTCTTCTTGCATGCTCGTACGTTTTGAGATTGATAGACTGGACTTGGTGGTGCCGTTGGAGACAATCTTTGGGGGTATGGTGAGTTGATTGGTGTCCCTTGCCGGTTTACCCGCTAGTGATTATCGTGATACAACAATGACAAGGTCTAAGCCGTTGTGAGAGATACAGTAACAACTTCTAACATATCAGGGAAAGACACAGAGGTATCAAGCTGAATACGTAAAAAGTGAAACGAATATGGCAAGCTCCAGTGGCTAAGTGAAGGAGGAAGTGCTTGCAAAGCTTGACATCTGAATTAGATATTAACGCACACGTTGTAGTGTAGTGATTCATAAGTTATAAGACGTTGCAAAGTGTCGCTTTTATTGTAATATATCTCAGTAACTGCTTGCAACTGCTAGGACAAACGATGAAATAGCACTATCTAGGATTAAAGAATAGTTTAACCAAGCCATGTCTGTACTGTAGAGTAAATAAGAGCATTGGTCGTAATGTATTCTAGTCTGGGACACCTACAGTACAAATGTGGTAGTCTTTCTCATATTCATGCCAGTTTAGCACTCCATTTGTTCCATTCGTCCGAGGCAGCCCTCTTCTATTGATAGAGCCGTTATACCCTGTAAAGCAGGCTTTCTCAATAAAAACTGCACAAGAGAACTCTAAGAACGTAAGAGGCAAACGGATGCGAGTCGTGATTAATCAAGAGATAGGGTAAATAAACAGGGCATGGTCTTCAGACTAGGCGACTCGGCGGGCGCAGTTGTTAAACGGAGCATTGTCATTCGCCTTGCCGTACGAAATACTCCACTCTCTACTCAGAACTACTGCCACCATGGCTTGAGTTGTTCGGGGTATCCACTGCCTCGTTTAGGAGTGCAAAGCCGTTGATTGTCAGAGCAACTCCAGTACTAACCTGTTAGTTCTGCTTTTAGTGACCAACTGTAGGATGAAGAGTCAATAGCTATTGGATATAGCCATGTTATTCTGTCACATGAAAGCGAGTGGTTGCAGGAGGTGGCCTCCCACCATACATGCAATAGGTGCAACAGGTTCCATCTCTGGCGCTAAATTGACCGATCTTTATGCCGACTCTGTGGAATTTCCCGCCCGAGACTGGCGGTTAAATCCTGGGACAACTAAAATAAAATCTCCTGGGGCTAATACGCAAACAGAATATGCTGAATACTGAATGTTTCGTACAGGGCAAATGTCATGCAGGAATTATATCTCCGAGGAGCCAATAATGTGAACCACCTGAGAGCCAGCAAGACTCTTCATCTAGTTTGTAACGAGTCATATCGAATACACGTATCAGGTAGCATGTTTTCTCTGAATGGAAATATGTCCATGACCCAGATTATGTCGCTCACGGCGGATACTGTAGTGTTTGGAATCAATGTGCGGGGGTTCATTGCCGTCACCAAAAGTCCACGATCACACTAGGTCGTGATGAACGGCGGATCACTTACTTAATCAGATAATTAGTATCAAGTAAACGATATTAGGGCCAACATTGTGGGGTTGTGTAAAAGGGAAGCCTGGCTTCGCTTCCCGCGTCCGCAGCCCTACATGTACGTGTATATGTATATAGATATAACTGGTTCTGCTCAGTCATGGAAGATGTTCCTGGTCAAGTCACGAACCCTTGAAAAAGGGTAGCCATTTTTGCTTCATCTTTATCCCTGTTAAAAAGGCTCAAGATGTCGAAACTCATTTTGACCCAGATTAGCATCGTCTTGGTGTTTATTGTTTATCGCTTCTTCTTCCGCAAGAAGCAAGATCTTCTTCCACTCCCCCCTGGTCCCAAGCCTCTTCCACTTGTCGGCAACATCAACGACCTTCCACCTCCAGGAGTGCCAGAATTCGAGCACTGGCTTACTTTCAAGGAGAAATATGGCCCTGTTAGCTCTGTTACCGTGCTAGGCCAAACAATGGTTATCCTTCACGACAAGGCAGCCGTTATTGAGCTCTTGGAGAAGTCTTCACTGAAGACTTCTGGCAGACCAGTTTTCTTTTTCGGCGCTGAAATGTGCGGCTATGGTGGATTTATGCCTACAATGCAATATACCGACCTATATCGTCAACACCGCAAATTCATTCACCAGCAACTAGGGACTAAGATTCTTGCGTCGCGGTTCAATGATGTTCAAGACATAGAATCAAAACGCCTCTTACTGAGAACTATGAATGATCCTAAGAATTTCTTTGAGCATATTAAAACGTTAGTCGAAGATGAAAAGCTGTACTCTTTCGGCTTTTCAGCCACTTGTTCTCTCAAAAATCATCTTAACCGCTGACCATCAACTAGCGAAGCATCTGCAATTATGCTGAGGATCACATATGGCTATGTCATAGAGCCACTTACTCAAGATCCTCTCATTAAACTTATGCAAGACGTCATGACGAACCTGTCGAGTGCCTTTTTACCTCTGTATTGGGCGACCGACTTTGTCCCTGCCATCAGACATCTTCCTGATTGGTTTCCTGGAACAGGTTTCAAGAAGACTGCGCGGAAATGGAAAAGCATCAATGACGCCGTTACCAAGACGCCTTATGACTTCGTCCAAAAACAAATGGAAAATGGCATTTATCAACAGACGTCATACGTTTCTGAGCACATTAAAGCTCATGGTCATGGAGATGGTACAGGAGTAAGCGAAGAAGACTCTTCCAACATTGCACTCACAGCAACCGATATGTATGGCGGAGGCGCAGACACCACGGTTTCTACATTTATGGCGTTTACTTTAGCTATGATTCTATTCCCCGAAGTCCAGAAAAAAGCCCAGGAAGAGATTGACCGCGTGGTTGGCTCTGATCGCCTGCCTGGCTACGAAGACCAAGAGAATTTGCCCTATACTACTGCTGTAGCTAAGGAAGCGCTTCGATACTTTTCGATTGTACCAATTGGCACAGCTCATAGAGCGGAAGAAGAAATCTCCTTCAGAGGTTACCGTATTCCAAAAGGCTCCTTTATACTTCCATCCATATGGTGGTTTTCGCACGACCCTGAGGTATACCGAGACCCGCTAGTCTTTGATCCCGAGCGGTTTATGGAGCCACGGAATGAGCCTGATCCTGGCGACGAGGCCTTTGGATATGGTCGTAGGGTGTGCCCTGGCAGGTACCTTGCGACTGAGAGCATCTACATTACCGTCGTGCGATTGCTTTCAGCTTTCACAATTGCAAAGGGCCTGGATAAGAATGGAAAGGAAATTGACGTGGAATGCAAGCAAACTCCAGGTCTTATTTCTCACCCTAAAAAATTCTCTTATCGCATTACGCCTAGGAATAAGAAGTATGAGGAACTTATTCGAAAGGTGGAGGTGGACCATCCCTGGGAAAAGAGCGATGCAGAATTTCTCGAGGGCGACGTAATGGAGACGTATAAACAAGAGGTTAAGAAAACACATTAAATCAACTATGTTAATGCTTATGAGATTATATAGTGAGAGAGTTGGTTATACACTCAACTCCTCATGAAGGCTTCGACCAATTCAATTACTCAGTATTGTTTGACGGAAGGAGAGGCTTTTGAGTTGTGATGATAAAGAATTATTAACTATACCCCAAATATCATAGTTCACGGTTCCACGGCAGAAATTATAAGCTCATACTTGAGCTATTAATGTAGGCATATACCTGTGTCAGACGGTCATTAAATGGGCCGAAATAGCCATAACTCAACGCTTTATTCTCCGAATCCCTAAACCGGGTCAAGATTTATCATCCCATGGGTATCCTGATCTTTACTGCTACATCGTTGAGGTACAGCAAGCTCGTTATAAACAAACACACCAATTTTAACACTCCCCGACGCCTTGATTTAGTCACCGGACCGGATATGACAGCGGGAGCTCGTCGTCTGAGCCCGGGTCTGCCCTATTGTTGCCTATCCTGGAATTGCGCGAAATCCGCGAACTAATGACTTATTCCACTTAAAACCTCAGTCGAGGATACCGCGAGTACTAGCAGCTGTTGTTTCATCAAATTGACCCATATCGTCGTCAATGGACGAGAGGTCTTCTCCGGTAGGCTTGGTTCTGTTGACAGATTGTAGCTTGTAATTCTGTGACTGGTGATTGTGCTCTTCTTCTTCCTCCCGCGCTTGTGTTCTGTGATCGGACGTGGATGGCATTTGCGTGTCGGCGTTTTCTCCCTTTGACAATTTCGTGATGGACATCTCAATGTTCAATTTGACCATGTAAGTGACGGGGTGAAACTGTATATAGACAACTTGATTTGGCAATGATATGAGACCGATAAGCATGGCCTGAGTATACAGAAGTTATGCATCGAGACTCTAGTTCTTTCGGTTTGGAAAGCTTACATCCATGAGGATAGACACTACCATCAGCTTAGCATTGAAGCTAACCAGAGGAGCATACTTGCTGAGGCCGTGTTGCATGACGAGGCGTCTCTTGACGGTACGTAGAAATCAGTAGTTCAGGCCAGCATCGACAAGTAGAATAAGGATTTTCGAAATGCGGTCCCAAATTTCGTTAATTCGCACATATTTATCGTCATAATTGTTGTCAGATATCAACATGACAGGATGGAGGCCGAGTCCAAAACTCACAGATCGCTAACTGGAGGAGCAGTATGGGCTGGGATCCAGATACAGAAGACCGCTATATTTATTTAGGTAATAATGGCTGCCGTACCCCGTTTCAATCTGAATATAGTGCTTCTATCTTCGGCGATAATAGCAATTCGATTCACGATGATCTGCATAAGCAGCTGAGTCTCAAATACCCATAGAAACAAGAAGAAGAACAGAACGGGTATCCTAATGAGATGATGGTTAGAAAAGCCGGCATTCGTAATCCAGTATAAGTGACAGAGACCCTTCTCCTTGGCTTTTCCGCTTCCTTTAGTCCAATGGGGCGTGTAGATGCTTACGTTGGTCCTATAAGGCGATCAAGAAAACCCCATCCTATGATGCCGATGCTGAGATTGGCAATTATCTCTCCCCAGACCATATAAATGTGTTGGCTCTTCCATGGTAGTCGATTTCTCAGAGTGCTGAATTGAATTGCCTTCCAGACCGTTAAAAACCCGAAGCCAATGGTAAATCCAGCAGCCACAGATGCCACTTGGATATCCGAAGTCGAGGCCATCTTCGTCTCGTAAAACAACGCAACAATACAACAAAAGAAAAAAGAATAAATTCAATAAGAATTGAAGAAGGAAGCCCAGAGGTTGAGACATAAGGTCAGTAATTTTGCATACTTAAGCCGGCAATCGGTAAGCGGTGGCTAACTACATGTACTTGTGGGCTTCCGACGGACAAACCCTTTAACGAATCTCAATTATCCGATAGAAGTGTGGAGTGCATGTTCTTCTCTGGAAGCGGAACTTGCTATGCGAGATCCCACATGACCTAATTCGGTGACGATCGTGAAGCTCTTGGTTAGATTCATGTAGCAGGTGGCCTTATTAGAAGCGCCCCTGACACTCATACCGGCATATGGCAAGCAACTAGACTTGCGCTCTTGTAGCTCTGATCCCACACGCTAGATGACAAGAATCTGCTCGACTCGGCTGCGCTAGGGGTCAACTCCACATGTATATATCTGCCACAGGCCCTCATTTAGTCTCTTAGTGGTAAACCTGTCCGGAGATTCTATCATTTTGGTTGGGATTTCGTATGGGATATCAATGAAAAGAGTGCCGAGTCATCAGGTGGACCGCATACCACATGGATGGCAGGGATGTTGAACACAGCTGAATGGCACTAGAATAAGTTAGTGGCTGGCAATTGGTGTTTGTGGCTACTGTTAGTGACCAATTCCTCAGCATAGTGGAATACGGCTTCGGCCGACAGGGCGTTCCAGCCTTATATGACCCTTTCGTGCGGTGATTGAATCAGTGGATGAAGGCCACATGATCGTGAAGAGCAGTTGAAGCCAAGCTACCAAGATAAACAAGGATTGGTATATCGTAAACTACGCCTAAACTATGTCCATTGGAGTTATCGTCCGGAAGAATGGAGAGGGGTAAAAGTTATTCAAGTACGACGATCATCTAGTATAAAGGTGAAGAGCTTCGAGAACGTGAGGGTACAAATCGCCTAGCACGCTGGTATGTGCTAGAGAAAAGCTCACGGGCACAAGGTAGAGAGCTAGGCAGAATTGCGTTCAAACTTTCGAGCCAGCCCATTCTTTGATGTCAATCTGGTGGAGATATGCCCAAGTGGGCGGCCGTGGTAGGGAGCCGTTTGGGTCGGCCCTTACAACCGACAACCCAAGTTTGCCATATCCAGTTGAAGCTCCGAGCAAGGGCCCATCACGTCGGTCGGCCGAGGCCAACCCTAAGAAACACAATCAAAACGTAACAAAGCTCGTGCTCCTCCACTCTTTCGAGGGGCCGCTCCCATCGGGCGAAACATGACACATGCCAGAGCGAATAGTCTTAAAACCGCCGCAGCGCCACCCGAGATTGTAGCAAGTAAAACCTACTACACCTCCTCACCATATGAAAACAGGATTCCTCTAATGAGAGAACTAGAGACATGCTTATTGTACGTTCGTGAGGGGGAGAAAACTTGCAACAGTTCCGCAGAGAGGGGAGAGAGGCTCGCCCTTGGCTGTGGAAACATTCCCGAGATCTTTCGTCAGAGTTTGGTTGTACCAATCCGCTGCTCGCCAAATAATGGCATAATACTATGTCACAAGACGTAAATGAATTGAGAAAACTGATGGTGGTAATTTGAGAAAGATGGATCCAGAGCGGCTCAGTGTCAACAGTCTGCCCTTGGCTTACTAGCCGAAACCGGGGAGATGTCAAAACATTTCAAATTCCACTCAATTAATGGCCCATATCGCCTATGACAAGCCTCGGCGTAAAGTCAATGATATGTCCGCGCATCCTGTCAGAATAATGGAAGCTATTGATGCAGTCGTTATCAACACTGTAACTTATGGAGGTAAAGATGGGCAGCTCTTCATGAGACCCGGCGTTTCAGCTACATCCAAGAGAGCAACTCCTTCCGAGTATCACTCAGAACAGAAGTTCTTGCTAAGCAATTTATCCAGCCGAGGCCTTCCTTCACAGCGTAGGAGTACTTTGTACAAATTCCAAGCGGCACCTCTTTTGAAGCAACGAGAAATCTCCGTTGCAGCATCAACAAGAAGCCTCACCATCGACATTGCCCGGACTCATATGTACCCCGTTCTAGGAGAAGTTGATGCAACACTAGTGAATGCCCTGTCTCGGTAGATGAAGAGCGAGTCAGGTCCAGTGAGCTGAACCTCGATGATCATATCCTGGTGTATAATACTTGCATGATAACCAATCCATGGTTAGCGACTCAAGATGTATAAACATCCTGGCCCAAAACTCGCTTATAGCCGTCATATGACCATCAGACATGTACGCAACGGCCACTTGGTTTCGTCTAGAGCTTCCATATGTCGATCATACCCCGACATTAGCTCATCATGGCCTACACATTGGCAGCGATACAAATGTGTGGCTGCCAACAGAAGCTGCATCCTTTATCGCGAGGTTCTAACGGAGCCTCGAGGCTCCAGTTTCAGATCGCGAGAAGGTGGAAAGTAACAGACAGTTAATCCAAAGGTGAACTTGTATGTGCTCGTGTGCCATTTACGCAATTTACTAGTCGCAAGTGTTTCACAATATCTTACATCTCCCATCCGATTCGACAATCAATGTGTCAGTGTGCGTTAAAAGTGACAGTGTGTGGCATCTTCAACAACTATACCTAACATGCAACTACGACATACGAGACCGTCTAAGACGGCAATCACTATCACAAGATGATGCTTTCAGAACATGTCCAATCTCTAATGTTCGTAATCAGAAAAATCTTCCTGTTGCTCGACAAATCCAGATATCAATCTTCCGCAATGTTCCCTCCCATTCCATCAATAGTTTTAATAACGGATCCCAATCAAATACCTATCCCTCCATGAACTCTTCTCATATGATCATAGCACTCTTCAGCTTCCTCAAAAGACGCAAGGCATACCCAACAAACATGAGCTCCGCACTTGCACGTCATATGGTTGCATCCTTCAGTCTTTTCGATCAACCGTGAGCATCTAGGACAACCTTTGATGCCGAGTTGTTCTTTCATCTTATTGCTAAGTGCGCTAGAAGGATTGCCCTTAGAGCACGGCTTGCCAGGATGGAAAGTGTGGCAGATCGTGCAAGTAGATTTCAAGCACTTCTTACACGTAAAAATATTGGGGTGCTCGGAGCCATGAGAAGTGACCCGGTATACCTGGCCGCAGTCGGGCGTTTCGCAGTATTTAAAGTCGGCTGGATGGCGAGTAATGTAGGATTCAAAAGACTTTGCGAGTATATCCTCAAAGGTTTCGGAAGGAAGATGCTCCTGAATCTCTGAGAGAGAGAAGACCTTTTTACAGATCTTCCCGGCGGCATCGGCCTTTGGGCAGCAAATCTGAAATTCCCTATCCGCCGTCATCTCGGCGACACACATCTGAACAAAACAGTCGCTGCAATAGACGTGGTCGCAAGACATTCGGATCGGCTCGTCGGGCTCGCAGAAACAGGTCGGACACTCCATCCCAGAGACAGAGTCTGCATCGCGCGGCATAATCTTTTTGGTGGCGACAATGGCCATGGCATTGTTGTAATCCGCTTTGGATCCCCTTATCAAGATTCGTTTGAACCTTGACGTGGTGTCGAAGAATGCGATTCCGTCGCCAAGCTGAGATTTGAGAAACCTAAAGCCTCCGTTTGACGCCCACCTGAAATCAACATCGTTGAGCTCGATAACATGGCTTTCGGATACACAATCTTGAAGCAATTTCGTGATCCTCTCCAGAGTCTCCTTCGGTACTGCTTCACGGCCAAAGACGCGGAATTGTGACCTGCGTATGTCGGGAATAATAAGCACCTTGAAGGTGTTTTCTATCGTCTGCACCTTTTTAAATTCGGTTCCGTCTTTTCTGAAATTTCCACATCGAAGATCTTTCCCCTCCATCCGAACGACTTCTCCCTTGACAATCGTCTCGATGCATTCTTTAGCTTTGACCACTCCTGGGTGATTGTCTCCCTCAAGCCTCAAGAGATGATATTGTCCTTTGCAAGAGAATTCAGAAAAACGAATGTACTGCCGATCCCAAGCTGGCTTCTGCGCGTTAATTCGTGGGCGCACCATGTCGTAGATTTTGGCCAAAATTTTGAACTTGGCTGATGCCACCACCGACACCGAAAGCTGCGTCGTCCTGCTGAATGAAAGGGGCTTCTTATTCAACGACGACGCAGCGTTTCTCGCAGATGATTCGTCGTAGAAAACACCATACGCATTGAAGCGCTTGGCTTTTGAGTTCGTAGGCACTTCCCACCGCTCCAAAGGGCCAGATTCCAACAGCATCGACTTGATAATGGTCGTGTCGAATTCCGGGTCAGCAACATAGTCAAGCTCTCCAAGCTCAACCTTTTGGGGCCGTTCAGACGCCGGGATTGTCTTGATAATGTCTTGCTCTGATACCGTGCCACTCAATCCAGTGAGTTTCACCATCCATCCATCCGGGCTCTGTTGGACGTGCGCGGTTACTCTTGATCCAAGCACCTTGTAGCTGCCCACCCTGGATTCTCTTTGCAATTTGAACGCAGGACCCTTGGTCACAAAGATCAGCCCAGCTTCACGCGTTGGCCGGCTCCAGGCACAATGGACTTTGCGACAATCAATTTGGTAAGGGCTCTGGCTGTGCGGCATGACTGGAGGCACGGCAACCACCTTCATGTTTGGGAGAGTTGTATAGGTGGCCAGCTTGGCGCAGGCTGTCCTAGCAAAGGAAGGATCTTCGGCTTTTAGAACCGCATTGCATTGGTCTTGTCCAGTCTGTGCTGCTACCAGACGTATGTCAACTCCCAAGCTTGGTATGCCAACATTCTCCAGCATTATCCTGACAGAGGCGGTGGAACTGGTGTGTGGAAGATTTCGAATATTGATGGCAGAGTAGTCTGAAGCAAACACAACTTTGGAAACTGTGCCGCCATTGTTGAACTTTACCCACGCACCCCCGAGCTCATATGTGTTGTCGTCGTTGGAGGAATTCTAAGAAACAATGACAAGACGTCATGTTAGCCCATGTGACTTGGATGATAACTGGGGGTTTAACACTGAATGGATGCCATCTTACCGCAGTATTCCCTGCGATGGGAGTAGTATTCCTGTCATGAGAAAATCGACAGCTAGCTCCCTTTTTGCAGTGGCCTGATGCGAAGAATCGACATTGGCCTCGAGGCTGCGGGTTAGGGCGTAGTTGCAATTGTGGTTGTGGTTGTGGCTGTGGTTGTCGTTGTCGTTGTGTCGCAGCTAGTCGTAGCATGAGGGCCTCCTCGGCCAGCTCCATCATTCTAATTTCTTCGAGCGCCCTTTCTCGCTCTCTTTGTTCCAGCGCTTCTTGCTGCAGCTCCATTTGATCCAGGAACTGATTCCAATCTGGCTGTCGGTTCGCCGGTGGCCGATTCACCGGTGGCCGACGTACTGGTGGCCGATTTACTGGCGGTCGACGAACTGGTGGTGGATGCCATTCTGGGATGCGATACTCGACTGGCCGTTGGGGCGGAGGAGGATCTGGAGTGGCCGGGGCGAAGATGTTGCCCATGACGAAGACGTGATCGCTATTCCAGGAAGCTGAAGGCTCATCAACTGTTCAAGTTTATGTGTAGATGTTGCCAGCCTTGGCCAAATGTTGACTGATATTAGTTGGCTTCCCGGGTTGATGAAAACAAAAGAATGGCAGTATTCACTCGCTAGGAAGCCTTTGACTGTCCAGCCATCACAATGTTAGTTACTTGTCTGCTTCACTGCAAGGCGTGTTTGCATCGTACCACACAAGCGAGCGGGGTTTTGGCTACCTAATATATGCAAACGGAAGCGCCTTGAGCCTCGAGCTTATTTGTTCAAAAAGTATGCGGGAGGCCCGCGAGGCGGCCTTGGGCTGTCTGGACGTGTCACGTAGATTACATGGATGTGTCCTGTATCTTTCCTGGATAGGTCGCGATACTTGTGTGAGGCGGGACGATGGTGGTGAGATGCAGCATGTCTCGTAAAATGCGTGTGCATGTACTTTGTGAACAACTCATCCCTGCATAACGAGGTAGCAGTACCTGGACACGTCTCGGCGATAAAAGTATACGGCGCAATGCGAAGTTTATTGGAGGTGATGGGACAGAGAGGCTGAAACATGTCTTGGATCTGCATGTTTAAAGACGGGGGATCTGGGCCACCATTAATACATGCCCGTACCTACTTATACTACAGGCTAAAGGCATCACGGCATTCACAGATGCTTCAACGCTGCATTGATTTGGGTTTCTTTTCTTTCTTTTATTACTAGGTAGGCAACGGGGATTATCAAGATACATATACATACATGTAGATTTCTTTCTGAGAATCGTCCACAGTGGGTTATTGTCCTTGTACTTTGTTTCTTATCAGCATCGAAGAAGAGTACATGCAAGGTAGAGAGACAAACGATCCATGGATAAGTATATGGAACCGTAGTAGAACTTAGATTCAGTGGCGGAGATACAGTGGTCTGGCGGGGTCTTGTACACGTATCCCGGGGCGGTATAGACACAGTGCGGGATACGGCCCCTCTATCATGCACTCTGTAAAAGCAGTTATTAGAGGCTATTGCTCCGTACAATACCCAGCTTCGAGTTCACATTCGCACAGTATTTTGCCGCAAACATCGACCCAAGTCAGCCAGAATATATCAAATTGTCAATTTCATCCATCAACAGCTCTAATCGAGATAACTTTCAGCATGCTTCACCACTCAAACCCCGTCATCAGCTAATCTATCGACTTCAAGTCCCAAGAGCGCGGCAATGACCTCGAAATGCCACCCCAGAGCCAGACTTCTCATTCCTGTGTAGCCTGTGCCAGGCGCAAGATCAAATGCGACAGGCTAAAGCCATGCTCAAGCTGTTCCAGGTCAAAGGCTGCATGCGTCTATCGGGCCCCTATGCCGTCGCAGAGACACCGAAGGCGCCTGAATCAGCGTCATCTATTGTCCAAAATCCAGGAGCTCGAATCTATCCTTGACAGCCATGGAATTCCATTCGAAGGATTGGGCAATTCATGGATTCCCTCTCAGTGGGAAGAGAAGCTCGTCAGGAGTCGGACACAAGCAAGCCCTGAATCCATGTCCTCCGTCGAGGCAGCTGTAGCAGCTGAGACGCAGCTTTTGCCATCAGCTGGACAAGATTCAGGCCGAGAAGTGCTGCTTGAGCTTGAGGGAAATGACGGGGGAGCGTGGCTTTGGTCCGAGCTGCCTGAAATCGTGCGTTCTTCCCTACACGTACCCGGTTATCCACGTCCGCTAAGAACGATCAAAGTTGAAAACTCCGCCAATTTCGCATCTCAGGCAGCCTGATGAAGATGTAGAACAAAGGCAGCCTACATCTACTGACACGGTCCCCGCTACACTCTCTATATTTACTCTTCATCATGTATCTACACCTCCGGGCCAGCTGGAGTTGCATCCTGATCCCAAGCATGTTTTCAGGCTCTGGCAGGCTTTTGCAGATAATGTCAATCCACTGACCAAAATCATTCACGCACCTACCCTTCAGGAGAAGATCCTTGGGGCAGCTTGGACGGCGGAATCGACCGCAAAGCCTCTAGAGGCCACCATGTTTGCGGTGTATGCTTTAGACCACATGCCTCCAAGCATTTGGGGAAAATAGGTCGGTGCTTTTGAACCGATATCGCACGGGCGCATTGAGTGCCTTGTCTTGCACTAATCTGTTCTCAACGCGAGATCTGGACGTCCTACAGGCTTTGACTCTCGTCATAGTGAGTCCAAAATATGCGTCAAATGAAAGAAATGAAGATGCAATCTAATCAATTCTTATTCTTACTTCAAGATGATCGATCCACAGTCCGAATTCTCAACTACAGCAGTGGCACTGGCCATGCGCACCGCCCATAAAATGGGTCTGCACCGTGCTGCCGAAGACGCTCATATGCCCTTCTTCAAACAGGAGATGCACGTCCGCTTGTGGTGGTACATCCGCGGCTTGAATTCCCGCGTCCGTCGTGGCATGGGTTTGTTATCGACAATCGATGATTTGGGCGATGCTCGCCTCCCGATGAACGTCAACGATGCAGATCTGCACCCCTGCATGGAGAAGCCTCCCGCTGTTCAGCACACGGCAGCCACAGAAATGGTCTACTGTTTGATGAAATATGACCTCTGGAGCTTCGTGCGCAGGTATTCCAACTTTTCCGGCAGCCTGAACCCGAGAGAAAAGGCAGCCCAGCTGACCACATCGACCAGTGTTGAGAGTGTGATGAAGAAGAAAAAGGTTCTGGGCGAGGTAGGTCGTATGCTGCAGGAGAAATACCTTGATCATCTCGATCCAAGCATACCGTTGCACCAGTTATCGGCTGCTCTAGCCGGCCTTACAATTCACAACCAGCAATTTTCGATGCTACACCCCCGAAATCAGCCCCAAAGAGGTAAATACATGCCCCAAGCTGATCAAGACCTCGTCTTCGAAAGCAGCGTCAGGCTGCTGGAATTGAACCGTGAAGTGCGCAACACAAGCTTCTCAACCAACCTAGTGGATCATATGGTATGTCGGACACAAGTTGATGCCTTGGTGTACATGATTAGTGAGCTGCGACGGAGGGCGAGTGGCCACCTGGTTGAGACTGCATGGACCCTACTCGAGGACGTGTATAGCCACCAGTCAATGGAACTCCCCTTGGATCAAAAGTTCTCCGCCGCACTGACGGATTTGATCCTACAAGCATGGAAAACTCGCAAGGAGGGACTAAGACCCGAAGCAGAGGCACCCAAGTTTATTCAGACTCTGCAAGCAGGAAGGGAGCAGCTACAAGATTTAGCTGAGCAGGTGGCGGGCGTGGAGGTTCCGCAGACTGGACTCATGGGCCATTGGACACAAGATGAACCTCTCGATTGGACCTACTGGAATGACTTGCTTCAACTATGAGGTCTTGGGCAGTCAATTGATAATACGGTGCCTTTTGGTCGCAGAACTCACTCGACCCTATCACTTGGATGCTACAACGGCGTTGTCCTGGGCCGTCATGTTATGAGCAACTCGTCCCAATTAGGAAACACGGGCCCGAGTCGCCCGAGAGCCGCCAACTCCGGAGCATCTCACGGCGTTCGGAGTTGAGAATGTAGGGGAGCCAGCCTCCCTCTCGGGACTCTATACCTGCATCGAGAAACACATGCCCGAGTCCCCCAAGTCTCTGTTTGAATGGATCGCGCAATAAATAGGGCGGATGGAACCTCGCAAGTCCAAAAGAAGCTTTCAAGTTCTTTGAAAGACAAGGTAAACATGGCGCAAACCAATCTGCCGAGCTACTATGCGCGAGGTCACTCTGAATATACCATCGCAACACACCTGAGACGCAAAGCGGAAACGGATGCCGCCTTTCTGCTGCCCTATATCAAAACAACGGACTATATTCTCGATGTAGGCTGCGGTCCAGGCACCATTACGACCAGCTTAGCAAAGTATGCCAGTCAGGGAAAGACTGTTGGGATAGACATCTCAACGGACGTTTTGCAAAAGGCCAAGGCACTGGCAGACGAATCCAATGTCCCAACCCAAGGGGCAGGCTCTGTCGTCTTTGAAGAAGGCAACGTTGTGGACGGGCTTGCTTACCCTGACAACACGTTTGATGTCGTCTATAGCTCTCAGGTCCTCGGTCATCTCCCGCAACCCGACATACCACTCCGGGCGTTGGCCGAAATGCGGCGGGTCCTGAAGCCGGGCGGCATTCTAGCCACTCGGGACGGCATGGGCCAACACTTTTACCCGCAGAGCTTCGACCTTGATCGATTGTGGGGAGCGAATCAGCTTCGCGCGTCACGCAGAGGAGAACCCGAGGCAGATCCTACGGCAACAGTAATGCCAGCGCTTCTTCGCAAGGCGGGTTTCGATGTTGACGGAGGGAAAGTCCGTGTTGGTGCAGGAACCAGCGTGTTCTCGGATGCGGAAGCACGGAAGCGGTTGGCCTGGCGTGCCGATGGTCAGCTACAGCCAGGAGATCCTTTCTACCAGACCTGGCTGGATGCTGGCATCTCCGAGGACGAAATCCAACAGACGTTACGCGCCGTACGAGGATGGGCCGACACGGAAGATGCTTGGCTCGTGCTTCTGCAGTGCGAGATTCTCGCGTGGAAGTAGCTTCTGATTAGCCGCCCACGGAAAGGGAGAGAGGATGGCAGGTATCAATCTCACTATAGAGTTATCGGCCAGAGATGGAATATGTACTTGTCCCATTGCTATATACGGCTATTATACACCGAACCGTCGGGGTAGGATTTTCCAACCGGTTATGAGAATATATACAAAGTTTTATGATCCCCAATGATCCACGCGCAAGATGCCATTTACGCCGCAATTGACCAGGTGAAGCTCCTGATGAGGGATCCGTCGTTGTCGTGGCCACCAAAGGCCTGCCACAGATCGAGGCACATGTCGATGGACTGCTCGCTGCTGGTGTTCTCATCCGCGACAACAGCCTGGCGGGTAACGCCGTTGTGTGTCATGGTGATGACCTTGGCGCACAGGCTGTTTTCCTGGTCGGACGGGCCATGGGCATCAAAGATTCCTGAAGGGAGCGCAACCAGGGGCAGGTTGGAGGGGACCTGGGTAGGGAAGAAGGTGCTGAGGCCGCAGGCGCCGGACTGGTAGAAGATTTGGCGGCAGTTGGAGGCGGATCCGAACATGAAGATGGAGCCGGGGGTTCCAGAGCCAGAGACGGTGGCTCTCTCGGCGAGCTCCTCGGCGGGGGCGGCAGAGGCAGTGAAGGCCAGGACGGCGCTGGCGATGGAGAGTGAGAACTTCATTTTTGAGGTTATTGAAGAAGGTTGCGATAATCTAAAGTGTGCTTTTGAGGAGATGGATGCTCTGGGGTAGACGTCAAAACAACGAGCGATCCGACCTACTCTTATATACTCGCCCACTACGACGCCTCTACTTCCAGGTTCGTCCTCCCGTTTTCCAAGTCTGTCCATTATTCAACACCTGCAAACTAAAATCTCACAGAACGCTCAGGATAATTATGCCGATGGATAGCAACTCTCACGTACCGTACGTAAGTCGCAGCGAAGAATCCTCACCGATCCCTGCATCCGTTGCCCATACTGCTCCCACCCAATCCCCTATACGAACAAACTATATTCGCGTCAAGATAACCTCAGCCCTGCAGCTCCCCCCCACCCCTTTCGACAAATAGCGGCTCACTCCTCGACAAACAAGGCAGGTAAACGGACTCGCCAGCGCTGCCTTACTCCTTGACCCCTAGCAGGTTTGAATTTCTTAGCTTCCTTATAAACGCCTCTGCACGCGGCGATCCCAAAAGCTGCCTATTTGGGCGTCTTGACGGACTTTCAGAGCAAGGGGTCGTCGTGCCATGGCTCAGCGCTATACGAGGCAAAATTATTTTTCCGTCGATTCGAAAACGTCTGGGATGTGGGCCGCGAGCTGACAAGGGAAAGAGAAGAAGAAAAAAATGGGCTGACTAGAGGCGCAGGGGTCGTCGACTTTAATCGCCTGTGTTCTTTTGGAGTGAAGCTTGTTTTTTCTTTTTTTTTTTCTCCCCTGGGTATGACTGTATGAACGACGCGGTTTAGACGAACTCGTGGGCTAACATCTTTATTTAGTAGCAGGCTATTCTTCCAGCAGTATTTTATAAGGAACGGAATAAGTACAAAGTTTGAGGGACGGGCATAATGCAACCTCGATGTATAAGCATGAGTACAATGGTATCTGGAGGTCCCATACCAAGATCTCATCGTTTTAATGGCCAATTCCGGATCCTATAGCTTGTTCATGTATCTGAGAGCTTCAGGTTCATGGCTGACTGCATATTCAAGCACTTCAGAGCCTCGTATTAGAATGCTGTACGTCAACTTACCGTGCTTCCGGGCAGTTAGCTGCCGTATACGGAGAAGCCGACGAGCTCAGATCCGTCCAAAGCGTTCATCGCTTATGTCGTGGTGATGCCACTTGCAGCATTGCCGCTTCGTATCGATAGACTCGCCACTCATCGCACATCAAAATTCACGCAAGTCAGTCAACAAACGGTCAATTCAGAGCTCCATTTTCATGTAAGAGTGTTACGACAACTACCTATCCATATTACAGTACATTACACCACACACCAGCCCGTGCTTCCTACATCTCAGATCGCAAGCATAAATGCGACGCAACCCAGCAACAGCGTCCCGCTTATCCGAGCAGCCGAAGACGTCGACTGCTCCGTCGTGTTGGCGAGGATCTGCTCCGGCTCATAGGTATTCGGCAAGGAAGAATTGGTCGTGCCATTCCAGCAATATCTCGCAAAGCAATCCGCGCACTTTGAAGGAACACGAGTCCTGGTGCGAACGAGGCTCCGGGACAAAATGGCGCAACCGATGCACGCCGGCCAATTCGAATCCACCGTGCCATTGCCCATGGTCGCCATATTGTATCCGTTCTGGATGATTTGGTTGCGCTCCTCGTCGCTGTACTCCAGGTCAAAGGTTGAGACGTTGGACTGGAATGAGTAGGGGGCATTGGGCATATACACGATGAGCGGCCCACGAGGAGTGTTGCTCCCGTTGGTACAGCCAAAAAAGGTAGGCCGCTGGTTCAGACCCAGATTCACAAAGGTGTTCTGATCGGGGATATCTGGGAATCTGCTGTCGTTGGCCGAAACCCTGGCTTCCGATCTGTTAAACGTAGCCACCATGGCAGTTCCATTTGGCCACAGCGTTGCTGTATCGGCAGAGCCATCGACAGCAAAAATGACATCGACTTCTCGTTCTTCCAGAAGCAGCGGATGCAAGGGGATGTTTTGTAAGTCCTCTCCACCATCCACGAGAGCCAGAACCGTGGAGTTGGCATTCAAATTCCCGCTGGAATTGTATCCGAAGAATGGGTTCGGCCAGTTCGCAATGTCTCTGTTTTCTGTGCCAACGTTTGCCAGCGTGCGATTTATAGCGCTGATCAAGAACTCTGGCACACCCTCTACCCTTCCAATCTGTAAGAATGCCTGGTTAAACAAAGAAGACGAGGTGCCCATGACAAAGCCGGCGTTGTCGACCCCGGCGATGCACTCTCCGTTGCGTGGAATAGTGCCGTTAGTGAAGTTGGAGCCGACGAATTGGAGCGGTGCAAAGGCTTCGAGGCCAGGGTCGTACGATCCCATTTCCCAAGGATTGAACTCGAAGACTGTCGAGTTACTGGCTATCTGGAGCTGTCCTGACGTTCTCTCAACGGCAACGATCAACGGCAGTGGAACTTGAGCCGATACAAAGTCTGTATCGTTTGATATAGATGAAAAGGTGAACGCTGTTGGAAGAGTTAGTCCATCTCACAAACCTCGTGCTGAAGGTATCATCATACCGGGTCCTCCGTCACTCGGGTCTACGAGCTGGTAGGATAATGCTCTGCCCCAATAATCTGTTATTGTTGTATTGAAGCCGGCATCTCTCTTACCGTCGACATCATCAAACAGTTGTCGGTAGTATCTCGTGATGGAGAGACCATCAGGTCCTGCAATTGGCCAATACGGAATTAGCAAGAGTGCCCATTATGGAGATGCAGCGTCATACCGTTGAGGATGGAGTGATCAAACTGCCACAAAGTGCTGAGAAATCCATCCGTCGCAAAGATGATGGACTCGACCGACGTAAAGTTCTGAACGTAAAGACTGCCGACGAGCCAACTTCCGCCAGAAAGGCCGCTGAGATACGTGGCCGACTGCAAAAGGCCTCCGAGATGGCCGGTTTCCGTCGCATTTGTCGATCTGTTGTCAAATGCTGCCAGAGCACCGGCTCCGTTCATCAAAGCTCGGTAGCCTCCACCGGAGATGGCGATGGCTACCCTTGGGAGGCCGGTGCCAGCGTCCGTGAGATTGTCGATATATCTACCGGTGTCAAGACCGCTGATATTGGCGCGGCTGAGCACATCTTTCATGGCCTGGACTGTGTTATTTGTGCGAAGAGGAAGCCAATCTGTTTCGTTGGTCGACAAGCCCGTGGCCGCGCGGATCGTTGGCCTTTGGGCTGGGCATGAAACTCGGGCGGGAGTGTAGCCATCAGGAGCAACTGGAGCAGCTCGTTCAAGAATCGATAATGCTTGAATCCCCGGTGGAAAATATGAAGCTACAGCTCATTGTATCAGCTTCGCTGTTGGGGTCATGGCAGTTTGCGGTGACGGCATACCAGGAATCATCAAATACGCAGCGAAACAAACGAGGATGCGACTTATGTTGATCATCTTGCAGGTTTACTTTGAAATCAACACTGAACAAATATGTGATGAGTTGACAAACAGCAGGTGGCCAGGGAAAGGAAATAGCAGTTGCGATTAGGACCTGAGCTGAGAGTAAGAGCTATCGACCGATTTGCTGCTATTCCAGGTTGCTCTGAGCTCAACAGACCTCATCACTAATAGGATGTTTGATCAACATGAAGAAATGCACTGCCAGTTGCTCGATAGTCGATCAATACCAGCAATTGGTATTTCTCACACCTACTGGAGCTGAGCGAGGAGCAAATTTGATATAACATCCTTGAAAGAAGCGTCGTAAAAATTAAGGTATGTTAGTCTGCCAGCCACGATTTCAGCTCCAAACGTCTGCAAGAGCTTCCCTCCCCATCGTGTAAGAATATCGTCACCAGCGTCAATCACATCCTCAGCTTACCACAAGTACAATTGAACACAACCTACGACGGGATTCTCGTTGTCACAATTATCTATCAATGTATCCAATTCATCAAAGACAAATGTTATACAACTCGTTTACTCAGAATTGTGACGGATATTCCACCAATGTTCCAACCATTGTCTCAACTCGCAACAGAATCATGAATCTCTCATGCCAATTCCAATCGCCAATTAAACAACCCGCGAAACTGCGCCACACGCCCACTGTCACCCGTTCGGATCATCCGGGGGTGGCCGCGTGTATTCACAAGTTCCCCGCGAAATATATTGCGTGGCATTTCATTTCCAGCCTCGAGATCGCCAGACTTTGACGTTTTGAATCTGTGGCTGCGTCATCCGATGACAGAACGCATAACAAACTCTGTAAGATACACCCTCTTGGCACTAGGGCAACAGCGAGACGCATGTGAATTGTCCATATTTTTCCCTTGGCATCTGTCATTCAAGTATTTCAGCTAATCTTCTTTATGAGATGCAGCTTCATTTTAGCTTTGGTAGCGGAGCGCCATATTTCACCAGTCTTCTCTAGCGATTGGACACAATGAATAGACTTTGGATCGATGCGCTAGTTTTAAAGGGTAGAAGATGCTGAGCGTCGCATGCTTTTAAGCTTATGAGAATCCCAAACACGACTTTCAGATGTCACTGAGAAGCCATACCGAAGAGGACGCCTTGATAGTCCATTTCACTGCAAGCCTCATGAGTATTGCCATTTCCACAGCAGCAGTACATACAATTTCTATCACAATAAGAAGTAGAGAGTGTGTCTATGCTAATCTATTTTATATCTCACTCGTAAAAAAAGCGCAATCCTTGGATGGTAATTGTTATTTCTATGGAAAGGCCAGCACCTTATTACGTAAATTAGAAATATTCACTTCATCATTCAGTTGTGCTTTCTTCTTTGAATTAGACAATCAGGCTTAGCCATCTTGTAAACTGCAAGTAACGCTCGCAGTGATTAGAAATAGAATAATAACTCAAACATTACGTCATGTCAAATATATGAAAACACCTGTAGAATTCACGATTTCTAAACATAATTTCCATCTCATCATCGCTCCAAATTTCGGAATAGTCAGTCGCCGTATCATGAGCACAAGTAGAAAAGATTCCATGATTTCCAGAAGAAATATCTATATATCAAGGGATAGCCACAGTATAAGCGCTTTTCATATTTTACATAAATAAATCGTAGCCTTCAATCAGCATCTTAAGCATAACTCAGACCACCATCGAGGCCGAGAACCTGGCCCGACAAGAAGCTCGCCCCTGGACTAGCTGCAAACACAATGGCATTGGCAATCTCCTCCGGCGTTCCGTCTCGCTTGATATACTGCTGAGCACGAAACTTTTGCGTCAGCTCGTGTTCCTCTGGCGGAACATAATCTGTCGCGGTGGGCCCCGGAGAAACAACGTTGACGGTGATGCCCTTCTCGCCAAGTTCCTCAGCCCACGCGAGGGTGAGAGTGTTGAGCGCTCCCTTGGTAGCACTGTACAATGAGGCAAATCTCGTTCCGGTTCGAGCCACTACACTGCTGATGTTGACGATGCGGCCTCCGGGAGAGGCGATATACGGCAGAGCAGCCCGGGTGAGCAAGTGAGGACCTCGGACGTTGGGGTGGAACAGGGCATCAAACTCTTCAATGGGAGCCCCCGACACGCTTTCTTGGAATGTGGCGTGGCCTGCGTTGTTGACGATGATGTCAATCTTGCGCCCTGGAAACGCTGCAACAGTGGCATTGACAATGTCGTCGCCAAAAGTGATGGAGCCGGCGTTGCTTTGAACGGCAATAGCTTTAACACCCAGAGCTTTGAGATTGGTAAGACACTCTTCGGCAGCAGTCTTGTTTGAGTTGTAGTGAATCACAATCTGGTAGTAGTCAAAAAGCATATTAGGGCCAACTCAAAGAATACGATGATTTGTATGGACGTGATTTCATACATCGGCGCCGCCCTTGGCGAGGATATAAGCGGTAGCATATCCAATGCCGTTGAGCTTGGATGCTCCGGTGATGATGGCGAGCTTTCCTTTGAAATCGGTAGACATGGTGGGTGTTTTTATCAACGAGTCTCGAGTAAAAATGTTGAGAGCTGGATAACTTGGTGGTTTTGGATTTCGAGTTGAACAATGAAGGCTCTACGACGTCTTTATATTGCCAGCCCGTGACCCACGCTCTCCTCTTTTAACCAACTAATGTCCTGGCTACGCGAGTCTTGGCCTCTAGACTATTACTTCCTATGCGCATTCCAGGCGTCAACTACAGACAAACGATGGAAGCCCCCCTCAGCCACTCGTGTTAGTTAGTCCAGGCATTGGCAACTGTTAGAAACGGCGTCTCTGACTAATAGGCTATTGAGCATACTCCGTAGAGGGGCTTTACTTACAAATCCAGATCAGCCCTTCCTAGTTGTCAACCACCGCCCATAAGGATCCCTTAAACGCCTATCGTCCCTTCGATAGTCCTAGAAGCATCTCCAGGCGATATGATGAGGTGATTATCTGGGTTCGGGGAGCCATGGATCGACGCTACAGACGCGCAAGCAGGGGGACCAGATGCCGCATCTGGTATAGCCAGGCCAAAAGTCAGACTCTAAACGATCCGGCAATAAAGCTAGAAACTCCTCCGTATCAACGTCGCCCAAGCCGATTGGCTCCCTTGAGGCTGAATAATCGCCGCTTGCTTCCCTCAGTGGCTTCTGACATATCAAGACTCGGACATGCATCCTTTTGGTGGTCTTTGTAACTCTCTCAATTCCGATCAACCCCCCTGGGCTCTTTTGATTAGAAACTCTCCCACGCTCTCAAGTCTTTACAACTCAACATATATCTATAACCCCTTTAGGCATATGGTCCTCTGGTTGCGCATGTAAAGAGATACTCTAACTTCTCTTTATTTCTAAAGGACACAAACAGACAAGCATTCCGCCCAGTAACAGCGCAGTACCCCGGGACTTGACATCACTACTTCCGTCTCCCAAGTGACGTGGCGGTCGAAAACAGCAATCGGTCTCTCTCTCGCCTCATCCAGCAACTACGTCGTCATGGACCCTAAAGAATCAGACGGTTCTGGACCCAGCTCCAAGCTGCTCTTCATCAATTCAACCGAATCTGCACGCGGTAGGCCGCGGGATTCAAAGACCAAGCGCCAGATCCGGCAGCATGTCATGCGAGACATTGGCAAGGCTCGCCGCAAGCCACCCAGGAACCCGCAGGTAAAGCTGCGTGTGCGATCTACAGACCCGGCTGCGGAGCCGTCTTCTTCTTCTTCTTCTTCTTCTACTTCTTCTTCTTCTCTTGCTGCTCCTACAAATACGGGAGCAACGGGCCCTGGCGAGAGCCAGCTCATCACGCTTTCGCAATCACGGCAACAGCAGTCACAACATGGAAGCGAACAGCGGTCTCTTCCTCCCCTCCCTCGTCCATTCTGGGACCAGCATCCCCTGGCCCTCATGCAGAATTCCTGGGGCATGGACGCCTTTGCGGCATATGGTCTGGCCCTGGCAGCCTCTTGGAATAGTGTGAGAAGTAAGCAGACAGCTTGCAACCATCATCATCTGCCGACCAGCGCGCCCTTTTACTGACCAATGACCCTCCCCCCTGCAGGCTCTCGTAAATCCCGTTTCTGGTTCCCGTTTGCTTTCAAGGATGCCGGCTTCTGCCGCAAACTCCTCACAGGACCCGAAATCCGCGCCGCTGTTCGCTCGCAGACGATGGAAAGGAGCATCGCCTTTGCTCTGGCACGCTCCACAGATGTCGTGGCCTGCATCGAATCAAGGCTGAGGGATCCTGATCCCAACATGGCCGTGGCCGATAATGTTATCCGGGGCGTCATGGGTTGCATCTGCTACAACGTATGGCAAGAATCTTTTTTGTTTCCCCATTGACAAGTAGCTCGGAAGACTGATTTCTTTGTGTTTCGACTGAAAATTAGTTCATTGTTGGAGACTTGGCTCAAGCTCTCGTCCATCTGAACGGGCTCAAACTCTTGATTAACAGGAGAGGGGGAATAGACAGTCTCTCCGATGACCAAAACATGGCCATGATGGTCTTTTGGTAAGCACTCATCGAAATCGCCAGTTTCACTCATACCAATTCAGAAATGCTGACCACAATAACTCTCTCCTCATAGGATCGACACAATCGCTTCTCTGCTCTTTGAACAAAGGCCCTGGTTTCCAATGCCTTCAAGGCTACATGTACCAATCGATACACTCCCACGCCATGATTCCTCCGACATCCTCACTGTCCTGCCTTTCCATCTCAGTGCCATGTGCCCCGACCTCAACGCTCACCAACTGTGCGTCGTCTCGGCGTTACAAGACATAGCAAGTCTCGCCGACACTGTCCAATCAAAACTAGCCGCCTGGGGTGAAGAACTCTGGAAAGAAGAAGTCTTCCTCGGCACACGGCTCAACCCAATCGCATATCGTCTCATGGACACTCCTCCACACCCTCATCCCGATATGCCATGCGTCTTCGTCGAGACTCTTCGCTTGGGCGCCCTTCTCTGGATCCTACGGGTGAAAAACATGGCACAAGCTTATCCAGGCACGCCCGCCACATATGTCACCAAACTGCTGCATCTCCTGCAAGACCGCAGCATCGAGAACCTCGTCTCAGCATCGGCCTACTACATTCCCTTCCAGCTGTGGCTCCTATTGCTCTGTGCAACCATGTCAGAAATCCCCAATGAAAAGACTCATGCTCTCGAGATGGTTGCTCGCATGATGAACGAATACGGCTGGGAGTGGGAGGAAATGATGGTGAATGTCAAACAACTTCCGTGGATAACTGGATTCGAAGCGTATGCCCCGTCTATCGCCACTCAAACTCAGCTGTTGAGAAGCATGGTGTGACATGTATGACACTTTGTATGGTATGCCTAGCGTGTTTTAACATAAAGAGATTCTAATTATACTTGTCATGATAGATCAAACTAATAAACATTTTAATCGCCCCTTTCCCATAACATAAGCCTTGAAACACCATACAATCAACATACGACTACAGGGCGGCCGTGTTCTAAACGCTGCATATGAAAGAAAAAGAGCATCTTCTCTACTTTGGAACAACAGAGTCAGGAAGACTTCCAGGTAGCCGAGTCCAGTTCATACGTCTCTGCAACTGGCCCGGATTGCCATCCCGCCCCGTATGTACTCGGCGTTGCAGGAGAAACAGTCGGTGCCCCTTGCTGCTGCTGTCCATGGTACGGCGAATGCGGCGGCTGATACCCTCCTCCATGCACCGGCGAAACTGGAGGCTTGTATTCGCTACTCCCTTGGAGTTCCGGTCGTGGGGAGACGTAACCAGGTGGCAACTCGCTGAAAGGCGTGCCGGTTCCCTGAAGCTCCTGTCTCTCTGTGCTGTGGAGTTCCGGAACAACAGCAACGTTTGGGCCCATTTTCGATGTGTTTTCCAGCTCGGGTGGTCCGGTGATATTGGGTCCGTCTGCTGTCGGTGGTATCTGCTCTCCTCTCGTCTGCTTGTTGCGTCTCCGGCGGACGAAAAATGCCACGGCAGCAATGGCAGCGATGAGAACAACGCCTCCAAGTACGCAGGCTGCAATGACTGCTGTCTTGTTGATGGAGTTTGAACCCGATGAATTCCCTCCGCTGCCGTCAGAAGATGATCCATCCTTTCCACCTTGATCGGGATTGCCTCCTCCATTGTCGCTTCCGCCGCTTCCACCAGTGCTATCAGCTCCCCCTGTCTCTGCAGGGCTAGATGGTAACGAGCTGGCTCGATTCGTAGGATGAGGGTACGTTTCAGTGGCAGTATCGGTGACGGACACGACAATCTCCTTTTCAGCCGCGCTACAATAGACCGCAAAGACATCCATGGCCGAGGTAACATCCGCAGTGGCTGTATTGTCGCAGTTCCACTTGACATTGGACGTGAGAGTGCTCAAGATTCTACCGCTCATGCCAGACTTGATGCAGACGCACGAAGCGAGAGCCTGGGGACCAGTAGCACAATAGATTGCTGTTTGCTACAGAGACGCTTTAGCACATGGTCTTGTTAAGCAATGAAGGAACTTACCTCGAGAATCGCAGAGGCAACGCCGCTTTGAGCGCACGACCGCAACGACTTGAACTGCGGCAAGGCGGTGATGTGATAAGTCACTACACACGGTCACGGCTGTTAGTATCGCGTACAGAGCAAATATTCGACGAGAATCGCATGTTTAACGCACTGTCTCCAGGAGGACCTGGGGGTTGAGTAAAGGTTGTCGTTCCGTTGTTCATGGCACAGTATTCGTTGTAAAAGTCTTGCGCTGCGCTGATGTCGCCTCCGTTGGAACACGAGTATCTTGAACACACGGTTGAGTTAGCACAATCCGCGCTCCAACCGGTAATCAAATCTTGAATACTTACCGGACGGACTTGCTAATCACGTCGCTGACCTGAGAGGGGATTCCACCCTTTCCGCAAACACAAGGCGCAAAGAGACTGGCAGCCTCGGGACATTTGGATATATTCTGTTGCCACCATGTCTTTGTTAGTGTTTCCTTGTTCCTCGTTGTGCATATATCGAGCTTCTCGTTCGTTTCTTGCGGGGGGACATGTAGGGAGATGGATTCAAGTCAATACGCACATCTCCCATGACAGCTTCTGACAACGCCGACTGTGCACATTGCGGAAGATAATTGATCTGACTCAAGTCGGTGATGTAGGCCTGGACAACGTTTCTGGTCGGCGTCGAAAAGGTAATCGTCAGGTCTTGGTTGCAGTATTTCGCAAGAACACTCGATGCGCTCTGTTGGTCGTCGGTCGCTGTAGTGCCGCAACTAACTCGAATGTCGCGAGATATGGACGAAGTGATGCTGGTGAATCGCTCCGTGTCGGAGCAAGCACACGACTGGAGCTCCGTCTCTGAGTCGCCGCATACTGTGCCGTAAGTCAGAGTCGCGATGTTGTATGAGATGGCGTCGGAGGCACACGGGGCCTGTTTGATCCAGGTTTGCGTTAGCCACCATCGCCCGTGCGATATTGCCACTGACTCAAACCTACCAGAAGAGAATAAATATCGAGATCCGTCACATAATCAAGGTCAGCGTTGGCGAGCGCTGCGAAGAGGACGGCAGATGCGAATGGGAGCCGCATTGGTCGGCGCATGGCTGTTGGCAGGCTGAACCAGAAGCTGCTGGACAAGGCCGACAAGAAAGATGGATGGACGGGTGAAGACGACAGTATTGGTCGTTTGAAAACGGTTATCCGAGAATGCGACTTGACTTGCAGGCTCAGGCTCAGGCTCATGCACAAAAGCACAACAACATGAACAACAACAGCAACAACAACAGCAACAGAAGAATAGAATCAGGTCCCAGGTTGCCAAGCCAAACGCCACGACAAAAGACGGGAACACAAATTCAGGCACAAGTCTTCAACTTCTCTTCTTTCTCTTCTCTCTCTCTCTCTCTCTCTCCCTCTTGCTACTCTTCACATACACCAGAATCCGCCTCTCTTCAGCCCATCATGGGGAACCCCTGCTCGGCGCCATGGTAGTTCAACAATTGGCGCCTTGGCAGCGCAACGGGAAAGGAGCTGTGGCTGGACTCGGAGCATTGCCATTTGATAAGACCCTTGACAGCTGAAAATCAAGGTGCAGGCGCTACAACGCGATTCGGGCTAAGTCGACAGAATAGACGAGTGAGGCTGAAACGGAGCATTTGCTTTGCGCTGGCGATAACGGCGCCAGAGACGCTGTCTTTTTTTCCCTCTCTTCTCTCTCTACTGTAGGATTGCGTCTAAGATTAAATTAAATAACCCCGCATCGACTCATGATGGTGATTTGTCTGTGCTCGATGCAAGAGAAAGGGGAGAGGGGGAGAGAGCCCTGGAAGAAGCCTTGTTGTGTGTATACTTGAGACGTGGATGTAAGATGAGAAGAAGAAGCGAGTGACAACAAAAAAAAAACAAAAAAAAAAAGGACAACACAAAACACGAAACCATGTAACTGCGGCTCTTGTCTTCAATGTTCTCTGCCGCACGCCAAGATTCTCACTTCGCGCGGTTGGTTGAGCATGTGCAACGAGTCAAGACACTTTACGGTTGGAGATGCGCCGAGGAGAAGAGAGAAAAATATCCCTCGGGATTCTCAGTTGAACCAACTCCGTTGCTTGCTAGAATAAACCGGCACTGGAAATCCGGTTTGACGGCATCCTTCACAATTCGCATCCCATCCAGTGATGCATCGACACATCACGAGAACCTGGTGTGCATCGGGCGGTTTCAGCGTGCCCACCAATCAACCATCCCTGCGATTCAGGCAAATCACACTCGTTGCTGGCTCGCTTACTAGCCCAAGGCCGTGCAGTGATTCCTCGATGCACAAGGTCTGGTGAGTGAATTAAGAGCATTGGCGGAGGAAGCCATCGCAAAGGGAAGAAAGCAGACAAAGAGGGGAGAAAGAGAAGAAACCAAACATTGAAGATGAAGCAAGGTTATGGTTATCACGGGCGGAGTCTTCCATCAAGTTGAAATTTTCTCTTCGTCCTCACTCGTCGGTTAGTTAATGCATGAAAATAAGCTGTCTTCGATTCTTATTAGCCAGAGGCCTGTCTCTCATCTTATCAATCAGCTAATTTAGCGTGCTTACATGCTGAACATGTCTCTGTCTAGATCATAAGAGCATACCGTCCATGTTGTGAAACGCAACGCACTCAGTTCATATAAAGAGCAAACGGTATCCTCGTTGTCTCGATAGTTGGTAATGCAGAGAAGCAAACTATTCTGGAAGTAAACACGGAGTTTAATTTGCCAACCGAAAGCTGCTTCGCTACCGGTTCCCACTGCATGCCCAGATTCACTTTGTTCTGTGGCTAGACAAATCCGAATTCTGTACTTAGACTCGACAACAGAGCAACAAAATATACAGACACAGTATCACAAAAGTTTAACCATCGTCATTGGCCATCAATCCCCTCTCCTATTCAGAATCAAGAACAGTGGTACAAACAATACCGTTATCTTCAACTGACGCTTTGTTTCTCCGCACTCCTCCTCTTGTGGCACCCAGCCACCAAACTCAGGTGATGCAAACAATATTTGTGAGACGCTCACGGCTTGCGTGCTTGCTGTTTGCATTCCTGACCCAGATGGTGTAATTGGGAGGCCTACGACGTAGCTGTAAACACTCTAATATAATAAATGCATAGAAACAAATCCCTGGAGTTGGTCTTTCAATTACCTGCGCGCTGTTCTCTTCATCAATACCTTGGACATAAAACACCATCTGTGCCTTATCAATTATTAGCCATACTGTTAAAACACTTAAAACACTATTCACGACGATGCCTAATCTCTTTTGCTGCTCATCCGTACGGCCGTATCGCCCCCGACGGCTTGACCATGAACGAAAATTCGACAACTTCATGCAATGGGCAAAGTCCACCTCTGCAGAGCCCAACGATGGCTCTTCGCTTCTGGGCAATGCAGATTATGTGATCCAGCTTGTCAGGCAAGCCAATTATGGGCGAAAAGAGTCGGTCAGATATTTTACTACAGCCAACGAGGGCACTGAATTCGCAGAAGTCGGCGAGAGCGACCTCATCGCCGCAAATTTCGAAAAATTAAACTCGTATGTTGACCAGTGCATGCCTCATTACATGTACGTAGGAAATTTCAGCAGATACTGACCAAGATCTTTCGCTTCCGCAGATACAAGAACTTCAAGTGCGTCGCGCATGATAAATTTTTCGAGGTGAATTTGTATCAACAGAATCCTACCAATACGCATCACTGGCGGGCCAATATCGCTCGACCCGCTACAGATATCGATCTGGTATATCGACAGAAGAAGGAGGGGGAAAGGTCGGCGCAGGCCGTCAAAGCCGAAGATACGAAGCAAGAAGATCTCGATACTGATGTAAAACGTGGTGTTTCTTCGAGTTCTACCCTACCTGATCCAACCTCGCAGGCCCACGAGGCGAGTTGAAAACCCCGTACAGCTATCATAGGAGGCAGTTGCTGATGTGCATTTTAGGCAGTTTCTCAATTAGATATACCAGCTTTGAAGTCGGTCCTTGGGTTTTTGCTTCCTAAAGTGAAGACGAACCTTGGGTCAAACCCGCTTGTATCTCTGCTTGCTCTTGATTGGGCCAACCAAGAACTCAACCTCGGCCTCGAGATCGAGGATCTTTGGATTTCTGAGCTAAATACTAGCAATATTGCTACGTTTTTATCCAGCTATGTCAAGTTATCCGCCGGCGACTTGACTACGTCCAAAGCCGCCAAAATCGATCATGAAGTGGGCTACGCGATTGGTTGCGGAAATTTACTTGCGAAAGGGAAAACCCTTGGGCGAAGCAAGTTGCAAGAGATTGTCGAGAATGTCCTCAATTTTCACAGTGCTTCAGACTGGGTCTCCAAATGCCGGGAAGGCATACTCCGTATGTTTACCGCGGCACCTGACGAGCGCCTTCTCGAGCTAGGTCAACGCAAAGAAGACGAATACCAAGACAGACATATAAAGGTACAGCGGCACTTGGTCTTGCATCTCGTTTTAGAGAAACACGAGCTAAGTTGTTTCCTAGGTCACATCAAAGGTAGACTGTGAAGAAGGCGATAATGATGACTACAACCAGTACGACTACAGCGACGAATACGAGTACAACAACACCAACGACTACAACGCGTCCTCTTCTGATTTTGATAAGGATTTCACAGCATGTGACAAAGAGTGTGGTTATTGTGGAAGATGTTCCTATTAGAATCTGTGGCAGATGGATGCTTTCCCAGTCTTGGATCCAAGGGAGATGGCTATTGGGCTTTAGTGAAATAGCCACATGATGAATGGCACAGTTTGTGGTAGTGCTTTTAGCAGCCATTTCTGTGATCTGCGGGTGCAGAGATTGGTACCGTCGATTTTCAGTCGAGCCTGCAATTCTTTGATCGCTAATCTTCATTTTGCTTTACGATGATTTCTGCTAAACTTTGAGTAGCCCTATTTTCCAGCTGAATTTTGTGGCAAGGCGTGAACTTTCATACTGCCATACGGGGTTTCCCATCGATGATTTGGTAATAACACGGAAGCTTATACTCTCTATACGCTTTAGCCGTACTTTGACTCCATAGTAGGTAGTTAATCTTTGACGCTACTATAGCGATTTACCTTTATGCTGCCAATAAGTTTATGCTTTCCGATACTCAGAAATCCAATATCGGCATGAGTCTTTTGTGCTACACCTACAATATTATATTGCGTTTACTTCTGCTCGCTACCTATCCCTTATCCTTATAACCTAAATACGACCTTTTACTTCAAAAACAGCACTTATAAATTCATTGTTTGCCATAAGAGTGGCACAGACCTCCATGTTCATCCAAGCTCACGATTAAAAAGCATAACCAGATCTCATAGTTTACAGAAACCATCCCTTTGTAAACTCAATCCGCTTTAGCGCTGGCAAGTTCCCCCAAAGGCACCATGCATGCCTCGATTCGACTGGCTATATAAATCTCGTCTCCCCCGAACCTGGATTCATCTATAATCGTCCCACTCATCACATCCATACGAACTGCACCAATCTTGGAAAATACAAAACATTTCCTAGAGACAACACCAACACCAATACCAAGAAAGAACAAGTGACCAACTCTACGAAAAAGACCTTTTCCGATTGCAACTGTCGTAAACATGGGTTTTGACAACAAAACTCTCGCGCCTTCTGATGAGAGCAAGGACGCCGCTCTCGCTTTGGCCCTGAGTCACAACATGTTTCCTTGCAATGGCGTCAATGGCAACTCTACCATGAGTTCCTACGAATGTAAAGCAGCTGCGGTTTTGTATGCTACCACTCCTGATGGACCTGCCGCTACGCAATGGATCGATAATGTCCCTGCTCTATCCAAACTGGTCGATGGTCTCACGGGGCTTCCAGTTCGGCCACCATCCATCTACGTCGACCTCGAGGGACAAAATCTTTCTCGATATGGCACCATCTCTCTATTGCTGATCCATGTCCGTCTCGCCAACACAACTTACCTCATCGATGTTCAATCTTTGGGCAACAAATGCTTCTCCACGGCTGGAGAGACTGGCTGGACATTGAAGGCCATCTTGGAGTCCACCTACATTCCAAAAGTGTTTTTCGACGTTCGCAGCGATTCGGATGCCTTGTTCGCCATTTTCGACATCACTCTGAACGACGTCATCGACCTACAACTCATGGAATTCGCCGTCTGCCCTCGACAAGGCAAGATATGGGTCCAAGGGTTCAAAAGCTGCGTCCACGACCAGGCGGAGCTTTCCCGGAACGAGAAACCCCGATGGAGCGAGACCAAGAAGCAAGGCAGTGCGTCGTTGGCACCCGAACAAAGCGGAAGCTTTCAGGTGTCCCATAAGAGCCCCTTGCAACCGGTCCTCTTGGGGAATTGCGCTCAGGACCTGTCTGTGATGCCCTGCTTGTGGGCGCACTACGACAGCCAGATGGAGGAGCAGTTGCGGGGCGAGGTCATCGCAGCCTCGGCGGTGAGGGTTTGGGAGTCACAGGCGCCGGATTACAGTTCCAGAGGACGGCACATGGCACTGGCTCCCCTTTCGATGATTGACGCAAGCGATGTTGATAAGTGGCGGCGCCTGCACGAGTTGTACCACCCCTGCCACGGCCGGTGCGCTTTAGCATCAACGGCACCCAGTAGTGATGCTGCTGCGGGAAGCCTTTTCAGCAGTGCTGTTAGCCCTGTTTCTGGTGCTTCTACTGCTACTTCTAGGTCGTGGATCTATTCCGCGGAGTAATGGGGGCAACGGTGTATCGAAGCATCGTGGCTTCATGTTGTTACGGTGTGGAATAAATAGGGATCCAAGGGGAGAGACGGCACTAAGACTGTATTATTATGGATAGATGGGTATTGGCAGCGGACAGTATAGAATAGTCTGGAGAAATGAGCGGCATGTTTGTTACTCTCATTATTGTCAAGCAGTAGTAATAAATACATACAAGTTCAGCCTCAACACCAAAATATCTTACTCGTACATCCAAATCGAAGTGTTTCCGTTTTGGGCAATTTCTGTGACCCCAGGTTCATGTACACGTAACTTAACCCAGTCCCAATGTGGCGGTACTCGGTACCTGTTGAGGCGCTGCGCTAATGACATACGCAGCCGGTAGCAGGAACATGAAGCTCTTAACGGCAATATTATCCGCCGCCCAATCATGGCGAGGGCAAATCCTGTTACGGAGATGCAAAAACAGCGTCTAACTGAGTCGAGTATGAACGAGCGAGCTCCACCGCGGAGGGACGCATGATTTGCTTGTGATGATCCAAAGAGGGATAAAGACGGGGATATGATTTGTTAATAGCCCTTGGAAGAGGTGGAGAGTGTGAGTAACTCGTACGTGAAAGTTGCATGTACATATTTGGTGGCATATATAGAGAGAGACCGGAGGCCCATCGGCGAGACAAGACTCACGATAGGACACTTTGACAAGGCCATTCATTTTCTACGTTGAGACTTGAGATAGAATAAAAGGAGAAAAAGAAAGAGAGACAGAAAAAGAGAAAAAGACAAGCAATAGGGAGAAACGGAAACAACAACAACATCATCTTCATCATCATCATCATCATCATCATCATCATCATCATCATCATCATCATCATCATCATCATCATCATCACACTCGCTCAACCATGTATCTTCGTGGCGATCACGCAGAGACTGACCTACGCGTCTTGCGACAACTCGTCCGCGAGAATCCCCTAGGCCTCTTCACCACCGCCATCTCCTCGCCATCCTACCCCTTGATCCAGTCCAGCCACATCCCCTTCATCCTAGACGTCGAGGATGAATCCAGCGAGACGGAGCTCGGCCAGCTGAGGGCTCACATGGCCCGCGCCAACCCCCAGAGCAAGGCCATCATCGACGAGATCAAGGAGCGCCAGGCCGCGGGAGACAACTCGCGGACGCTGCAGCAAGACGTCCTGGTCATGTTCACGTCCGCAGTCCAGCACTACGTCACGCCCAAGTTCTACACGGCGACCAAGCCGGTGACGGGCAAAGTGGTGGGCACATGGAACTATGCCGCCGTCCAGGTCTACGGCAAGGCGACGTTTTACATCGACCCCAACGCGGAGGAGACGACGGCTTTCCTCGACAAGCAGATTGACGCCCTGTCGAGCTTCAACGAAAGAGTCACCATGGGCTACACGGGAGAAGGGTCCAGGCCCAAGGCGTGGCAAGTGTCTGATGCGCCGACGCCGTATCTCAACATCATGAAGAAGGCCATCATCGGTGTGGAGATTAAGATTGAGAGGATGGAGGGCAAGTTTAAGATGAGCCAGGAGATGGGCGACGGGGACACTGACGGCGTGGTGAAGGGATTCAACGACTTGGGAACTGAAGCAGGGAGCAAGATGGCGAGCACGGTGGAGGCACGGAGGGAGATTAAGAAGCAGAAGAAGGCGAGCAAGGAGAGCGAGTGATGTGATGTTTTTGTTAATTGATCAAGCTGTGAATGGAATAGATATCATGTCTGGTGTGTGGAATAGACTGGAGTTGACCTGATATAGATGGAGATGCTGTATAAACGAGCAACGAGGGCACAGAAAAGGGAATGGCCAATGCGGTATTCAACTACAGATATGAGTTGTTTTCAACAGAAACGATATATACGAATCAATATTGACAAACAATCGAATTGCAATATCTCACTCATGATAGTAATAATTACCTAATTATAGTAGACATATGAGGACGAGATGAAGATGATAAAAGTCTCTCCCCACACACAAATTCGAGACCCTTGCACATGTACATGTACGTAGGTACCTCAGACAGCAAGCAGCCCCACTCTATTTTCCAGCATCTCAAACCCGCCTCAAATCCTCCATCAGCATTTACTTTCAACACCTCCATTTGCTTTCATCTTCGCTAAACCAGCACAGAACAAACCCCCAGCGACACAAAATTCGCTCAATTGGCCGTCACCATTGCATCACTGCATTCTCGAGTCCGACCAACCCCCAAAAATCCGACACGAAAAGAGAAAAAGAAGAGAGAAACAATGTCCACCAAGCCCAAGTCAAGATGGGCAAGCTCCGCAGAAGACGCCGAGTACGAAGCACGGCAAAAGAAGGAAAAGGAAGAGAAGCGTCGCAAAAAGGCTCTTAAGCAGCAGCAAGAAGAGGAAGAAAAGAAGAAGGCTCTACTCTCTGCTTCAGCTACAACGACATCACACAACACAGAAACAAACGACAACGACAATGACGACGCAGCATCATCATCCTCACCATCACGACCCTCCAAACGCCGAAAACTCACCCCCGAACCCTCCTCCGCCAGCAACAGCAACAGCAACAGCGTCTCCCTGCTGCGCTTCGACGTCGGCTCCTGGAAGCCCAGCCGCAGCGTCGACCACTACGACAAGCTCAACGACATCGAGGAGGGCACCTACGGCTGGGTGGCGCGCGCGACGGAGCTCGCCACGGGCCGGGTCGTCGCCCTCAAGCGCCTCAAGCTCGAGCCCGGCGACCCCAACGGCCTTCCCGTGACGGGCCTGCGCGAGATTCAGATTCTCAAAAACTGCCGGCACCGCAACGTCGTCAGCTTGGAGGAGGTTGTCGTGGGCAACGACGTCTCCAAGCCAGACAAGTAAGAAAGCCTCAAGAACCTACCTTGGCCCAACCAAACTAACCAACGTTTCCGCCACCAGCTCCATCTTCCTCGTCCTCGAATTCGTCGAACACGACCTCAAAAGCATCCTCCAAGACATGCCCGAACCCTTCCTCTCCTCCGAAGTCAAGCGCCTCCTCCTCCAGCTCACATCCGGCGTCGCCTACCTCCACCAGCACTACATCCTCCACCGCGACCTCAAGACCTCCAACCTCCTCCTCAGCAACCGCGGCCTCCTCAAGATCGCCGACTTCGGCATGGCCCGCTACGTCGGCGACCCCCGCCCCAAGCTCACCCAGCTCGTCGTCACCCTGTGGTACCGCGCCCCCGAGCTGCTCCTCGGCACCCGCTCCTACGACGCCGCCGTCGACATGTGGTCCGTCGGCTGCATCATGGGCGAGCTCATCACCCGCGAACCCTTGCTACAAGGCTCCAACGAGGTCGACCAAATCTCCAAAGTCTTTGAGCTCTGCGGCGTCCCCACCGAAGACTCCTGGCCGGGCTTCCGCCGCCTCCCCAACGCCCGCTCCCTACGCCTCCCCAAACAGTCCCCCCTCGCCTCGGGCTCCGTCATCCGCGCCCGTTTCCCCAACCTCACAACCGCCGGTGCCTCCCTGCTCAACAGCCTCCTCGCACTAGACCCGGAGAAGCGGCCATCTGCCAAGGAGATGCTAGAGCACGAATACTTCCGACAAGATCCCAAACCCAAGCCCGAGAGCCTGTTCCCGACGTTCCCCAGCAAGGCCGGCCAGGAGAAGAGGCGACGGCACGAGCCCGACGCCCCCGTTCGCGGACAGGCCGTTGCTCTTGGCGACGTTGACTTTAGCGGCATCTTCCAGGGCAGGGACAAGGAAGAGCGAGGCGCTGGGTTCAGTTTACGTATGGTGTGAATGAACTGATTATGCCTCTGGTCATTCACATGTCTGGCCAGCAGGATATTATGGTCATCACTTGACGTATCGACTGGCCAATCGAAGCATTTGTTCTTGGGATATAGCATGACAGCCATCTTTTTGATTTATCGTATCATAGAATTTACACGCAGACTTGCACATGCGAGGCACAAAGCCACATACAATGAGTAATACAATGAGCAAGATATACATATACATCAATACAATGAGCAAGAAATACATATACATCAATATAAACATACCAAAGCGCAGATCAACACAAATGTAAATACATCAAATCACAAGACAGTCAAATTCATGATAAAAAAGGCTAAAAGAGTCCACATCAACATCAAGGCGCTCGGCCCATTAAATGTATACGTCATTAAGAACTGCAACTATTTTTTTTTCTTGAGTGGCCCATCATGAAAAGAGTCGTCCGAATAGCTTGAATACTCCCCCTTGTTTTCCAAAGCAAGCGCGCGTGTAAAAGAGAGAAAGACACAAAAGACAAAACGCCGTTGAAAATGACCCGCAAAGTATCGCCTGTAATAATGCCCCGTCTCCAAAAGCTTTAAAAATAAAAACAACTCAAAGCATGGTATGCAATCCCACCAAAGGCCCTGTTGGCTACATTGTTCGCAAAACGTCGAGCAAAACGTGTCTGGTAGGGCCAGACCAATCAAGCAGTATGCGGATATGCAAAATGCGCGCAGACGATGCTGATGCGCAGCCGCGGGACAGGATTAGTTGAGGTCGAGGCCGGACACAAACCAAGTAAAGCTCAGCACGGTCACCAGTCCCATGGTGATGGCAAAGCCAAGAACGTGGTGGTCAAACTTGGAAAGGGCTGCGTTGCAGGCGTCGCAGTGCCACTCGGGGAAGGGAACGTATGGCTGCGGGGTGTAGAGACCAAAGGTGAAGCTGCTAAAGGTGCCCAAGTAACCAGGGTCGGGGATGGTGCTGATGGCGGCGTCGGAATCCTTGATGATGAGGGTGTACATGGCGACGGGGAGGGGCTGAACGACGTCGGTGGCCTGGACGCTGCTGTCCCAAACGTATGAAGCGGACGTCTTGAAGGTCATGTTTGAGGTGAGGGTCCAGGTCTCGGAGACGGTTGAGCAGCTGATGAGAACATCGATGGCGGTCGGGGTGCCGAGGATGTTTGTGTAATTCCAGCCCCAGGTGACGTAGTCGCCAATCTTGTAGAGCCCACTGCCGGCGAAAACATTGGGCGTCTGCATGACAACATTTCCAGGAGGAGCCTCGGCATCAAACATGGTATGGTGTGTCGTCTTGCTCTTGGTGGCAGTCGTCTTCTTACTGCTACTGTCATCCGTCTTTGTTGAGCCGCCCTTCTTGCCCGATTGGCTTGGCTGGGTTGGCTTGGCCGTGTTTCCTTCTTCGTTTGGCGGGTTGGTTGGGCTGGTTGGGTTTGCTGTGTTTTCCTCTGCCAAACGTGTCAAAACACCTTCATCAAAAGCATGCAGACGTCGAATACATACCACTGCCCTTGTCAGCACGAACCACGAGCGCGTCGAGGTCGGGCAGCCAGCCCGGCCAGGCTGAGACCAGAGGAGCAGCCGAGGAAAGGCACAAGGCCAGTCGCATCAATGTCGCCGTGGGACGCATTTTGTCGAGAGTGTGGGATTGTTTGGAGGTGTAAACAGCACGATGAAATAAGATGAACACAGACCGGGGCCGTCTGTCGCTAGCGTGTGTCGTTTCAAGGGATTGAAACCTCCGCTTTTCGGTGTAAAACGATGCTGGATATGTGGAAAAAAGAATGCGATTGCTCGGCCGAAGAAGTTGAAAAAAAAAAAAAAAGGGTTGACGATGCTGTGGTTAAACAAGACAATGGCAAGCAACCCCTTGGCGGATAGATCGAATGGTTTGTGGCTGTACAACAAGCGGGTCGGATCGTTGGTGGGCAGGCAGAGGCAGAGGCAGAGGCAGAAGCAGCGACGAAGCGAGTGTCTGGATGGGAGAGGCGAAAAGCGAGAGACGAGACGATGAAGAAGCAACAAAAAAAGAAGCTTTTTGCGCTGGCGAGGCGAGGCGATGGCGATGCAGAGAAGGAGAAGAGAAGAAGGGAGGAAAAAGGGGACGAGGAGAGACGAAGAGAGACGAACGAGTAGCCAAAGGCCGAGATTTCCTTCTTTGCTCAGTCAGGTTCCGTGTACATGGTACATCCACGAAGGGACAAGTAGGTACGTACCTCGTAGTTCCCGGGCTGCGGGCTGCGACCAGAAGACAATGCACCGCGCCATTGCTGAAAAAGGATTAGCGGCAGATGCGTTAGACAGGGGTAACTGGGTGAGCCCCTACCGGATGGGGGATGGCGTAGGTATAAATAAAAAGCAAAATCTCGCCCTTGGCCGAAGCCAGCAAGGGGGCAAGTACTTGGGGGATATATGGAGAGCGCAGCCAAATGACATGTACCTAGGGTGCGTGCCGGAACGATGAGATGAGAGCTGAGAGAGAGAGAGCCTGCGTGCATTTACGGTGATTCCAGAGGATCCGAAGTGTCTACAGTGACGAGGGTACTACCTTAGTACTATAGGTACTTGGGAGTACAGGTAATACTACATTGATCATCTGTAAAAGAACAAGAGTGAATGCGTGATGAAGATATGAGAGACACCACAACTTCAACTAACACTGCAGAGGTAATACCCGGTCGTACGAGCACACGCAGGTATAAAAATAAATTCTCCTCCTGCACAGCAAAAACAGCTACGGAGAATTTGATTCGACGGCCTCCCCCCGATTGATTTATTTTTACCCTTTTGCGTGTGTCCTCGTGTCTTGTGTCTGGCCCTTCGTATTCCCTCGCTGCAAAATGGTGTGCATGCCAGAGCTCCACGTCCAGTAACGCCACAAGGTCTCCTGCGTTAGCTCTTCCGCATCCGCGCCCATAGCTGGCCGTAACAAAACATACGCCGCCAGCTAATACGAGGAACCACCTTTTTTTCTGGTGGCACCGTGGCGATGCATCGGCGTCGGGTGGGTTTCTCTGGCGCTTATGTACATGTACATGCGAGCTGATGCTGATGCTGAATGGGATCCCATGCGTGACAATTTGCAGTTCGTATTGGCCGCGAGTGCCACCGGAGCTGCAAGTCATCATCAGACTCTATATATAAGTCCTCTGCAGCAGTCCGTTTATATCATTCAATGCTGGTCAGCTCATCCGTTAGTGCTCCGAGCTGTCACCAGGTCCGTCTCGGCTGCTTAATTTAGTCCACTGGAATCGATTGCGTCCAGGTCCCTTTGCCCTCAACCCGAAGGTGATAGGCTATCCGAAGTCGGCCCGCGATGCCTACCCTAGTGGCCCGTCATGCCATTAATCGCCATGTGTCGGGTTAGGCGTGACAATAAAACGACATTGACTCAAGCAGACTATTATATTATATTGCCTTTACATTAAACACTCGAAAACGCTGTCGATGGAATCTGCAACGGGAACGAACATATACAAGCACGGATTTATGGCATATATCTTCGGTGTAGACTACATGCGTATTATAAACCAGCCAGCCAAACAAGCAGCATTCGTCATACTGAGCCCTCTACGTAGATTTCGTCGTGTTTATCATGTCTTGCCCAAGCCGATATTTTATAGGTAGGTGGCTACTAGGTCAGCATGTATCCAACTTGCCTTCTTAGACGAGACCGACATACTTGACAAAGGAAGAGCGTCCAATACTACCAGATATCTTCCCCACACTCTCTCATCGCTTCCAGAAGACTAGATACATCGATGAGAAAAAGGATTTGAGAAGGAAATAGTCTCAACCCCGACCTCCTGATGCCAAAACCAATGCCGAAAGTTGCGCGTGGTCATCCATCTGAGCTGATTCTCCATCACCAAGGCATGATGCCGGGGAACTTGGCCGCTGTCAACCTCATTCCTTCTACCAAAGGCGCAGTTATAGTACTCACAAACTCCCTAGCTCTCAACGGCACTGCAGACTGGCTTGGTCAGCTATACTTAGATGCCTATCTCGATGTTGCTCATAGGAACGACTACGCATCCTTGTCAGAAGAGACAGCGGAAGCCACTCTCAGCTGGCATTCCGATGTTCTGGCCGAACTTGAGAAAGATCGGATCCCAGGGACTGTTGCACGAAATCTGTCCGAGTATACTGGCAGATATTTAACGAGGCTGGAACTATGATGATCGAGATCTTGCTCGACAGCGGTAGTGAACCTGCCCTTGGGCTCGCGTTGTAAGGCCTCCAGTCCGAGATGTACCCACTGACGCATTACCATGACGATGTATTCTCTTGGCTGGTAACAAGAAATGAATTTGCTCGACGAGGACGCTTTCTCAAGAGGGGTTTGAACAATGCCGAGAATTTCAAGATCAATTTTGGCCCGGGGAGCGGATATCTTACATGGTGGCACGATCCATGCCTTGAAGATCCAGAAAGATTTATACGAAATGAAGAGTGAAGTCCTTTTCTACTACCAGAGACAGAAGCGAGATGACTAGTAGAATATTATCTTGAACAACTTGTTTACACCGTTACCTATACACATAAATCTACCAAGGTCAAAGCATTACTCAGGGACACCACGCATAAGAGGAGGGCCTGGCGACTCTTGTTTATCATGGCTGCTTATACTCTTTTCTGGTGTAATGGGATTAACCGTCGGATCCTTGCTATGATCATACTTTGCTATCCCATCCAAGGGAGCATATTTTTTCGCAAAGACAACACATGTCATTGTATGTTCTAGTCAGGGGCTGGTATTTAGTAGCACACATTGCCATTGGAGTGGACATGGACTCACATGCTCCTTGTTATGATACCCGGATCTGTAGCTGACCAGTTTAGATTGCATTTGAGGCTGTACAATCGATTGCGATCATCCCATTCATCCGCTGGCTCAGCAGGTGGGCATAATCGTAAATATGCCTCTTTATAAGAGCTCACGCCCAAGGTTTCAGCATATATTACCCTCCATACCCCAAGCTCCATCTCGTTGTGAGCATAGTATGAGCCTGCGTCGTATATCATGGTCTCTCCTGTTTGGAGCGTGCCGACGTTGGCATCCTAGAGATCGCCATGGATCAGACTCGGCTGGATCGGCTTGCCGCCCGAGGTCAACGATCCAAGGAGTCTCGGCACGGCCTTTGATACAATCTGCTCTGCTGCCCGCTCCAACTCCGGTCAAGGTCCGCATGCTTCTGCATCCATTCGGACACGGCTGCGAAGAAGGGCTGCGTAAAATGCCAACCAACTCTCTTGCCACTCTACCAGATGGGGGTGAAGCAGAAATAAGATGCAGTCCATTCAAGGACTGTAGCCATGGCCTTGCTAGCCAAGCAATAATCTTCCCATGTGTGTTACATATCTTGCTATTATACATATTTGCCATCAAACCCATCAGGGTGCATGTAAATCGCAAATACTTCCTTTCTCAGTTCATTCGGGGTATGAGCTTCAATGTCTAATAGAGGACTTTCTTAGCAATTGTTTGAACAAAGTACTGATAAAATAAGATGAAGACAAGTGTAAATATGCCGAGCTACCCCCTAGAGGCATACACCAGCGTAGAATACTGACCTTTTGAGATGCTATCGCGATATATCTGCTTTGTATATCTAAACAATTCTTCTATTGAAGCGAGCAATAGAGGCAATTCATTGACATTCTGGCATGGCAAGGACCCCCTGCGCGGTGGGTGATCGTTCCGCACATGGGCCACCCAATCGTTTAGAACAGCGTTGGAATTCTTTGTGCACGAGGCATGACGATTGCTTCCGTAGACTTACTCCCATTGTACTCCCTGATGAAACATGCTGGGAAGTATCTGATAACAGCAAGGACATTGCAAGTGCTCCACGCCGCTTTTAATCGGAGTTGGACTAGGATACTCGATTTTCGCGGCTGTCAGCGTAACCTTGGTCTTTGCTTTTTTGAGACGACGCTGGTTTCTGTTGAAAAGTTGCTGGAATGATTGGTTCAAAAGCTGAAGCAGACGTCGCAGTCAAGATTGTTGAACGCTGATTGTTTTGCCTTGTATCTGGGGCTGTTTTTCTATCGTATGAATCTCTTGCTGCTGCTGTTTTGAATCTTCACCCCTTTCAATGCCATCTTTCGCAAGGATGGTGCCTGTACTTTGAGGACCAAGCACTTCCCTTTGTCTACTGAATGCACCAACTGCGAGCTTTTGTGAATGTCTTTGGGCATATGGAAGCCGATTTTGTCACCGAAGATTGGATAAAATTAGTCTTTAATGTATGTTGAGGAAAACGGTCATCGGTAACGTTAACCTTACGAAAGCCTCTATATAACTACATGTAGGTAGCCATAGACGACCTTCACATAGATCAATCAAGTTCACCTTGTCATCAACTTCGTTCTAACTAATATTGGATAGGACTGAGAAGTGTTGGATTTATATCGTAGTTTTGTCGTCCGTCTTGACTTCCACGACCCAAGACAACCATCAAGTGTTTGTAAAGGTCTTCATGGTCCTCTCTCCTGAACATCCGATCTGCTTTTGGTTTCGAGAGGCACTGTCAGCTTTTGATAACGTTTCAGCCAATCTTAATAAATCGCCAAGTAATTGTTCCACTTTCTTCTAAGAGGATTGTAGTGGAGAAGCATTCACCAGAGGGAGATCCAATTCAGTTTCCGATTCAGAATCTGCTGAAGATGATGTTGACCATGGCGAGAACCCTCTTGGGGGAGGTTGGGGTATTGTTGACCGCCCATCTTGCGTGTTTTGTTCATGAAAGTCACCAGTGGTAGTATCTTGGAGACCAGATGCTAAAAAACTTCAGCGTGGTTCGTAATTTGGTTAATATTACATGACGAACTTACCAAGTGCTTTGAAGTTGTCAATACAATCCTTCAGGAGGATAAGGATGCCTTTAACTATAGATCTAGTAAGTGAATTCACAGAGAGTCTCTCATCCAGGGAGTCCTTGCCGCTTGCAAAGACGCCGAGACCCGCGGCCCATGATGTGAATTCTGCCAGCCTACCCGCAGCCCATTCATATTCCATTAGGGTCTCGACTTAAATACAAGCCTGTAAACTCTGACGATATTCATCAGCAAGTTCATAGATGGACCTTTCTGTAAATAGAGCGCTCTGTGAGGTTTGTGGTACATCAGCCGCCGAGTTCCCGTCAGTGAGAGGCCGGTATTGTACTCGTGAATCGTTAGGAGAGTCCATCGTCCCAAAATGTTGAGGAGCATCTATGGATGGTAGATGCCATGTAGAGTAGCATAGTGACCTTATTTATCCCCTTTCAGACTGCCCTAGGTAGGTTGCCGTGTTTCTTTGATCACATGTTTGCCGTGTTACTTTGATGAAAGGATTGTCGTGTTTCTTTGACGGAATGTTTGCCATGCTTCTTTGATCACATGTTTCGTCGTGTTACATCGATGGAAGGATCATTATGTTTCTCTGATGGAGGAACCACCTATATAAACCGGTGCGTGCGTGCGTGCGTAAGCAGCCCTCCACCTCCCAACAACCTCATGCTCTATTGTAACCCAAACATCGTCATAAACTTAGAAGCCGGACAGAGGCCCAACACCGAAGCCCAACCTACCTTACATGTAGGCAAGGTTAACTCTTGGAGCTTGATCGAGTCGTTGATTAGCAGCTGCAAATCTTGAGCCCCTCCAACCCGCAGAAACAAGTATGCGGCAAGTGGAAGCCATCCCCTGGAACTCGCACACAGGGTCGACAGAAGTTCTCTCATCCTCGTCTATTACAGAGCTATGTCAACAATGCACGTCGGCTTTCGAAATCTGTACGCACCATGAAAGTCTGATGAAGCGCGGGTGGGCGGGGGTCCGCTTCTTCGACTTCAACACATTTATCAAATGCATCGGCGTGCGATCCGCATCCAAGGCATCTCTTGATTATCGCCTCGACTCTGGGCCATTCAATCGACTCATGCTCTCAAATATTCTGGTCATGCTCAATAATGCCCTTGCCGAGTGCATCAGCTGTGCGGAGGCACAGTCCGACATAGATGCGGCCACCAAGAATGTGGACTCGTTGATCATATGTTTGTCTCGCATAATGGAAGCCATTACTCGACCCGGCATACGATCACGCCTTCCGGAGGGCGACTGTAAGTTTAAGCCTGAAGAACACGAAGAGCTGAGGGCTTTTCTGGGCATCATGTGTTTGCGACAACACACAAGGAGTGAATATGGCGTCGAACTCGGTCAAGAAGCCCAAAACGGAGTATCCAAGCTGGATGCACTGTCAACCAAGGAGTGCATAAAAATCTCGAAGGAGCTCAAGCTGTCTGCGGCTCAACAACGGCTCATAGAAGTGAATTTGCGCAGAAGAAACCGCTTCTTACAGGCACAAGAGCGCGATCGACAGGAAAACGTCAGCGACCACCCCAAGGCACCTACAACTCAAGGCAACTTGCGGGCTCCGGAAGCCAAAGAGAAAGCCTCGCAACCTGCCATGATGGCACTCACTGCACTCAGGCCCGCAGGTCGATATCCCAAAGCACCAGATTTGCCCCAGGGCGCAATAGCGTTCAAGTGCCCGTGCTGCTGCAAAACTCTACCGGCCCATGTTGCCACTGACAATGACCATTGGAGGTATTGCTCCCAGGCCCTGCGATAAATGGTAGATGTAGGAAGACTGACATTCGAAATAGGAAGCACGTTGCCAGAGATATCTCCCCATATACATGCATTCTCCCAGATTGCCCGACACCATTCGCCACTTACACAACAGTCTCCGATTGGGAGAACCATTTCAAGCAAGAACATGAATCATGTCGTATTTGCAAGCTGTGTGTGGACAATCATATCACCTTCCCAGGCCTGGAGGCCTTGCTGGCACATGTTAGAACAGAACATGCCGAGGTTACATCCCCACTTGTTGTCCAAGACGTGGTACTCCGGTCAAAATTCAAAACTATAGGCACAAGCCAATGCCCCCTTTGTGGTTTAACTGGCCGCGCATATTCAACAGGGTTCATCCGGCATGTTCTTGATTGCATCCACGATTTTTCACTGTACTCGCTGCCCTGGGACCGGCTATGCCAAGATTGAGTGTCCAAGCCAAGCATGTCTTGAAGCATTTTTCTTCATTCCTTCGATAACAAGCGATTGTAAGCCGAAAGAAAGTATCCGAAGCAAGAATGACGCACCGGCAGCTCTGGCACCGCAGATTGAGCTCCTTTGGCGGGTTAGCAGGATGCCTCCTCATTTGGCCCTAGAAGAACTGAGAACTGCAATGCCGTATTAGCTTTCAAATCAATAAAGATGGATGGTTTTTATCAGACTTTGTAATGTCTCGCGTCAAGTTTCCATAAGCACATTATAAGCGATGATTGAAAAGATGAAGAGACCTTGAAGTGCCATTTGTGTGAATTCGATAGGATCATGCATCAACCAAGAATATTGCATGAAGTTGAAAGAAGATTTACAAGTACCTACAAGAGGAAAGACGCTCGGCACTGGAGCTTTATCTTATCGTCACCTCTACTAACCAACTCAGGTGTAGTTTCCAGCTATGCTACAGGGAGCTTTAGTGCTGTAGTACTGGCTGTAACTGCTAGCCCCGAGCTTTTAGCATGGACCTAGAAAGAAAGAGAGATACCCACGGCGCATTCGGGAGAAAAAAAAGGTCCGGTTTTCTCTTGAGCCAACGACAAGCCTCGAATTATTCATTCTCCATCTCTTTCATTTTCACAACTCGTTGCATTGCATTGCATTGCACTGCACTTTATCTTGACCAGCTATTTCATTGCTCTTTCAATCGCTCACTCACTGTTGAATGAACCAATAAAACGTGCAATTGGACTTTGGCCGATGCCGCAATGAGGCCCGTCGTTGCCGCCACGGCTTCTCTCCCCAGAGCTGCACATCTCGCAAGACAGCGGCTGCTGTTACAATCACACTCATACTCACACTCAGTTTCATACACCCATATAACAAGGCCATCAATATGCGTCCATCGGTATTTCTCATCAAGTAGCTCTCGCCGTCTAGAGGAGAGGAAATGGTCTACTCCATTGGCCAAACAGCTCTACGAAGCTATATCCGTATGCTACTCTCGCTGTCTCAGAGTCTGTTCATCAAGCTAACCAGCTCCTCCAGACTACTGGCTCCGTCCCCTTGGCCAGCTACATGCGCATGTGTCTAACCGGTGACTTGGGAGGCTACTACACCGGAGCCGTTGGCGAGGGCCGTGACCAGTTTGGCACCAAAGGAGATTTTGTCACCTCTCCTGAAATCTCCCAAATCTTTGGCGAGCTTCTCGGCATCTGGTTCATCGCCGAGTGGATGAGTCAAGGCAGACCCAGCAAGGGCGTCCAGCTCATCGAGATTGGCCCCGGTCGAGGCACTCTCATGGACGATATGCTTCGTGTAAGCTCCCACGCCCCTATACGTGTTTATCGTGTCCAGCATATTGGTTAACACCTTGATAGACTATCCAGCGCTTTCCAGCCATGGCCAACAGCATCGAAAACGTCTTCATGGTCGAGGCCAGCCGTGAGCTGCGAGAGACTCAAAAGAAGCTCCTCTGCGGTCCCGATGCGCCCTCTAGTGAATCCAAAGCCGGATGCCACAGTCCCAGCAAATACGGTTCAGCCCCGATTGTCTGGACCGAGACCATCAAGTCCATCCCCATAGGTAAAGAACACCTCTTGCAACGACTCTCTCACCCCCTTATATCAGGCTAACCACCCCCATCTTTCTATCCATGATACAGAGCCAGACAAGACTCCCTTCATCGTAGCTCACGAATTCTTCGACGCTCTCCCCATCCACACCTTCCAGTCCGCCGCCGCAGCAGCCCCCAAACCGTCCTCTTCCTCTCCTCCACCAGACGAAGCATCACCAGCAGCTCCCAATCCCGCCGCACCGCCAACCATGGAATGGCGTGAGATGATGGTCTCCATCACACCCCCCAACGCATCCCACGCAGACCTCGGCACCCCCAAATCCCAGCAACACGAGCCTCCCCCCGAGTTCCAGCTCGTCCTCTCCTCCTCCACCACCAGACACTCCCGCGTCCTCCCCGAATCCTCGTCCCGCTACCGCCGCCTCAAGCACACCCCCGGCTCCGTCATCGAAATCTGCCCCGACGCCTCCCTCTACGCCGCCGACTTCGCCGCCCGCATCGGCGGCTCCCGCGCCCACCCCAAGGCCTCCCCCAGCGGCGCCGCCCTCATCCTCGACTACGGCACCGCCGACACCGTGCCCGTAAACTCCCTCCGCGGCATCCGCCAGCACCGCCTCGTCAGCCCCTTTGCCACCCCCGGCCTCGTCGACCTCAGCGCCGACGTCGACTTCCACGCCATCGCAGAGGCCGCCACCCTCGCCAGCGACGGCATCGAGGTCCACGGCCCCATTCCCCAGGCCGACTTCCTCGAGCTCATGGGCATCCGCCAGCGCGCAGAGGCCCTCAGCAAGGTGCCGGGTGTTTCCCCGTCCAAGGCCAGCGACATTGAAAAGGCCTGGAAACGCCTCGTCGATCGTGGGCCTAGCGGCATGGGCAAGGTGTACAAGGCGCTTGCGATATTGCCCGAGAACGACGGCCGTCGCCGTCCAGTTGGATTCGGAGGTGATGTGACGGAGGCTTAGAACTTGGGGGTTCGTCATGTACATGTATGATAAGTACTACCAGGTAGTATCTTGAGGGGCTAATGCCCAGTTTACTTGCTGTGACATATATATGTATATATATCAAAGTGCAGCTCCCTTTCTGACTTGTATCTTGTTAAACCGGTGTGTTGATTATTGAAACCAGCCATGTTCACCAAAAGGGGGCTTCACCCGTGCCTTATGCTTTGTCAATAATTTTCTATTCTACACAAAAATAAACAGCGTTTGTTACGAAAACCCAAATTCATAAACTCCGAAAAGCCTATTCCGTTACATTCTACAGCCAAGCGGTTCCAAAAGTCTCATCGTCCCCCCCCTTCTTCACAGCTTCTTGTGTACAAGATTGGCATCCTCGTCGTCACTGTCCGCCTCGCTGTCTGATGCCTTGTCACCGTCTTCGCCAACCGCGAATATCGTCTCTCCCTCGAGCGACTCTCGCGGAATGCCACGACCGGCCGGTTGTGACGACGCGCCGCCAGGCACGGCTCTGCTGGTGCTGGCTTGTGCCGGCCCAGCGCCTGTCAAGCCGCTCTCCTGCCCGAAGCCGGGAACAGGCTTTCCAATCTGTGCCTCTTCATCGTCTGAGTCGTCAGGCATGCCAATGTCTCCTATTTCAAAGTTGCCGTCATCGTCTTGCGCAATTTCGTCGCTCATGGCGAAACGGCGGTTGTTGACGGTTGGTCTCCAGAGATATGCGACCCAAGCAACATCAGCAAAATAAACAATGTTGAGCCAGCCGTCTAGGATGAACCATCTAGTCTTCCAGTGGAATGGAACGAAATCCGGGTCGCCAACAGATGCAAAAGTGAAGCTGTTGAAGAAGAAAAAGGCAAAGATGACCAAGACACTGATGAGGATGGCCCACCACAGCTTCTTGTACATGCCTTCTTTGACGTGCTGCTTGCGCTCACGCAAATCCTTAAGAGTGAAGTTGAGCGAGTTGAGCGTCCAGACATAAAAGGCAGTCAAGGTTCCGGCCAGCGGGAGGACAATAAGAAGCACATAGGGTCCTATTCGGATCTGTTAGTAATCTGAGGAAAAGACGTAGATAAACTCTCAACTTACCAGCACTCTCTGGTGATACCAGTAAACTTGTGACTGCGTAGACAATGCCAAATATAAAGTGCGCGGCAGCAAGCCATCTAACATAAATCATCGTGCGGCCAAGGGTAGGCTTGACGACACCGTATCCCATGCAAACGATGAGAAGCAGGAAGAAGGAGAAGGAGTTTCGAGCCGCGTTGAGAATAGCAACGACGATGAGATACACCTTGCTCCCCACGTTGGCAGTTCCATGGTGATTTTGGAAGTCTAGGCAAAACGGTTAGAATAGAATGCGAGCATGTGCAAGTACAGAGTGCCATACCATAGAAGCCCCATGTCAAGAGCATTTCCACTGCCAAAAAGATGAGAATGGCCGTAATGTAGTTTTGCACCGCAACTACAGCAGGACTCGGTTAGAAAGAGAAGCGAGTATGGTTCAAGGCAGAATCCAGCACTTACGGATATCATGTCGATGCTGAAAGTAAAGAAACGCCCAAAAGACGGTTACCAGGGCGTATAGGATAGACATTCCACCGTAGAAGGGGAGCTTCGGGATTTGGGTTGCCGGCAGCTCTCCGTAGGCATTTCGGAACTCAACCACGGCATTGTACTTGTCAATATTAAAGCCCTCGGTGATGACGCAGTAGTATCCAGTCTTCTTGATGGGGTAGTTGATAGGAGTCGGGTTATTGAGGTGGACGGCCTTGCTCAGGATCAACAGGTTGGAAGCCTCCGTCGCATTCGGGGCCAGAACGAATTCGCCCTTGTCGGTCGAGTTACAAATGCCATTCTTAATCATGCCTTCATCACAGAGCGCAAGTCGCTAAACGTGGTCGTTAGCAATCAGTGGACAGGCCAGATGTAGGTGCTGGGGTGCTTTACAGTGGCTTGAATGTCTGGATCCGGGATTCCCACAAAATCGGCATCTCTCCACTCGAAAATAACCAGACTCGCAATGGGGTCGTCCCCTTGAGGGGCAGTGTTGTTGAGAAACTTGACGAGAATAAACGGATCAACCGGGCCGCCCCAAGACGTGCGACTGTACATTCCTAGAGCATTCGTTAGCCCAGGGATACGGGATGAGCCCAAGAGGCGTGAGCATGACATGTTGCATACCTGTACAGTACTGGCGAGAGTCTTCTTTTTCGTTCTGCAGGAAAAAAGAGCTGGTTAGCCAAAGCCATCTTCTTAGGGGCGTCCAGCACTTGGCGCGCATACCATGGGAACCTCCAGCGCCTGGGCGGTCCAGAGCGACATGCCCAGGGCGAGAAGCCCGAGAAGAGGCCTCATGCTGGCGACGGATCCAGGCGCAGCGCGGAAGCAACTGGAAGTCGGCGATGAACAGTCGAAGCTTCAATCCAGGCGATCCAGGCGACCCAAAGCAGCAGAAGCGGCTCGACGATGGCGAGGGTTCGGGATCGGATCAGCGCTCGTCGGGACTGGACTATTGATTCAGCGACCAGATTGCGCGACACCAGAACACAACAAAGCGCAGCTGGTCGGAGGTGTTTTTGTCGTAGGTTCGACGCAGCCTGAAGAGACGAGACTACAGGTGAATTGTTGTTGCAGAAGAGATTGAAGAGAAAAGATGAGAATCCTGGAGCTCTTGCAGGCGTCGAGTCTGCACTAAAAGCATTACGAAGTTGCAGGAAGTAACTGGATACGAAGCCGCGGGATTCTGGACCTGTCGAGGTGGCAGCTTTCGGGATTGAAGCGCGCACGGTGTACCTGAAGATGCGGGCCGTTGGGTGGTACGTAAGGCCAATTACGCAGCCCGCTAAAGTAGCTTTTTGCCAGGGTAGCTCGGGCATGTCGGTACCTGTTTGTAGCGGGTTGGTACCGGGCTGGTAGTGCTGTACTGCTGATATCGATAACGATAAGGAATTGATTGATTCGACTCTGTTATTTCTCGAGCCCATCGTCATCCGTCATTTTTGCAGGCCATTCATAGTCATACCAGACGACACGACACGATACCCCTTTGCATTAATCGATGCCATTGTGATTTCTACCACATAATTCATTCTCAATTCAACTTTTTATCTCTTCTCTTTCGCCTTTCTTTCTCTCAAAATCAAAATCAACAGCTGTTAAGCCATGGGAAAAGGCACCGACAAGCTCTATGTAAGTTACCCTTCAACTCCCCCCATCTCTCTCCTCTACGCGATCCGCCCTCACCTCAAACTAACACGTTGGACTCACCCTCCCCCCAGATCACCCATTCCGAATGGTCCTCGTCAGACGCCTACTCCGCCAGCGTAGGCGCGGGCGCCCGCTCCGCACAAACCATCCCCTTCCGCAAACTCCCCTTTAACTTCTGCGCCGCCAGCCTCCAGCCCTTCAAGAACCCCGTCTGCACCCCGGACGGCACCGTCTTCGACGTCGAGGTCATCGGCGCCTGGCTCGACAAGCACCCGAACCAGAACCCCATCAACGCCGAGCCCCTGCAGAAGAAGGACCTGATTCGCCTCAACTTTGCGAGGAACGCAGAGGCAGACTCCCTCGGCGCCGGCCTGAGCGACGGCAAAGGCGACCTGATCGATCCCGTCACCTACAAGGTCTTTACCGACAATACGCACATTGTCGCCATCCGACATGGCAACTATGCCAACGTCTTTGCCTGGGATACCGTCGAGCGCATGAACATCAAGGCCAAATCGTGGCTGGATTTGGTCGACGACCAGCCCTTTACGCGCGCCGACATCATCACCCTCCAGGACCCTCAGAACATGGCGAGCCGGAATCTCGATCAGTTCAAATATCTACAAGATGGCGAACAGGCGCAATTGACAAGAGAGCAGCAAGAGGAGCGCAAGGCCGGAAACATCAATGCCGGAGCGCTAGGTAGCATGGGCGACAAGGTTCTCAAGGCCAAGGCTGCAGTGGAAAAGGCGCGCAAGGCGAGAGAAGCCGGCGGCGACGTCAACAAAAGCTCCGGCGCGCTAGAAAAGTCGAGGCAATCGGGCTCTGCCGCTGCTGTCCGGCAACCCATGATACAAGACAGGAAGGTTGCCGCAAACGCCGCAGCTTACACCACCGGCAAAGCCGCCGCCAGCTTCACCAGCACTGGCCTCACCCCCGAGACGAGCGGCGAAAGAGCGCTGCTGACGGACGAGGAGTTTATGCTCAAGCCGCGGCGCGTCAAGACCAAGGGCTACGCCAGGATAGAGACCAACCTGGGCAACCTCACCATCGAGCTGCAAACCGAGACGGCGCCCAAGGCAGTGTGGAATTTCATCAGGCTCGCTCAGACGGGCTACTACAAGGGCGTGGCTTTTCACCGAAACATTCCCAACTTTATGATTCAAGGTGGTGATCCTACGGGTACGGGAAAGGGAGGCACGAGTATCTGGGGCAAGAATTTCAACGACGAGTTTGACGGCCCTCTAACACATGACGCGCGAGGCACCGGTAAGTCTCGAGACTGTTCATTCTCTCCTCCAAAGACACACAACTAATGTGATGATCGAAAACAGTCTCCATGGCCAACAAGGGCAAAAACACAAACTCGAGCCAATTCTTCATCACCTACAAACCCACCCCCCACCTGGACCGCAAACATACCATCTTCGGCCGCGTCGAGTCCGGCCTCGACGTCCTCGCCAAGATGGAAGACGTCCCCACCGACGGCTCCAACCGACCCCTCAACAAGATCCTCATCAAGGACATCGTCGTCTTCGTAGACCCCTTTGCGGAGTTCCAGGCCCAGAAGAAGGAAAAAGAGCGCCTCGACAAGCAGCATGAGGAGATTCGCCTGCAGGGCGGCACCGAGGACGACAAGACGACGTGGACGGGCAAACGACTGCGCGGCGACGGCACGTTTGCCAAGCCGGATGCGAAGCAGAGCATCGGCAAGTATCTGGACGCGAGCGCAATGGATCAAAGGGGGTCAAGTAGCAAGAGAGGAGGCGCCGGCGATGCAGACGACGCGGACACGTGGGAGACACAGCCGCGCAAGAAGATGAAAGCAGGCGGGTTTGGAAACTTTGATAGTTGGTAAAAAAGGGGGGGGAGTGACATTCAACTGCTACAGCGACAGCGAGATTTTGTCTATCTGGTAAACATAAATGATAATGTAATACAACTGTGACTATATGGGAAAATGTTGCCGACATGAGAGAGATAAATGGAAAGAAACAAGTCGTAGCTGAACAGCTGTTGTAAAGAAGACGGGAAAGAAGAAAAGAATGGTCCAAAGCCATCACATCCATCGCTCAAATAAAAAAGGTGGAAAAAAAAAGGGGGGGAAGATAGTCGAAATGATGGGCCACAGGTCAGCATTCTTCATACCAGCAAGAATAAAAAAAAAAGAAGAGGGAAAAAAGAAAAAGTAGCCAAGTATATCCAACGAAGTCATGGTCCAAAAGGGTCAAAGAAAAAGAAAAAGAAAAAGTAAAAAAGAAGAGAAAAGGACTTTTCTATACCACCAGCGGCAAAGCGTCATCAGGCAATGACGGCAAACGGGTTGTAGGAATGCTGGCCCAAGTCAACGACTCGACCTTGTTTTGCATCATGCCTGCGACAACGCGCGCCTGTTCCAACCCCGTCTCGCGATAGATGGACATGAGCCTATCGACAATGTAGGCGCTCGTCTCATGGGTGCAGGATGACGATAGGCCAAGCGTATAGAGCGGCCAGATGATGGTGTTGCTCGCCGTAGCCAGCGTCAGGAACCTCTCCGAGTCGCAGCCCCGACCGTTGTTCAACTCGGACTGCGTTGGGTCGAGCAGCGTCGGGCGCGTGGCTACGCTCTCCCGTGGCCAGGCGGGAACGGGAGATTTGCTCTCGTCTCGATCAGAAGCGGGTGGCAAGAGTGACGGCGTCGCCAGAATAGTCGACGACTGGTTCTGAGCGGTGACGGTAGGCTGAGCCTCCTCGGCCTTGGTGTACTTTACGTCGCGGGAGCTCACGATGCCAAAGTGCTGGGGCACGCTCCCAACGACAGCCTCGCCGAGCATGCGCAGCATTCTCATGGCCTTGACCAACAGCATCTGGTGGTGCAGCGGGAGAGTGGTGGGATCCTCGACACTGTGGCACAGCTGCTCCAGGATCGTCTCCTGAACGAGCATTCTCATGGTCCGCACAGCGTTCCAAGCCGTGGCCTGGGTCAGGCCGGGATAGACATGGCACGTCCGGCCCATGATGGCCGGGTTGGATCTGGTCAGCTTGACATTCTGATAGCGCCAAGACGGCGGCAGTCCATTGATGAGCTTTTCAAAGTCCTCTTCAATCTCGACGAGGCTGCCGACAATTTCGTCCACACCAGTGATTCGCCGGTGCTTGATGTCGTGTCGGATCTGAAGCGCCCTGTACAAGGGATCAATGACACGCCATGCCGGCCGCTTGCTGTCCGCCACGTGCCGCAGCTCGTTGCGCAGGTCCACAATGGACTTTGGCATGGGCAGGCCGCTCTGGATGCAGCTGATGAGGACGGAGTGGCATAGCATGAGGAACATTCTGACGCCGGCCTTTGTTCGAAACTGCGCTTGGCCTCTCATGGTGGCAAGCGTGGCGGCGCCGTTGATGTGTTCCTGCCAGGCGTGCAGTGTCTGCGGCGTGTGTCCAGAGATGAACTCGTACGTGCCGAGAATGAGGACGCCCAGCATCGTGCTATCCTCGACAGCTTCGCCCGGGTTTCGGAGAGCGGCATTGGCCAGCTGCAGAGCGGTGCCATAGCTCTGCTGAGCGCGCGTCATGGTCTCGCGATCACCTGTGATTTTGGACAGGCCAACCAGGCCGACGGCCGTCATGCCGGCGGATATGAGAGCATCTGCCCTCTTGAGCGGAGGTGCTTCTGGGCCCCTCACGCGGTTCATGCCGGGCGGCTTCCAGATGTCGTAGACGAAGTCGTAGTTTTGATAGCAGCCATGGTCGGTGGCGACGTAGCGCGAGAAGAAGAAGGCCGTGCCGCGCTCCTGGAGAGAGATGGACGGCGCATAGGGGATGTGCACCAGCATGTCGTCATCGTCGTCAAACTCGAAGCCGTCGTCGGCATTGTCGTCGTCGTCGTCGTCGTCGTCTCCATGGCCGCGACGGACGATGCGTTCGTACTCGTAGGGGTACGAGTTGGTCTGCCACGAGTCGTAGCCGTCGTAGCCGTCGCCGTCGCCGTGGTCACGGGAGCCGGCCAGCAGCACGGACAGAAGAGGCCCGCTGTTGGGACGAGAAGACTTGAAGGGGCTCTGAGCCCTCGAGGGCCGCGGGCTGTCGCGCAGAACCAGGACGCCGGCGGACGGCGAGGGCGAGGGCGAGGGCGAGGGCGGTGGCGGTCCTAGAGGCATCGGCGCCGCGTCTAGCTTGGGAGCGGCCCGGACGCCATGTTTCAGCTTCTTGATGCGCGGCTTCGCGGTGGTTGCTTTTTTGATGACATGGTTGCTCTCGTCGCGGAACATGAGATCGACGATGTTGCGATAGCCGGGGCATTCAATCTGGCGCTTGGTGCATTGGCCGCAGCCGGGGTCTCTTTGATCGCACTACAAGGCGGGAGGGAGTAAGTAAAGTGTTTAACCATATGGGAAACACGCCACACTTGATGGAGATGATGATGATGATGATGATGACGATGATGATGATGATGGGGCTCCAAAAGGGTCAAAGAGGAGAGTAACGGGAACAGGAACAGGAACAGGAACAGAGGCTGGTTGGTAGACGAAGCAATGGAACCTACTCGGATCTTGCGCTCTCGGCAGTTGGAGCAGCCCTTCGAGGGCTTGCCGCAGTAGACCATGACGATGTCGATGCTGCTGGATGAGCTATCTCTGTCGCCGGTACTCTTTCAATCTCTCTGTCAATCTCTGTCACTTTTGTCGCCTTGTCTTTCTCTTCTCGCAAGTCTCTTTGTGTGATTTCACTTGCTCTGCTCTGCCCTGTTCTGTTCTGTTGGTGGAGCAACAGCTAGAGTTCAAAAGGGCGAGGCCTCGAGTCGCGATGCGATGCCACCGCGACGAGTCCCGAGATGAAAATGCCTCCGGGAATCCGTCGCCTGGCTGCCGCTGTTCCATACGCTGCCTCTATCTCTGGCCCCTCCCTCTTTCTCTCTCTCTTGTCTCGTCTCTGCTGCTTTCTCTCTCTCTCTCTCTGCTTCTCCCCTCTCACAGTCTGTCCGACAGCGCGCTCAAGTGCCCCCCCAAAGCCAGCCACAGGGATTGAAGCTTCACGTCCTGCCTGTGTCACCCGCTACAACAGCAGCAGCTCGTCAGCCGCTGTGCTTAGTACCTAAGTTGGTGCTTCGTGCGTCGTCAATGCTAATGCTCGTACCAAGTCGGTTTTGGTTGCCTTTAGCTCGCGGGTGACAAGAGAGAGGGTGGAGATTGTGTCTTGGCCCAGGGAAATTGTCCAGCCGGTAACCTTGAAACTTATATGTTTGCTGCACAGTAATCAATCAAATCAAATCAAATCAAATCAATCAAATCAATCAAATCAATCAACTGGAACAAGCCGGTCAACTTTGGTGGGGGGTGGTGGCAACGGGGGGAAGTGCTGGAGCAGTGCTTAGGCAGGTACTAGCTGGGGCGCCCAGAAGCCACTGGCGGGATGCGGTACCGCCTTAGCAAGAAAAAGCAATGGATTGGCCTATTACCAAGCAAAAGAATCCTTGACAATCTTTGGTTGGCAACACACAAGGTACTGACTGTAAAAGGGCAACAAAAGATGAGGGGGAAAGAAAAAGAAAATAATAGAGCATTGTACAGTGCAAGACACTCGTGTCACTGTTAGCAGTAATACGACGGTATCCAGACCAAAGCTAAAGCGTCCACGTAGCATCAGATGCAAATGCAATACAACATGGCGTTGTGCTACGGCCAACTAACATTGCACGAGCACTAGGTACATGTAGGGAGGTGGTTTTCGTGATGCTTCCGGCTTGGCAGCCATTCAACCAATATCATTGCTGCTTACTCCGATCCAATCCAATCCTCTTTGACAGGCATGTTTCAGTAAATACAGCACGGGAATGTCGCCGGCATGTCAGTCACCCCGGACAGAGAAAAATACAGGGGAGAAGAAGAAGAAAAAAACACTCGCAGAACGGGCATCTGTTGCAAGAACAACCCCTGCCATGTCAAAATGTCATCTCCATCGGCATTGTTTAAAACAGCGAGACGGAACGCGGCCCGTGCCCCCCGACAAAGAACAAGAGGAGAGGGACGGTTTGTGGTTGGTGGACCTGGGCTGAATTCCGAGTCCGATATAATGCAGTGACAGTGCCATCCTTGCAAAACGGCGAAGAGGGACCTGGATTCGAGACCGGGTAATTGGAAAGATGCGTGGGAAATGGAGAGAGAGAGAGAGAAAGTTTGCACAGGATACGAGTGAAATGCAACAGGTGGTACGAATAAACGGGTAAACGCTTGGTGTCACTGTCACGCTGGTGGTGTAAGTGAGGGACGAGTAACACAACCAACGTGTATGTGCATTGTCGCCTGAATTGTGCATCCCATATTAGTCTATCCTTGCGGTAGCCCATTCACAAAAGTTGCTGTAACACAGAATGGTTCAAATACGAACAAGTCATCACACTTAACAACAATAACAACAACAACCCAACATGAAGCTCACAGGTATCTCGTGGCAACACACATCCCGTCTCAGGGACAATATGCTCTCCGGCTTGCTCACCACATCTCCTCCTTTGTGTTCCTCTTTTTTTTTCAGCTCCTGGATCCCGCTAAGGATTGGGATGCTATAATTAACAACAAGAGCCAAATATCCACCAAGGGCTTGCCGTGATCGCCAACAACCTTCTTTTTCCAGAAGGCCTAGAAACGGGGAGAGCTAATTCAGCGGGGCCGCGTTATGCAAAACTTTTTGTTGATGCTATAAATAAACATTCACGACGCTGATGCCGTCTTGACACTACACGTATATATGAAGTATCATGAGAGTTGTCATTACAGTTGACAAGTGAATCAGCTTGAGAATTGTCATTGTCTTGATTGTATATTCAAAGAAACAAGAAACTAGAATAGCATATATCAAATTCATCAATATAACCAAAGAAACCATGTACTCAAACATAAAAGTAACCGAAAAACCATGTACTCAACCATCATATATACAAAACCTCACCTCCTTCAACACCACATCCAACCTATATACAAACATCATCACCTCCTCCTCTTCATCCTCCCTCAAAGAGGCCCCCCGACTCCAATCGTCAACACCTTCGGATCCCCATCATTCAAAAACCCGCTCTGGTCCGTCCCCCCCGTCCTCCCAACATCATCATACGGAAACGCATACCCCCTCCCCCCAACACTCACCTCGTGACAAATCCTCGCATAGTGGTTCGTCACACTCCCCCCATAGTACATGCTCACGTCCTCCCCCTCCGGATGCCCACCCGCCGCATCCAGCAACAACGTGCTCCTGTTCAACGCCGCCGCCAGCCTCGCCCCGACGTTCAGCTGCTTGTCCGACACGCCCGCCCCGTGCGCAAACGGGCCCGAGTCGCACGAGAAGATGTCCGCCTCCGACGGCTTGCCGAAACTGCCTCCGCCGCCGGAAAACGTGAGCACTTGGCCCGAGGCATCGACTCGACCGACGGCGTTGCCCCAGTCGGCAAACTGCATGTTCACCACAAGATCCATCGACTGGTACTTCTTCCACACGGCATCCACGTACCCGCGATAGTACCCGTCGAACAAGCCCTGGAACATGACCCTCCCCGAGTTGGGACTCAACGCGCGCAAGTTCTGTCCACCACCGCTTCCCCCCTGAACAACAACCAGCCGGTCCCATCCCGCACCATCCACGCCCGCCTGCGTCTTCAACTTGCCACAAATCGCATCCAGCGCCCCCGCCGGCATGCCCTCAACACTCGTCACCTTCCCAGCCCCATTCTCCAACCTCAACGACACCGGCACGCTAAAGAAGTCAACATACGACACATTGACATACAACTCGACATCATTCAACGTAAACTCGGCAAACGCCCATCGAATCCCGTAATTCGGGTCCGCCGGATTCGTCGCCGACGGCTCCACCACCGCCGGCCCCGGGTTGAGCAAAAACGTCAGCGGCGACTCCTGGCTGAACCAGACCCTCGCCCCGGCCAGCCGCGGCACCGTCAGCGTACGGCTCCGGCCCGGCCCGCCAATGGCCACGGCACAGTCTTGCGCGAGCGGCTGCAGGGTGGACGACGGTGAAGATGGGAAATACGGCGTGGTGCCGTCGGCGGAGAGGAAGAAGAGGCCCTGGGCAGCGCGGCCGGTGACGTAGGCGTAGAGCTGCGAGGCGTTGGAGTTGTTTTTGACGACGACGCTGAGGGTGGTTGGCGTCATGATGGGCAATGAATGTGGTGGAATGATGATTGGGGGTGTAAGTGAGTAACAGTAACAGTAGCAACAAGAGTAACAGTAACGGTAACAGTCGTATTAAACCTCCATCAAGTGATGAAGATGTTGTTTTATACAGTTCGTATCAAATCCAGGACCAACATGCTTCAACTACCTATATATATACATATATATGTATACATGTGCTCACAGGCAGACACAGATTCATGTAAATCAATCTCCACAGTCAGCTGGGCCATCTTCAGCCCGCGCCACCAATTTCATGCCAATCCACCATCCACCATCCACCATCCACCATCCCACAGTCACCCGCATAACTTCAATGTTCCCATCTCTCATCCGCCGTCTCACAATACAACACATCATATTTTTTTTTTTTTTTTAATATTTAGCATTCCAGTTACTTGATATGTTCCAAAGTCGAAGCAGCATGACTAACACCAGCAGCCTTTATTCCTGTCATTCAGCTGCAATCCACCTGCTGTGCATAATCACATGCCCACCTCTGCTGAAAAGGTAAAACCCGCCTCACCTCCCCAAAGAAGCAAGATTCCAGCAGAAAAAAGCGAAACATCCAGATCCAGCTGCTCGGTGTCTTGTGGATCCATGACGGCATCGTGCATCTGACCAGCATCCGCCATCGCCTCACTTGACAAGGACAAGCTGCTGAATTACGTAGTCATGGAACAAATATTTCATCAACAAAACAATCAATGTGAATCAGACCAACAAGCTTATTAGCAATCAAAATAAGAATAAAAGTCACGTATCATTCAACAGAGACACTCCACGCCATCAACAGTGGTCATGCAGTGTCTCGACCATTAGGCTCAGCTATCCATTATGACATACACCCAAAAGTACTGTTTTCCTTGCATGTAAAAACTCCAGCTCCATCCTCTCATTGACTCATCATTGCATTCCATTCATCCCATCCAGCGTCACAAGAACCCATCCAGAAGCGCCAATTCACAAGCAAGCCATCATCAACACCAGCAACATGGCACCCGTCACCACCATCCCCGTGCTGCCAAGACGAGTCGCGCCGCTCTCATCATCACTTTCGCCGCCACTGCTTGGCTGATTCGGATCGCTCGTGTTGAAAAAGGTGCCTCCCGTGCTGGCGTTTGCTGCCGTCACGTCTGCAACCGTACACACTCGGTCATTGCTGCTGCTATCCGAATCATAGCCCCGTGCCTTTTGGCAGCTCTCGGCCCAGCTTGACTGAGCAGTCGAGGCCGAAGAGTTGAAGTAAGCCTTGACATAGCTCACGGTGAGGACGGCATCCTCCGTGGGAGGGCCTCCAGACCACAGGGGATTCCCGTTGCTCCAGTGCTGGAGAATGATGTGGCCCGGACCAGAGGGCACCGAGGATCCCGTCATCTCGGCCAGCAGCTGGCTGTCGGCGTAGAACAAGACGCGGTTGGGCAGGTAGTCGAAGCGATACTCGTGGAATCCAGCGGTAGGGTCAAACGTGAGGTTGACCACCTTGAAGGTGCCCGTCTTGGACGCATCATAGCCCGCCTTGCGCGATGCCTCCGACTGGATCACGAGGTTGGCGGGATAGATTTTCTTCACGGGGTCAAACTCTCGCGACAGAAACTCCATGTCAATCTCCTGGGTGTCATTGAAGTACTGCAACAACACACATCAATCAGCAATCAGCATATCATGTATATCGACCATCACATCAACGCATCAGCAAAGATAAAAACATACCCAGAAAAAGGCCGCGCAGGTGCCGTTGACGGCCGTCAGCTTCATGCCCGCGCGATACGAGCCGTAATGCAAGTCATTCCTCGCCGAGTCCAGCTCCGCCACCGGAATGGCCTCATCCACAACCGTGCTGCCCACCACCAGCCCAACCCCATCACCACCACCGTTGAACTTTTCAGCATCCTCACCCTCCCCCTCACCATCGCGAGAAGTCGTCCACACATTGTCCAAAGCAAACGACTTGCCGTACTCGCCTCGCCCAGCCCTCGCCGAAACGTTGTACTGCTGCCGCCTCCACGTGCCGTCCCGCGAAATGTCTCGCATCTCAAAGAACTTGCTCTCCATCATGTTGGTAAAGAACAGCTGCCCATTTCCATTTCCACTTGCGCTTCCGTTCCGTTTCTGCTCCTGCGTGAGAAACCCGCACTCGCAATCCGCCGCCACAAGGCACGACATGAGCACCACCACCAAGGCCAACAACAGGCCCGATCCCCGAGCAGCAGCCATAGAAGCAAGCAAGTCGTCTTTTTGAAAAGGGTTGTGTGGTATAAAACCAAAGGGAAAAAAGAGAAGAAGAAAAGCAACAAAACTGTTTGAAAGAAAAATATGATGGGAAGCACAAAGACGATGCACAAGTCAAGAGATAAAAAGCCGACGAAGAAAAGCAACCAGCCCGAGCCTACAGAAACACCAAGACGGTGAGCAGACAATGAAGAAGGAAATGAGCTTGCGCTCGCCACATTCTTCTTTGCCTTTTGCCACGTCTTTTTTGGAAGCAGCTGCACGACATGCAAATGCAAAAGGCCAGGCACGACGCAAAGGCAAGACAGAAGAAAAAAACAAGACAGAATTGGGGGAAATCGAGACGCCCTCCTTTGTCTGTGTACTTGCTGCCGCTTCCAAGTTACACACGGTCCTACCCTGGGCTCGCGCGTCCTTCTCCTCTCCCTTGCATCTTCCGTCTTTCCTTTGCAAATCACCAAGCACTCGTTATGTAGCGGGGAAGCCAAGGCCCGTCCCGTTTGTTTGTTTGTTCCTGGCTTCCATATTCCCATCTCTGCCACTATTCCAATGCTTGCATGTACTTACCTCCTTACCCTGCATGTGACATATCGAAATCAGCTGGGCATCTTCACGTCAACATCAGACATCACCACTTGACAACCTCCATATCAAACCGCCATCTCCAAAAGCCTCACTCAGCCTTCCCCATTTGGCCATTGCCAGAAAGAAAAAAGGTCGGTAGAAAAGGGAGGAGGGACAGCCAGAGTCAGGTACCACCAACCAACCCCAAACTGCCCTTCTGACCTCCCCCAGCTTCTCCTCATCGGATGACACCAGAGCAAGTCGCACAGGTTGGACAAGAACGTGGGAAACGGTTGGTCAGCCACAAGAAATTAAAAAAGGTAATTAAACCATGGGCCGCTTCCGAGGAGCCAAGCATTTGACGACCTTGGTTACTCTACCTACATCACGACTCTAGTGCAGTCACATGAAGCATGAATAAAAAGTCACAGACATGTACACATACACCACATGGCGCCCTACGTGGCATCATCGGTTTTGACAGAGACACGATTATTCGAATTGTAGTACTGGAATATCTATACACACCGAAGCAGCGGGACTGGCTCTCGACCATGAGCACTCACACAACACACACGGCATGTCGTGGGCGGTGCGGGTGCCGTCATTCCGTAAGCATCCCTTCGTAGCATAACCAAGACGAAAACAAAGACACAGCACACAAAACAAGACGTTTACAAGAGGAGAGAGCACACAGTTCAAAAGGAAAGAAGAAGAAATCAAAGGAGGAGAGAAGAAGTAGAAGAAAAGGTTCAATGAAGAATAGCAATCTGTATATCGAACAAGGTATCTGAGAATTTGGAAATTGCCAATGGTAAATCAGACTGCAATGCCAGCGAAAAAAAAGCGACAGCAAAACAAGCAAAAGCGAGAAGACAAGGTAGGAAAAAAACTACAACCGCTGCAAAGAAAAAGATAAAAAAGGAAAAGAAAAAAATTACCATGGTAAGAGAATAATAAAAGGAGGGCAACAAGGGCCATTAGAAACAAATAAAAAAGGGGAAATGCGAAAAAGGCGGCATCACCATCATGGACCAGCCAATCAACCTGCCCTCGTAGTTCATTAGCTTGCGCTGCCGCGGTGTCGAGATCCAAATAATTCCTTTCTCGGAAGTTCCGAAATCATGCGAAACGTCCAATCCTTTATCCCGCCAGTATTTCCCTGCTTTCGCCGCCTCTCCAGAATTAACCCCCTCCCCGTGATCCTTTCGATCGACCCATGCAGAACAAAAACAATCAAGTCAAAGCCAATAATTAAGAGCAGTAGCAGAACACATACTAGACACACGATCCCCTGCCCTGTCTCAGGAGCCGTCAAGGAAATGACATGAGAAACCAAGAGGAAAAAAGAGGAAAAAAAAGAAATAATCGAAACAGCACATTTCCCAGCATTAGCCTTACTCCGTTCCGGACCGCGCGCCACAATGTTGAAAATTGACAAGCCAGTAAAAATAAGTCGAAAGAGGAAAAAAAAAAAAGAAGAGGAAATGAGCCATAAAATCGAGTTTTGCGTTAGAAAAGTCCGGCGCGTGTGTTCGCGCTCCCCTGATAAAGATGAACAGAGAGAAGAGAAAAAGAAAAGGAAAAATAGTCGTTTCGTCATCGCATATGTATTTTAGTACACGCTGTCCTCGTCCGCTCCCTGCGAGGTCATCGAGGGAGTCGATACATTAGAGGAAGCTTCGTCGCCGACATAGCCGACAAGGGCTTCTGAATGCAGCTTGAATGATTCGCCCATGAGGCGCGTAATTCCCCACACAACAACTTCGTCCAACATGGAGCCCCAGAGGCGCGCAACCACGGAGCTCAGGTTGGCGATGATGCTCTCGTCAAAGTCCTTGACGAACAGCTGGCGGACCTTGTAGTACATGGCCACCTCCTCGGGCGTCGCCGGCTCCTCGTCGTGTTCCAGACGGTACAGCCACAGCGTGAGGACGATCATCAGGTCCAGGCCGCACAGGGGGTGCTCGACGCTCCAGTTGGTCGACGAGGTGCGCGCCACCCAGCGGACGCCCTGGACCACGGCCGTCTCCAGGCAGTTGTAGCACTCCTCAATCACCTTGATCATCTCGCTGGAGCGCTTGACGCGGTCCCGGGCGTGGGACATGGCGGCAGCGACCTCGTACGGCTCGTGGTATCGCAGGGCCTCTTGCACCGTCTTGAGGTCGACCTCGAGGCGGGCGCGGGCGTTACGGTACATGGCGCGGGCATTGAAGATGAGGGGGTGGCCCTTGTGGGGAGCGCTAAGGGGCACCACGACAGATTCCGGTTCGCACAGGTCCAGCGACTTCTCCCACGTCTCCAGGGCGAGTCTAAGCTTGTACTCGGTCACGACATCCTGCAAGGCCTCAGGGCTACGTTTGTGGTACCATACTTCGAGGAACAAGGCATTGATCATGACACGGGTGGAAAAGGCGCTGTACTTGATGGCCTCGCCCTGGAACAGATTGTCATGGGCTTCCATGAAGATGGCGGCGGGCGACTTGTCGAGCTGCTCGGCCCACGCAGCCTCGTCGGCAACCTGCATGTTCCACAGGGCCTCGGTCGAAGGCAGCTGTAGGTCCTCAAACTCGTTGAAGCCGATGGCGGGGGTGTGGTTAAACGTCAGGGTCAGCAAGCCAAAAAAGATGTAGACCGCATAGTACGTGCGGCGGCAGCCCTCGTCCTCGACCCACTCTGCGCGAGTAGGCTTGGCCGAGCCGCGGGCCTCCTGGCGAAGCTTGAGCTCGTAACGGTTCCCGGCCACCATGTTGGCGAGGAGACTCTTGATGGAGCATGCCCACTCCAAGCCCTTGGGGTCGCCGCTCCAGCTGGCAAAGATCATGTTGAGGAGAGAGCTCTGCATGGTCCACAGGGGACACTTGCGGGAGCTAAAGTTCTCCTTGTTCTGGAGGAACTGGTTGACTAGGACCTTGGACCCGATGTGGAGCATGTAGGCCTGGTCCTGGTCAAAGGCGTAGAGAGCGCCGATGCTGAGGACGGCCAAGAGCAGCGGCGGCGACACCTGCGACGGGGTGAAGGAGGCAGGGTGCAGGAAGGGCAGGTGGTGGTGGAACAGCCCAAAGTACGTGGCCAGGTAGCGGTTCAGAGAGCCCAGGCCGGGAAGGCGAAAGCTCTCGGGAATGGCGTGCTCGCGGTCAGTGCTGCGGATGTTGTCCAGGATCGCGTTTCGCTCATCATCGCCAGAGACCTGGGGAGCTCTGAAACCAGCCTGCTGCGAGTCTACCGCGGAGGGAGACTGAGGGGCTGGGATCTCGGGGCCAGAGGCGGGGAGCGAATTGATCATGGACTGAAGCGCCGGCACAAGACCGTTGCAGTTCCGGCCACCGAAGGGAGGCAGCTGTGCGGCATGGTGCGGCAGTCTGTTTCCGCCGGCAAAGGGCTGCGACGACTCGAAGGAGTCCGAGGCGCTCGAGGTGATGGAGTGAGGCTTGGGCTCGGCCATGAAGTTGTCCCACTGAACTTGCGGGAGGGCGATGGCACCGGATGGGTAGGTGACGGCAGGCTCCATGACGGTGGAGCTTCGCGGAGAGAAGGCCATGGATGCGCCGTCTTCGTACGATCCATCGTCTCCACGCATGGCAGCAGTGGCCTTGTGATGCAGGTCGGCGACGAGCATGGCGGCGGCCTCGACATCGAAAATGCCGTCGCCGCCAGCTTCCATCTGCTCCAGGGTGGACGTGTCCAAGGCGATTGAGGATTTGGAGGGGCCGCCGATGGCTCGAGTCTTGGGTCCAGCACGACGCTTGCCGTCGCTGTGAAGGGGGACGCCGCCATCCTTGGCGTGGACTGTGCGATCATGTCGGAGCAAGAGGTCGCGACGAACAAAGGTGCTTCGGCACTTCATACACTTGAAGGGACGCTCCTTGGTATCTAAGAAGAAGGAAGTTAGCAGGGCTGTCATGTTGGAGAGCGAAGAATGCTCAAAGTAATGGGGGTTTTCTTTCTCTTCTTCATCGAGGGAGAATTTTTCTTTTTTTGGGGGCTCTGGGAAACGTACGTGATCGCTCATGACGGCTTCGATGCTCGCTTCGGCTGAAGGCTCTGTTGCAGAACTGGCATTTGTATTTGCGTTCTGGCGCGAGAGACGCCTTCCGCGAGGACGGGGTCGAGGCCGCTGGGGGCGGGAGAACTGCGACGCTGGCGCCAGGCATTTTGGGCAAAAGTCGCGTGCTGTGGTTGATGGGGGGATGAAGATGGCGATGGGTTGGTTTTGGCGCTGACGCGACGCTCGGCTGTGCCGGCTGGGGCGGACGCTACGATGGTTGAATATCGTACTCGTGCTCTGGTGGGATTGCGAATTCTCTTTTCTCTCGACTCCTAGCTCCTCGCTCGCACGCGCGCCCGTGGGGTTTAAAGTGTGACTGCGGTGGCGCCGATGTTGATGCTGCTCATTGGAAGATACGGTATTCTGGTCATGGAAAGATTAAGGATGTGGGTTGGTGAGGACAAGAGGCTGCTGGAGGCCTCGACGGATAGAAGAATCGGGGGATTCGGGCAGAGAATGGTGATGCTCGGGCTTGGTGTAGTTTGTCGTTGGGGGCAACGAAGATGGTGGCAGACGAAGAGGGGAGAGGCGAGTTAAGAGGGCGAGGGCAAGTAAATGAAGGAAAAGACGGCGAGAGGGGGGGAGGGGAAAGATTTCAATTCGGGGGACGCGGACAGCAAGCCACTGGGGGGTAAGAATTTTGGGAGGGGTGGGTGCGCAGAAGGAGGGGGGGGGGGGATGGTACAGAGGGTATAGCGGGCAGAGGGCACTGGAGAAGGCCTGGAAGAAAAGTCGAGCCGGGCGGGAAAAAAAGAAGAAAAAAAAGAGGGATGGAGGGGGAGGGGGAGGCTGGCAGCGGTGCGAAAATGGTGGGAACATGAGTGTGGGCAGTGCGCTGGAGGGAGCGCGGGAACCTGGGCTGCTGGAGTGCGCTGTGCGCTGTGCTGTGCTGTTGCTGTGCCTTGGTACGAGTAAGGTAGCGGTACAACGCCCAAGTACCGTACAGTACCAAGACAGGTACAGCGCGGTACGGCCAGCAGAGGGGGCGTCGGACGGGGCGCTTGTACCGCGACCTCGCAGGCCCGGCGACGTGCCAGACGCGGCGGCCAAGTACCGGTACAGGCGTTGCAGGTACCTCTGTGGCCAAGATGAGCGGCGGCGGTACACGCAGAGGCATCACGAGCACAGCGACGACGACGGAGCCCACCTCTCAAACGCGACACAGCGGCGTGCTGCGCTGGCGACCGACGCTACCAAGTGCCTCCAGCGGGGGTCCCGTCAGCGCAAGAGGGGCGAAGCTCGGCCCCTCCAGCTGGATGGATTTGATGGACTTGATGCCGTGCTGTGGTGTGTGCTGGGCTGGCCTGGCGCTGCTGCAAGTTACATGAAGTGTTACAAAGGTGGTAGGGGGTAGGTACTAAGAGAGGCGCAAGGGGGCGGTACCTCTGGGTACTCGCAGCTCAGCGCGGTCCGGGTCCGGGCCAGGTACCGGTACGCGCGCGAGCTGGCAAAAGCCCTGCCCCGCCATTGGCCTGTCGGGGCTCCAGGCTCTGGTTGCCGGAGTCACACGCTTGGCCGCGAGGATTGATAGCTCCAGGCGCTAGGTCCGAACTGACACCACCAGCTCTGCCGTGCCATTTCTATTTCGCTCTCCGAACCCACAACGAGACAGACAGTTGAGACTCAATTTGCTTTGCGGAGTGTTGCGACATGCCGAGTCCACCTGGCCTGCGACTCCATCCATTATATTTCCACGGACGCTCTGCCTGCTGCTAGTACGATTATACCGACGACGGCGCTGTAAATCTGCGTCTAGTGTATCTGTCACTGGGCGTACGAGAAGTGCCATCTAGCACAGGACGATCAAGGACAACCTCCTCGATTTCAACACCCAGCCCATCATCATCAGCAGCAGCAGCATCACCAGCTACACCTTTCTCTCGCCCTCGGGATCACCCGTTGTTGCCCATCCCATCAAATGCGTTGGCGCATCGCTCCTCGAACACGTCCCGTCCGATCAGGTCAGCCACGGCCAGCCCATCCCAGCCCAGCCAGCTCAGTCCAGTCCAGGTCGGTCAGCACGCCTCCCGCCTCGTCGGCCCAACTAAAAGGTAAAAAGAAAAAAAGGGAAAAGCAAAGAACCAAAGACCAAGAGCAGAGAGACAAGGACAAGGACTCTGCCTTAAAAGCGGCACTACAAAAAACAACACAGACCCAAATGGCCTCCGTGCGCCAGAGGCAAGAGGGAAAAAAGGAACAAAAATGCCTGAATCGCGGGAACAGCAAGGGAGAGAAACCAGGCACAGCCGACGCCATGCCGGCCAACTCTCGTACAGGGTACATGTCCCCACGGATGCTCGTACCTCTACTTGGACTTGCCAATACGCTGGACTGCAGTGGCACTGATCAATCAATCACCTAATGATCCATCACCACTGACCGGACCTGCGTCTTCCGCCTATCCGTCCTCTCAACTCCATCCCCCCACCAACTTTTTTTCTTCTTCCTTCATGGGTTTTTACTGTATTGCCCGTTCGTTTCTTGATTGCTTTTTCCCATTTCCTTTGGACTAGTATTTCTCTTACTATTCGTTTGTTATATCATCATTCCCGTCCGTTCATTTTATTCTCTTCTTTCCCGACCATGGAACCCATCCGCTCCGTCTCCCTCCCTATTCTCGTCCCTCTTCCACCCCGCGGCCCTCTCAGCTTCCATGCAGGGTGGCATCATGTCCCGCGTGTTTTAGCAGTTGATCCATTGATCACACGTACAGCCGTGCTGGGGGCTTGATTGATAGGCGCTGCTGCTGCTGCACGTCTGTTTGTCCTGCTAACATGGATAGCGCGCCGCCTGCAGCCTGTACGAGTACAGTAGAGCCCATGGCCACCCCACCATCGGGTTCTGGCGACAGTCGGTCAGCAACAGCTTGCGTCTACGAGGACATGCTGGCGGCATCAGGAGCCTGGGACATGATGTGCTGTCCTTTGCTCCGTGCTACATGGTCGCATCACGAGAACAGACGTCGTCGACATTCCCTGGCCAGCACTGTGTGTGTTGTTGGTCCTCAGGTCGAGCGAACCCCCCACCTGGTTCTCCCTTATCCCCCTCCCTTCAGCCATCACTACGGACACCCAAGAGTGTCGAGCAGCCGCCATAAGAGATAGCATGTGTTTGGTTCGTTGAAAAGGCCAAGAGACGTTGCAAGTCGCCGCCGCCGCCGCCAATGCGCTGCTCCGCTGTGCAGTAGCATCAAATGTGTGCTCGTACTGCACTCACACATGCGCTCGCCAAAGTAAGCTGGATCGGACGTTCTAGGAATCGATCAGTGCCGCCAGGCCTCGCAAAAGGCCCAATATGGCAAGTATCCGCCAAGCCCATTACCACTCTGCGAGGTGGATAAGACACCAGACACATGCTACAGGTGCTGGTGTTGGTGCTGGTGCTAGCAATGGCGGTGCCCACTTCCAACGTCTCCCTGGGAAACGCCAAAATGCGCCGCCTTGTCTTGGATCACCTTGGACAATCCCAAGTACCGAGCAGAGCTGGAGAGTAGATTTGCTTGGGCCCTGCTCCTTTGGAGGAAATCGAGATGGACGCACGTCCCGGCACCGGTACTCGGACGCCCAAACTGATCAAGATCCGGCGCGCGTCATGATGGAGCGGAAAGAGACAATGAGCACCTGGTCGGTCTCCGCGATCCCGCCTCCATAGCATCGGACGGAGCTGGGTTCCATCACCACACGAGGCCGGTCTTGCATCTGGCGATCCACCCCAACCCACCACGGGCGCCATGTCCGAACTTAGGAGCTGAGAGCGGACTACCGAGCCACCACTTGGGCGACTCTTGACAACACGACGGCCTTGGGGGGGAGTAACCAGCTTCCGTCTTAGTAACAATGCATCGCACTGTATTAGCCGTTGCACACCGCTCATTGAGCACAGTCTGGCCAAGGTTATCGTCACTGCCAACCTCGACGTATTGAAATACTGCATTGAGCCGCGCATCTTCATCACCTCGTCTTCCTACATTGGAAAAGCAATGGTCTGCTATTATACATGTATTCGTACGCACATGGCTGTACCTGTATGCCGTACCAATGACTCGCGATAAGGTGCAAAACAATCGCTGCCATCTCACATCACAAATCACCTTCTAGAAGCGCGCTCGATTCTCCAAGCATCAATTGATGGATACTGTACATGCCTGCGTCCATTGCAGGGGATGTCCTCATGGCTACCCGACAGATACCTCGAATGCAAGTGTGAGATTGCTGGCGCCAAGTACTGCGCATACGCTGACGGGCTCTCTGGGTGAGACAATGCGATGCAATCCTGCCCGACAGGTACCGTCCAAGAGTCGGTGTCTACTGCTCCGAAAAGTACTTTTCCAGTAGTGGAGATGGACGCATTCCCAGATGCCTGCACTCGCACACGTACCTGTACACGCTACTGGTGCTAAGGCACATGAATGCATTCTCGTGCATAAAGGAGACAGGGGAAGCGTCGAAACTAGACCCCCTTCTTCCATTCCGTGGGCACTTCTCTCCGTGTTCCGTGCTTGGACCAGGTGCGAACGGGAAAATCAACCACTACGAGCACTCACCAAGAGACTGGACAGGGGGGCATGCAGATGCGTGTACAGTATGCCTGCATGTACGAGTACCGTTACCTGTACCCGTACCTACTGGAGTGCTCGGTGCAAATCAGCCAGACTGGCGGTGATGGGAAAATGGACGTCGTCCAATACCTGTCGGACACACTGCAGTAGACCGCCTCTCACTCAGCCTTGGTCGAGGTGGAATGTCTTAGCCACGGTGAGAAGTCGTTTCAGGTGCTCGAATGACTGGTGTATACGAGCCGACTCGTTGGCGCCTCCCAAGCGGCCAAGTTGCTAGTAATGGACACCAAGTCTCCTGGACGAGTAGGTAGTATTATTAGAAATCGGGCATCACCACAATGGCCACTGTCATGTACGAGTACCTAGGCATTACTCGTACGCGCACGTAGAAGTAAGCGTGCATTGGCTGTGCAACATGCGAATTCCGCCGAGATACTTGGATCTGCGAGTGCTGTACATACAGCAGGCTACTCGTACATGCGCGCCTTGCTGTACTCGTACCTTGCTTTACTCGTACCTTGCTTGTGAGATCGCCGTCTTACTGTAGGTACTCGTACATGTCTTCCCGTCCTCTTCTGCTCCTCTGGTGGCTGCATCTCCCGCTCCGTCAACCCACAGCGGCTCTAGTCAGCTCTCGGGCGGCGTGGGGTGCATACGATTGAAGCTGACAAAGCCGAGCATACTGTCTGGTATCATGCCTTGCTTGCCTTCTGGAAGGATGCCGTTGTGCCATCAATTATCAATCAAGCCGGTTCGGACGGTATCATCTCATGTCTTGAGATCAGATGGAGTTACGGAGTCGTTGTGGGCACAGCAGAGCACAGCACAGCACAGCTGCTCTCCTTGGACAAGTTGACACGCGCTGCACTAAAAAAAAGCAACATCTATCCACACCGGAGCCTCGAACCGCTGCCTCGGTAGATTGTGACGATGCTCCATCCCACCGGGTGGACGTAGCGAATAGGTTCAAGTCTGGATGGGCTCGTACGAGTATGATGGAGGGGAAACCTCGAGACTCTTTGTGTCTTTTTTTTCTCTTTCTTTTTTTCTTTTTTTACCCCATACTCTGGTTCGTTGTCTTGTCAATGCTGCCTTTCTCTCTGTCTCGCAGCAACACCAACCACCACCGATGTGCGAAGAGGCTGTAACTCAAAGTAGAAGCAGCTCCAGCGGTGTGTGTCTCTGCCATTCAGATTGCATTGATGCAACCATTGAACGTGGCGCTCAGTCAAATCAATCACTGGTACGGGTACAAGCAGCTACCTACTAATTCCCGTAAGGTGGGCGGCACAGGCAAAAGGCGACCAGACCCCTATTTTCAGTGCTGCCATACAGGTACCTATCGATATTACTCGAAAGTCAGCAGCAGAAGCTCCGGCCAGCATGTACACGATGGCAGCGCGTTCTCTGGCCGCACAGTACGAGTACGAGGCGCGTGCGAGCATGTAGGCTCGTCAGCAGCCCTTCTCAAGTACCTCCCCGAGGTGCCAGCGCAGGAAAACGGGAAAACGGGAAACGGAGCACTTGAAACATGCACAAAATTGCGCAAGCCCAGCCACCACCGTTTAAGCCGAATCCGCACCGTTTCCGCGTACAAGTAGGTACTCGCTCAGTGGGAGATGACCCTTGTACGAGTATTGAAGCGCTGTGTCTCTGTTAGTACCTAGTACCTAATTAGAGTTGCCCATGCCGCCACAGTGTCAGCAGAATCCTCTGCATACTGTACCCTACACCGAAATACAGGTACTAAACTGTAGCTGTTGCTGGCTAGAGGTGACATGTACCTGTTCTCCGTACTGTACCAGTACCTGGTTCGCCAGGCGGGTCCGGGGCAAGCTTCCGGGACCTAGACGCTGGCCGCTCCGGGCACTCGCCCCACGTGGTCTCACTGGTAGTAGCGGTACGAGTGC